CAGTATCTCAGGCTTAGTATTAACTACATGTAGGGCTTCGCTTGCAGTTACATCGATGCAGCTAGACTACTCCATCTAATACACATAGTAATGTTCTCATTCCCGATATATGCGGATCTCTTGGTGAAAGGTTCTGTAATCTATTCGTATCTACACAGACTATACGTGCATATGCATTGGTATAAGTCTAGCACTACAATTGTAGAAGTTTCTCCAGTTTTTCTACCGGATATTATGACAAGCTCATTCTTTATCGACTATATATTCGTATTGTAAAGTTCATTTGATAATTGCATCATATCAGTATCTTGTTGAATGATTTCAGTACAATTCTCTAGCAAAATTTACAGCCATAGACAATTCTATTAGTATGTCGTACGATAATTAATTGAATCTGTCTGACAGATAATCTAAATATTTTAAAATCATTCTAGAGAGTCTAATATTATCACTTTGTATTCAATAAATCCTTATAAAGTCATATACATATTAATTTTAATCATTTTAAACAACAGTTTCGTCATAGAAACGATACGAACGGCAACGATAAGGTTTAGTCAAAGCAATTTTCAGTTAAGTATACATTACTGGTGTATTGTTACATACATAGTTACTCCATATTCAGAAAGTCCTTATAGAGTCATGTAGCGATAAACTTTAATTATTTCAAGCTGGAGTTTTCCTCATAGACGCGATATGAACAGCACCGATAACGTTTAGTCAAAGCAATTTTTAGTTCAATATATTTATTACTGGTTGCTACATAAAACCATTCCTTCAACAGAATAGCTACTACCTTCCATGTAACAGTAAATTAACAATTTTATCTTTTCTGTAGATTTGCTAACATCTTTAGGCTTGCTATTACTTTTTAATTACTTCTTTCATTTCTTGCGAGATTGCAACTATGACTCGTTTTGTCTAGTGTTATGTATGAAAACAACTTTATCCAACTAGTTAAGCATCAAAATGCTATCTAACATTGCATCCAACTAATTGTTGTATAAGACACGCCGTGATGCTTTCGCAATATTTTAAAAATAAACAGAAAATCCGTTCGATTGGCTATTGTCTTAATTCCACGTATTATTAGCTCGCCACAGAAAGTTATCGATGAATATGTTAGAGTATTCACGTAAATAGTTATGAGGTATATTTTTTCTCTCATATTTTAACCACTATGAATAGAATAGATTGTTATGATTTTGCCCCAGGATATATCCTTGACAATTAATTCATTTATTTTCTAGTGTTATAAAACAAAAACTAGAAAAAAAATTTACGATACACAAATTTATACGTGAATTATTTTACTAACTTGCTTTTGGTTATCATATGGTAAAGCTTAGAGAAAATGGTCACATATTCTATGTAATAGCAAATTTTACCCCAATACCCGTCATAATCGTATCTTACATACACATAACATTAGATATCATAAGTTATAATTTTGAAATAATTGAGGATGAAATCTCGAAGCGATGAAGCATCCTTTATTAATAATTATTATTAGAAATAAATGGATAGAAAAATCAGCTAATGGTAATACTGAAATTCAAAATTTTATCGATGCATTTACCCTTCTATCTTGCGTCCTTATTCTATTCCGTTCATTTTGATCTACTAGGTCCATAGAGTCAGATATTCTGTCACCTATTTTAAATGTTTAGTTTTAATCTTAGTTCAATTATTATTATTGTGAAAATCAATTATTGATCATCATCAGTTTTTTAGTATCTTATAATCTGAAAATGTTTAACTACTAATAGTAACTCTTAATAACTGTTACTCTTTACTCTTTTAACGATGACATTATATTGCAATCATACCAGTAAGCCTGCTACTAATGTTATTAGTAATCAATTACTGATTTCTTCTGCTGCTTGTCAATTCAGAAAAAAGTTTGCTATTATTTCTTTAAAGTAAAAGCATAAGGAAAAATTAAATTACTGTGACAGACTATGATTGTACTGAAAAGTGAAAAACTAGTAACCGATCTTATAGCATAGCAGGGCCTTGATTGATGTGAAGTCATCGAAAATATAAAAGAAAACTATATTTATTACTTTCAAATCTCTATAATAAATTTGATGATAGTACTGTTAATAGAAATTAGCGAGCTTAGTTAATAAGATTATTGAAATGGAAGAACTAAACTTAATAGCTCATTAGAAGATACTGTAATCTATACTGTATAATTGTTTCTGATAGTTTAAAGCTATACGCTGGCATTATAGTTTTTACTCAAAACCAATTTGATTTCTAAGTTTTTATTTTGACTACAAATCCGTAAAATTGTGTCATGCTATTTTCGATTATATTAACTTTTTGTTTACTATTCTGAAAAAGACTTATAACTAGTAAAGCCTTTTCTATTGGCAACAAATGCTTATGATATATGGCATTCTTGAGGGATCATTATTTTGTATTTGAAATTGCTGCGCTAGTCAAACTTAGTTATCAATTGTAGTGTTAAGTAGAATATTACAAACAGTATAGAACAACAAATAATATGCTAATTTGCTGCATATAATATCAAATACTCTTTATTGAAACGTGGTTTACTTCCAAGACTTTAGTTCCTTTTGTATTTTATAGATACCATACTTATTCAATTTGAATAATTTATAAAAAAATAAGCTAAAATTTGTCTGACATATTGATAATATCATCGTGATTGCAGGTGTAGTTGTAATTTTAATTGTAAGTATGACATAAAATCTTAATTATCACGATGATAGCAGCTGATTTCGATAATTCCATATCACACTAAACGAATTTTTCGATATACATTTATCAGAAATGTCACAAAGAAATTAAAATTTGTCAGGAATTTCCCATAAGTGGATGATACTCCTATTGTTGCCTGAAATAAAATTAAAATTTACGCTGATGCAATTATTTAACAAGAAAAACCAACTTTGATCATTTTAATTATTCTCATCATAAAATGATGATCTATACATTCTTTAAAGTATGAAGTATTTGCTATATTATTTTTTGAAAGAACTATAAGCAATAATTTCGAAATTAAAGTTTCTTTTTCTCGTTTTATGGTAGTGATAATTTACTGTACTTTACTCCAGATAAAAGAGAATATTTATAAAGACAGGATCTACTGTTGTGTTCTTTGAAGAATTCAAAGAAACTTTTTGGGAAAAGAATCTATCAAGGTGTATTTTATAGTATTCCGTTGACGGTAAAATATGAATCAATAAGCATTCTCGGGTCCTACTTTTTGCATAAACCATGAATATAAACATCTAAGAACTACTAATCACCTTAATCAGATCGAGTTTACTTCGTATCAATTAGTAAGGGATATTGATACCATCAAAAGTCATTCTTTTAATGCAGAGTTTTAGTTCCGCAGTACTGCCAGACAATATCTGTCAATAATATAAGAATGTAATACATAATCTGCTTCGAAGTGAATACTGATGCATTTTTTCTTTCGGCTTTTATTATCTTAAGATACTCTTGCAGCAAGAGATTTTATAGTAACGCTGTAATTTTCTCGACCAGTTATCGCATGCTATGAATATTATTCCCTGTAGTGTAACCCTAAATTAGCTTAAGATTAAAGTCAGAATTAGAAGCGCAAATCATCAATAGATTGTACAATGGAAAATTTACAATTGATCTTGCGACTTGATAGGCAGGAAATGATTGTGTTGCTAAAAAATCATTCTGTAACAAATCATACATAAACAATGAATTTTGTTATAATAATTTAGATTGTCTGATCGTAGCTTGATAATTGTTAGCAGTTATAAGACCGATCTAAATTATGTAATTAAGTGAAGTTTACAAGAAACTACAGTTCTTACATTATTATTTTGATATTTTATTACATTTCCCATTACTGCGGATGTAAAATCAAGCGAATAATGAACTGCAACAATTCATGCCATGCGAATACATCATTGCATAAAATATTTCATTTTTAGTTAAAATCATTAACATTATAGTTGATTTCTTATTAAGTTTCTTAAAGCTACTTACCTGGCTTTTAATTAACCAGCTAGATACTACGTATGTTATGTAGGCGCGATAGTACATGCGTGTATATGTAATAGATGCATAAAAATATACTAACAACTCTAAATATGCAATATCTACCATACTATCATATGTAATAGAGCTAATTACTATTTCTTCTCATGGCATTATTCATGGACTGGTAGAAGTTCTAGTGGTCCATATATTATATAATTATTGTACCGCGGCAAGTGATATATTGGAGTATTGCTTGGTTTTTAACTAAGGAGTTAATTACTATATCTCCTCATAATATTATTCATGGACCACTAGAATTTCCAATGATCCGTGTATTACATAGTTATTGTACCGTGATAAGTAATAGATTAAAGTATTTTGCAGGATTTCATTTTTATGATGCATATGTGCTTCAAAAAAGATTCATAATAATATATTATTAATATTATCGTTAATTTCTCAAAGACTCTTAAAATTACTTGCTTGACCTTTGAGTAACGAGCTAGAAGCTATTTTCACGGTACGAACTACCGTGAAGAAATAGCTATCTAAATTTGGTTAGTATAATATAGTGATAATATATTACAACTAGTTACTTACAATAGGAATTGCTCTAATTATAAATGTGTTACAGTAAATTTAATGCTGTACTGCAATGTGCTCTGAAATGATTCTGTGAATGGACATATTGTAGTCCGACTGTAAAAATTAGTTAGTAGATGTTCTCACCTAAGTATTTTTATAAGATGACTCGTGAATGTTAGCTGCTGTAGAAGGGTATATAAGCCCGTCAGATAATTGAATAAAGTAGTTCTCAATTGTCTAGTTGAGTTTAACGTAGAATCAAAGGCGTCTAAATTCTTGTGAGATAGTTAAGGGATACTGAATCCCGGAGACTACCATAGTATTATTTTAATATTCCACTTTTATGGTACCTATGTGATTCAATAAAATTCATACTAATATATATTGATATGGTATAAATTTTATTTGAAACTTAGAGATTACCTCCTCATGTTCCATCATACATTCCCTATATTGGTCACGCTATATCCTTCGCTAGAGATCCAATACAATTTTTAAGACGTCAACATCAAAAGGTATTATCAAAACTATTCAGAGCAGTATTACAAACTATCATCCTTCTCCCGTGTTTTTATGTCACCTGTATTCCAGTTAGTACTTGAACTAGTGATGGATTTAGTTGGGACGAATAAAGAAATTTGAAAAGATATATAATGCATCGAAGCTAAACTTTTAGTAATTTATGGATTACGTACAGATTCAAATTAATAATTTCCATCGGATTTATGATCTAGTGTATTTATGTACTTTCAAGCAAGGTTTCATTTTACTAATGAACCGTTAATTTTGATCTCATCAATTGCTAATACTAGTAGAATAAACTTACGTATCTTTAAATTCTTAAAATATTTGGCATGAATATTTAAAACACCTGTTCAGATTTTTTTATTAAAAAGCTGCTATTAGCTTACTTGACATTTCTATGCATTCATATTTTATTTTTAAAAATTAACCTCATACCTGGCAATATAGTATGGTGAAGTATTTAGTTTTACTGTTCTTGGTCAAACGCTAACATACTTGGTTGGTTCACAAGCAAGTCAAACATTTTTCAATTCCAAAAATGAAGATTTGAACGCTGAAGACATCTATTCTCGCTTCACTACTCCTATCTTTGGACGAGGAGTCGCTTATGATGTTCCACATAAGGTAGAAGTAGTTGGCGTTACAAGGCGTTAGGCCATCACATTAATGTTCAACAACATTTCGTATTTGATCGTTCTAGAATTTTAATTGACCAGTTTAAACTACCGTATCAGATCCTTCAGATATTTCATATTCTTTTATGTTTCCAATATACATTTATATTACATTTGCTTAATTCACAATCTTATTTCATCGTCATTGCGCCCAATCATAATAAACAGAATTCTTGCTAATATCTGAAGCCGTAATCTACTGATACATGCTAATTATTTCATAAACATATATGAAACTATTCTGTGGTCGCCAAAAGCTCTAATTATTTTATTACAAGGATTCGTAAAGTTAGAGAAAAACTTTGCATCTGATTACTACAGTAGAGTTCACATATGCTGTGCAGCTTAGCACATTATGCAATAGACATTATAATAGCATACACGAAAAACTTGAAATATTTATTATAAAATGCTTTAAGCTTCCATATTGCTAAATATCTTATCAGAACTAGCAAGATGTATATACAATAGGAATATCTATTGACACAATTTAGTGCGACTTCTAGCTGGATATGCTAGATCAGTTAGCACTTATAAGATTAGAGCTCTAGCTGATAATGTACACTTAGCTGTACTTCGCTATCAATAAATTGTGTTATATAGGTATTATTGATTTATTGGTCTTAACTAGCATTTTTGATAGTGCGCAATTCAAATTGTTTGTTATGGTATCTAATATTGGTGCGGCATTTATATTCAATTTTATTTTACTGTTCTTAACTAACATTTTTGATAGTATGCAATTCGAGTCATTTGGTACGGTATCTAATATTAATGCGGCATTTTATATTAATTTTATAGGTCTTTCTGGAACAGAAAAAAATGTTAAAATTTTCACTGACCAATGGCAGATTTCAGTCATATATACAAATAATCGAAGAAGAAACGGAAAGTTATATAAAATCTTGGAATGATGAAGGACACCAAGGTTTAGAGACTACATAGCTACTAGTAGCAATTTATATATACATATGCATATATACGTATACTGTATGTTACGGTAACTTGATTTTAGATTACATATAATGGGAACACTGTAATTCTTCTATTGATCATAGATTTGCAACAAATATTTACGGAATTGATGTTGATGACAGCAAGTCGATGCCTCCATGGTCAGTTTATCTTCAATGCCAATACTTTAATTCAATCGTTAATAGGATATATTTTAATAGTTTACAAGCTTATTACTTAAGAAACTTTTCACTGTGTGAATGATTGGCGTTCCAAAAATTTAAAGCTCAGTTGATTATAATTATTCGAATCTGAAAATTTTGTTTAAAAATATATACTTTATTCAGATAATTTTACATGATACCTTCAATGTATATTGTAGAACTAAGAGATGTAAGAACAAAATTTCTTGAGCTTTTAATTATCATATATTTTTGCTCGTAAATAAATCTGTACAGTAGTAATGTACTATATATGCTTAAAACATTAAAGGTTAAAACCCGAAGTCGTTCAATGTAAGTGCGACAAATTAGTGATTAAATATGCGAATAGTTACTGTATTTTCCATTACTAATTTTTTTATCGTGTTCAACTTAAGACATTGGCTATATTTAAAGCAGAAAAAGCGTGAAAATGAGTACTTTACTTAAATGCATGACCATTAAAAATATCATTTTTATACATCTTTAGAATTTGATGAAAGTCAAGAGTTGCTTCTTTTACTGCTTTATAGGATATTATCGTACTACATCTATATGATAAAGGGAATTGCATTAATTTTGATTAGAGTCTATAAAATCGCAGTGCAGTCCTTTCATATAATTATCAAAGCTACAGTATTTTTGGATAATTTTCTATTTAGCAACTTATGCCATGTTTTGTAGTTCATGTCCTGTCAGCTTTTCGTTCGGATATTTTTAATTTTAGTTATATATTGATGTATAACGCTTCTTGTCTATTCAAGGGACAATTTAAGCCTTAAATAGGTCTAAATATCAAATGAAACTCTTCGAAATTACTACATACTAATGCCTAATGATTTCGACTTCAACGCAGGCAAAGAAATTCGAGGAATGTTGAATATTAAAGTAGCCAAATTATATCGGGACTTAGGCAAGGGCTTTTGCTACGCTGCCTGGCTATTACCCAGTTGGCTACCAATTCCTACCTTTAGGTAAACGAAGCCAGTCTGTAAATTATATGATAGTCTCTTTTCTCAACAAGTGCTGGGATTTATTTAATAATAAAATTGTTGTTTTACCATACAATAGGAATCGAGATAAGGCCAATAAAGAAATGAAAATTATATTCGATCAGGTACTTAATACAGATTATCGGCTTTTTATTGAAAACATCAATTCATACTTGTGGAACTATATTGTCTCGTTAAATAAATGCAAGTATACATTTATCTTTTCTTGCTTCATTACAGTTCTTTCGAAATTAATAAACAGCACAATAATGCCATTTTTTGTTTATAATATTTAGTAGTTATATAATGAATTTCCAAATCAAATAGGTATTACTATTTTTCTGTATTTGAGAATATTTATCATCTCAGTATATCTAAATGATATTGATTGAAAATTAGCTTAAAGCCATTTTCTAAGCTGACCGTTTTTAAGATGATTGCCGCAATATAATGAAACTACGGATGCGCTATATGATCTGATATGATATCTTTAGAAATCAATTCTTAATATTGGACAATGTTCTATAAGTATTCATCTCCGTGGTAGTATAACAGAATATTTTGTGAATTAACTTCTTTACCATACATTTTTGCTGTTATTGATATCGATTTCTACCATCGCTTGCGACGCTCGTTATGTTCAACTAGGTGATATATTAAATTCGTTTAATGGGTGATTACGAGAACTGTTTAGAACTGTATATCTTCACGAATCGAGTCTGATACTGATCGTGTGTGCTTACGAGTATATTTTTAGCTTGATTTGTGCAGATTTATAAATACACAGTAGGAGTAAATTTGAACACTTAAACACATCTCTTTTTTCATTATGACGGATGAATGCTACGTAAATCTGTAAAATATCAATCCACAAGTTTCTAGGTGTTTTATGTTTGTAATTATTGCTTTTGAACAATTATTAAAGTGAAGTTTTCTATCTGCTATTTACTATAGTACATTTATGCTTGATGACTATTTTTATAATGCTCTGATACATTATTATCATTTCGGATATCAAATTTTTTAAATCTTGTGTTTAGCCATTGTTAGACTGCTATTTCTATTATTTGAGATAATGCTTCATGAAAACTTATTTTAGTACTCTTTATTTGCAATGGTGGTAATATTTGCAGGTTATTGATAAGAGAATAGAAAATAATGTGATCGAAGATGATATTCTCGACACTTTAATGAATTCCAAGTATAGGTAAAATATATTAGATGTAAAGTAGCTTACTTTAAATTGAACTCTCAATGATTTTGTGAAGAGCTTGCGATAAAATACCTTGTTAAGAGAAATCGTACGTTAAGTGCGCACATTTTAAAAAAATTAAAAGGAAATGACAACTGATATTATATAACCTCGTATGTTTTCGTACTAGAAATGGACAATATTTAAGTAAGAATGAAATTTCTGGAATGTTACTTGGTTTTTTACTTGCTGGACAGCATACTTCTTCGACATCAAGTTCATGGTTAGGATTTTATCTTGCTAAAAATAAATTATGGCAGGTAATGCGCTATAGATATAATTGAAATAAACAATATATTTCTAACACTTCTTTACTACGTTATGCTAAATTTCCATACTATCGATTGTATCATCGTATCATATTTTAAGCGATGTGCTTAGTTTTGATATCATACTTAAGAATGCATATAAGATAACAAAAATATTGTAAAATAAGCTAAGAGTTAAAGTTTTAGACAACATTGACGCTGAACATTCCATATTTGCTTTTTTTCCCTCCGCTACCTTTATAGTAGTAACTGATGATAGCAACATTTATTTCTAATCGTATTTTGATATTATATTATAAAGTATGATAGTTTTATCAAAAGTACGGATAATTATAGAACTTGTTTTATCGATAGTATCATACTTATCAATCTCTGAAAATTTAATACAGAAAAGCTATAATTAAAATCGTGTATTGTATTTAATCTATTAGTTTAAACTAGAATGATAATAGTAAGCGTTTTAGATAACATTCACACGCACAATTGTAGTTTTACTATATCCACAGACGGATTATCTGTTTCATGACTGTAATAGGATTCCTGCTTTAAAGAGCTACAAGAAGTTAGCGTTACTGAAAACAATTCTATTGACTCTGATAAGGTAAGAATGATTTATAGATTTATTTAAGCACTATTTACTGTTTTAAGATGGTTATTCTACAGCTACCTTTACAGAATTATCAAGCTAACACACTTAAGTACATATAAAGATTTTAGTGAGTTACTAAATCGTAAGGTATACTGTATTAGTTTCAGAAGAGGAATGAAATTCTTTAGCTAATTAATTATCTACTGATCCTATAATGCCATTTCGACGAAGATTTTAAATTTGACGTCTTCCACTAAAATATACATATTAGCATAGACTACAATAGAGAAGTCGTTTCTCAAAATATCCATTTTTGTGTCATTTAGATTTTTTAACACTTACATTGCATATATTCAATATCAAGTCTAGTATCAATGGCTCAAAATATTTCTCCTTCATTTATTCTTAGCTTCTTAGTAAAATTTTATCATAATTGCGTATTTGTAATTTCGGCTAGAAGCCTTATATGCTAAATTCATTTATGATTTATAAAGCAACCAAAAATTGAACCATTATTTTTTTGGATAATGTGATAATTAATTGTAGTTAAAAGAACTAAATACATTGGAATGCTGTATCAAAGAAGCACTACGATTAAGGCCACCAGTTATGACAATGATTAGATCTGTTAAAACTCCACAGGTAGAATTTTGGCTTTGTGACTGATTTAAAAAATTTCTATGCTGTTATGGATGAATATTTGATGTCCTCTAAAATTGCTTCATCCTGTATAACAAGCCATATTTACCATTTCTGCCACAAAAATAGCATTACAAGAACTTCTATATTCCAGTCGAACACCAAGTTTGCGTATCTCCAACGATCAATCAATCATTACCGTCTGTTTGGAAAGACCCAGAAGTTTTTAACCCTGATAGGTGACGAAGCAATAAAATTTTATGAAATCAACACTATATCATGACCTCATTTTAGTAACATAATTTAGAAATCTCTAAAAGCTTTTAGTGCGAATATATGCTGAATTATCTGACTTCATATATATTAAATATTCGAATATCATAAAATATCCTATGTCAACTTTAAAGAATAAATTTTGTTTGATGCGCTTGATGGATATAGATTCAAAGGCGATGGTTGCTTTCGAAATGAAAAATTTTCTTATATACCTTTTGGTGCAGGTGAGTCAAGATGTAGTAACGATAATTAGCATTATCACATATAATTAATTTAATTTTAGTAATTATAAATCGCAATTTTGCACGGATTCTTGATATTACACTTCTCTTAACGATTTGTACATCTCAAGTTGTATTTATTAGTTGAAAATTTACATTACCAATGGTTTGAAATGAATAGATGGTATTATATTTGCTAATACGAGTATAATATCATCTATTTAATACATTTTAAATAGTATTAATTATAAATGAAGACGAGTACCTTTTATTGTTTCGTTAAAAGTAATCTTATACGTAATTATAATCATCTTATACGGGTAGGTCGGCATAGATGCATTGGAGAAATTTTTGCTTATTTGCAAATGAAAACCATATGGACGGTGCTAATTCGACATTTTGAATTTGACTTGATAAATGATTACTTTCCTACGGTTAATCATAGTAGCCTAATTCATACACCAAACAATCCGGTTATTGCATATAAAAGAAGAAAGTGACCCATCATATGGCTTAACTTAACTACCACTCTGTTGGTGATATAATATTCTATAAATGTTGTTTACCAAACGGCATGCCCTAGTATTGCTGTATCAGTTTGTGATGAATAAGGAAATCGTTAAATGCTTAAATTGTACTTCTTGAATCTGATTCTGATCCAAATTTCTCGAATGGAAAACTACTGCGACAATCGTTCATCGCATTCTAGTTGCTTGTATATCTTCATATTATATTACGCGTCCATCCACATATCGATTTCATGTAGCTTCAGTTCGGGGCCAGAATAACTAAAGATGGCAAGACTGTAGCTCTATTAGTGTTTAATAAATTATAATTAAAACATAGACTATTACAGTATAAGAAACAGAAATATACTAATTTTAAAGCTCTGGTCAACTGAAAATTGTGCAATGAAATAATTATGATGATAAGCAATAATAAAAGAGATAATCAACATGAATACATCTTTACCGTATAAATCTTGATACTGTGTGAGCCTGCTTAATACAGTATACTTGTGTGATCCTAAACCATAAGGTCGTAATATTCTGGTAGATGTGAAATGATAATTAATCTATACAAGGTAGTCTCACTTCGATAGTGTAATAGAATATACATATCTGATGAACTTTCATACTTGTATATTTTCATTGATGAGGTTGTTTTCCCGATTGGATCATTGAATGTTGAATTTATTTAGTACAATCTAGGAAATTGAAGATGCTTGTATTGATTTAGAGAAAAAATTTTAAATGTGAAATTGGTAAAGTGCTTTCAATGATAATGAAAATAAAAGTCTGCCAAAAAATTTCTTTCTTTTAATCGTATTCATATGACTATACATTTGTAATTATTTAGATCATAATTTACTGTACATGATGTTATGCATGTGTGTTACGTATAACAATCAAATGGTCACAAACAGCTTGCGACAAGATCACCTAAACCTAATCGGAAACTAATACGTAACTTGTGTTCGCATTAAATTAATAAAGTCTACTTAACCAACCTATAACAGACTGTATGATTCTCGATTAAATATTTGAGCCCAGTAAAGAGTGGTTTCGACAACCCAAGGTCAATAAGGCACGAAGCCACACAGTTAACGTTTCACTGGCAAAGAAAAATTAAAGCACTAGATTCTAAATATTCCTGCTCAGTTGCCCATCAACTATTTATAATGCTTAAATATAGCAGATGGTACAAACACTAATTACCTCTGAACTAATTAAATAAGCTAAACAGAACTTGAAAGCTGGATATATTAATACCATATCAAGTAATGCATGCGAAATAAATTGGTCTTCCTTAGTAATCTTACATTATACACACAATACTGCTATAGACGTAAATAAATTACTAACTAATTTAGAGGTTATTATCTGCTCAATGTGGCAGCAATGACATCAACTGCACAACCTAAGTTATAGTTAAAGGGGTTAATTAGTCTTACGGAGCCTTAGCAACATAGCACAACCATAGCAAATACGACTAAGTAACGCTCAATTAATGTCGTCGTGAATTGCTGCAATAGTTTGTAATAGGTTAATACAATATTGTAGTTATCCACATCTCCTTGAGATAATAAAGTTCAATCAGCTATAGCTGAGCGAAGTTAAGTTTTATTAATACTAATCATCCAGTTAAAAACTTAGAATCTCTTTTCTTTTATAGTTAAATGCATTTATCCATAGATTAAGTAACTTTAGGTACTCTACAAATATTTACCAAAATTGACCAAGCTATAATGTACTGCAGTGTCTAAACTTTGTGTATTCTTAAAACTATAAAATATCATAGATATTGCCCTGCATGTTAAATTTTAAAACGTAAACTATTAAAATCAATGGAACTATTTTACATCATTTATTTCTTTAAACTATCTTTTCAATATGTTGCCAAGTACAAAACTACCAACTGAGAGAAACTATAGTTAAGATCTGATTAGGAAGAATCGTATACTCCTTCATAACGAGCCAGCGTCCAAATTGGGAAGATATTACGATAACTTTCGTAATGAATCGCACATGATTTGTTGAAAATACCTGAAATCAATTCCTATAAATAATAAAGCCTATTAGGGTGTTTATACTTTATATAAATAAGTATAAGACAGAATCTAGATTCTAGAACATGTCATGATCACATTTTTCTATAGCATAGATAATACACGTTACAATCAAATAGATTCGAACCTGAGGCCAATCGCCATTTGCCTTTTGAGCCTTTACGATTACATTGATGCCCTTGTCTATAACTGCTTTATCAGGATATCTGTTGTGGTTCGGTGAAGTATGGATTTATTAAACTGATTAGATGGTCTAGATTTTATAATTTGTATAATACATAGAAACGCGCCAACAAAATTGCTCTCTTACCTTACTGCTAAAAGACCCAATAATGCCCAACATGTATTAATAATTTGAGATTCTGATGCTTCAACATACTGACGCTGTTCGCAGGACTACAGAAATTTATGGTTATGTTCAGAACTGTATGCATTACCGTATTTCCCATAACTATTTGGGAACAGTTAATAATTTTTAAAGCTCACTTTGTAGTCTTCTCCCCAACCGCCATCTTTTTTTTGTTTACTAACTAGAAATCTACAGGCCTTTTTCACATACTCATTTGCTTCCCTAAGTAAGCATAGATTACGACATAAAAATGTTCAGTTGAGCAATTTTGATCATAACTATAAGGAAATTAACCTAACTTAGGCATAAAATCACCCGTTCTCGTATTTATAACCCATTGCTGCAAATGCTTCTAATCCAAACCATGTCCCATACGTGAAGCAAATTGCCCAACTCCTATATTAATCAGAAAACAAAGTGAATTCTTTCATATATAAATATCTTTTAATATGAACTAATAGTTAAAAATTTTTGCTACCCTTCCCAAGAGCCATCAGGTCGCTGGATTCTTTTAATATAATTTAGGCCATTTTGTAATGTTTCCCTAGAGGATAGTAAATTTACTGTAACCGAGTCTGTTAGAAATAATGAATGTTTACATTATTAAGCCCATACTTTACTTCCGTATCGCGGTAACTTGGATAAAATTTCTGAAATTTAATTAATCCAAGCATAACAGCTGATGTACACTCGCAGTAGGTGTAATCAATCATGATATCGCCTACAAGTTCATAAACACAGTTTAAGGCATCATTAAAAAGCTAATTTAAAATAGATAAAGTGTCGCGCCTACGATACTATATCAACAGCATAACAATTGTCTATATACCAACCGAAAACTTCAGATGGATTTAACAGTTCTAACAATTTGCCACCGCGCTTTGTTTCATATGTAGCAAATCCCCCATCCTCATTACGCATGTCAAGCAACTATGTTATTTAATAAAAATTGTATAATTTCACGCTGAATTCCACAGGTTGTTTAAATACAAATATAATGCTTAAAATAAAAAATCTACCACATCAACGCTGTGATATAACTTTTCTTCGGATATACGATCCTTGACGAAACTGAAACAAAATTGTAGCGTTATCATTTTGCTGTTTTTAAATTCATTAAAATAGCTGCTTTAACTTACTCGCAACTTTCATGAATTGCTAATACAGCTTTCAGACCTTCTGCGGTACAGTCGGCTACAATCCAGCCACACTCTCTTGTACTAAACGGGAACGCACCCTACAAAGTATATTACAATGATTGTATAAGAGGTATTTTTATCTAATATTAGCAACGTTATATCACGAAGTGCCTTCTCGAAAGATACATTTGTAAAAAATTCAATATTAAAATACAGTGGCTGCTACAACTATCGTTGTCACTGTCAGATAAAATTTTATTGCATTGGATTCGAACCTTATTCATTTGCCTATAATATTTTTTGTACTCTGGTGGATTATCAGGGATCTATTTAAGCAAATTATTTAAAGACATTTACATTAAATAAAAGTGTCTAACAACTACAGGTAAAATTTTTGGTTCACCTGGGTGACTTTTAAAAACTCGTACGCTTTTTGCATGCAACTTTTCATTGAGGGCAAATTTGCTGCACCAGCCTTTTTTAATGTTATAAAATTTTAGTAAACACCTTACTTGCCAGTAATATTGCTACTAATAAGTGCAGCAGAGTTACATTTGATGTACAGGTATTGATAAATTACCTCAGCAAATGCTTGTACTGCAAATGCACAGTCCCATAACTGTGAACCATTAGTACCCTGTTGACATAGGAATTATGATTATTACGGCGTAATGGCTATTATTATTAAAGTACAAAGATACGGAGGAGGCATTCGTATATAAACAAAAATTATAAGATTTCCGTATGATTAATTTTATCTTTTGGAACATACCTGCATTTTCATCCCATCGCGACCAATCCTAAAGTTATTGTGAAAAAGGGGTAATCTTATGCGATGAATATGAAAATACGTATAACTACGTCAAGTTTCTATTTACTAGACTTAGATCTAACACTTCGAATTTAACGGCAACATGTGGATATATACCATAGATAATCTGGAATACGGTCCACGTGGCGTTTAAATACATCACTTTCTGGTCCATCAACAATCCATCGAACTAACATATTTATTACCTTAGAAATCTTTTAGACAATTAATGAAAAATTAAATCATAACCAAGATTGGAAATAATATTGGTCGATATAGTTTAGCTTTAAATTGCAAAGATTGTAGGACTATTACAAAATACGAAATCGACTCTTACCGGGCCAATGCTAATACAATCTGTAAATCTATCATCAGCTTTTACATGATCCAAAAGTTCATCCAGTGCCTTCTTCCTGATCCACGAGTTATGGCAAGATTCGTAAAAATCAATAAATACTGTTTTTTGTAAAAAGAAGAGAGAATATCTTAGGAAAGCTTATTTCAAAAAGTTTGACATGAATCAGAGAAAAATAATTGTTTTGAGGAAAGTAAAAGTACGCTAACGATACCATATGCTGTATCTAGAAGAAAGCTATGAGGCGTGTAGATATCAACCGCAGCGATGTTATTTCTTTGAGCCGGCCAATCGATTTTTTCGTATGGCTGGACGTACAATTCCTAAGTTAAAATAATTATTCGAAGATATAAACACCGTCTTAAGAGAATACTAGAAATTTGTAATGGTAGTTTATGTGTGTTAGATAATAATATACTTTAACATGTTGAAGTAAAGAAAATTCTATTCTATCACGGTGAATAAACCAGTTGATAATAAATCTAAGTCCATTGCATTACTTTTCTGAGAGCTTTAATAAGATCATCTTCCTTGGCTTTAAACCTTATACCATAACAATATGCCATCGGTAAATAAACCTAAGATTCATGAACAGTGATCAATATTGTTACATGAAGAACGACGCGGCACATATTTAGACTCGTTTTCTAGGCTTAAGATTACTTGTCTGCAATGACACCAAATTGTAGAAGGATGGGCAGGCATCCATTGTGGCATTATCCTGTATATTTCAAAGAAATACATAACATTAAAATTATTTACTAAAAAATTGAATCAAAGTTAATACCATTAAGATCATCTATGAATTAGCAGGATGATAACTATTGGTTTAGAAAATGTAGATTATAGCTAGTTATCAACATTTATCAAGCATCAATTTAGTGCATAAAAAATTTTTACTGCATTTATTATTGCTAAATTTTACGTTTCCTTACGTACCACATTTCTGGTAGCAGGGAGTGCATACCATCCCATTCATATACATTTAGTACACTCAGCCAGAATTTACCCCATGATGGAATACCGACAGCTCCACCTAAAATGTGATAGACGTACGTAGAAAATGCGTTAGGCTAGGCTAATTAAATGGTGATTAATAAGAAAGATATTACAATAAAATGTGTAAAAGTTAAAAAATATAATGCAACAATGGGAACATCTAGCCCGACTTAAATAACATACCTTGGCTATGTAAGAATCGTCTAGCTCTAGTCATAACAGGATCATCTTTATCAGCCCCTAGCAATCTCATAGCAACATAATTAGTTGCAGTTCCAAACACTGTCGCTGGACCAGCAGTATGTCTAAGAGTAGTGAACAAAACACTTCATGTTGTAGTGAATTCTAAATGATAATACTATAAATAGATTGGTAATTTATCTCGGTATTGATTTATATTTAATTAAATGTGTAAGTATAACTTACAATCCCCAACCGCCAGTATCTGTGTTTTCGACATTCTTTAAATACCGAATCATTTCTTTTCTCTGATATTCAGTTAAACCAGATTGTGTGATATGACAAACAATTATTAGGCCTAAAATAAAGCACATTGTAAGGTTGGTAATGATAATTAATGAATTACTAAATAGGCAAGAATAAATTAGGGTCACTCTATTATTGTAGTGCATGTATAATTACAGCGATAAAAATTGCATATCACGAGTTGTTTACCTGACATTAGGAATAAAGGTCCACCGTAATCGCCAGACCAGTGGCCGTCTTCAGTTTGCAATTTTTTATAAAATTCCATGGCGTTGACGAGATGATCTTTGACAGTCACTGCCTTCGATAAATCGAGAAAGTCCTTATCCTTTGCACATGAAATCGAATATAAAGTCGAATAAGATCATCATTAGCTTATGATCATAGCACTAAATAAAAATCGCGCTATCGAGTCGAAAGATGTACAGTACAGTAATGTACCATGAATATATTGAAAATATTAGCTATACAATGCTGGTACCGTATTCAGTCCCAAAGCATGGCGCTCAATTGCACTTTGTTCTCTTGATGGAACGTTTTCATCTTCATAGTGCCATGTTTGCCTACCATCTAGGACAGTCAACCTCCATCTTGTTAGATCAGTTGGGGGAGATTCAGCCTTTCTTTTCATGATGCAGCACTATAAGCAACAAATAGTTAACAGTTCATCAATAATATAGTAAGCGAAAACTACTTTTAGATGTTGGGTATATCCATTTTGCTGAAGCATTCTTGCCCCTTCAACAATTCTAATTGTAGCAAATACTACTTGCGATGACGTATAGAAATACATAGTTGTAAGTCAATTTGAAAGTACTTGCAGCAAAAAAGACATCATTATTTCACTTCTACGTTAGTGAGACACGTTTTTGTCTTTAAACTAAAATGAAAACTTTAAGTATTATGTATCGGAATATTTGATATCAGTCAGGACAATTCTGTCAAAATGTTCATTTTCACGAAATGCTATTTATTCATGAGAATGCGTATGTTAGATTGCAAACGCTATAGAGTAGTTTTTAATAGGCAAAGGAAGTACTGTAATCGTACATTCAACAAGTCTTCAATACAGAACACCTCATCACATTCGTATTACTATGCGTATTACTTTCAGATTATGCGTTATCACTTTCTTTTAGCAATGTCATGTGCATTGTATTTGTATTCGTATAGTAACTGTAGCTTTCGATCAGTATCTTGTACGAACAGTATGATCGAAATATAGCATTGGAATTTATAAATTATAACACAGTTGTAATTAAATTCAATCCAGTTAAAATGTCAGCGGATAGTAACGGCTTTTATAACAATTTATTCTAAAGTCAATAGCTATTGAACTATAACTTATAAGTTAGTTAATCTTGCTGATGTTACAACAGTATATGCAATACTTTCAATGCAATGCAAGCCACATGTATTGTGCATCGTGTATCAATTATAGCTTTCAATCAACATCTTTTACGGACAGTATGATTGAAATGTAGCATTGGAATTTGTAAACGGTAGCACAGTCTAAGTACAGTAGTGCTTTGAATGCAAATCATACCACATGTACGTATTGTGCGTCATGTAGCCATTGCGGCGTTCAATCAGTTGCTTTACGAATAGTACACTATGATCGAAATGCAGTATTGGAAAATGTAAATGATAATATATGCAGTAGCATGCATGCAATACAAACCACATGTACTGTACTCTAGTGTACATTGTGTAGCAACTTTAAATCGGTTGATTTCAGAACAATATGATGGAAATGTAGCATTGGAAAATGTCAATGAGAATATGGTATATGTAGTAGTGTGCATGCAATACAAACCACATGCATTGTGCCTTGTGCAGTAACTCTAACTTTTAAAATCGGCTGATTCAAGAACAGTATGATTGAAATGTAGCATTGAAACATGGAAATGGTGCCATGCAAACGACAAGTATTATGCATTGTGCAGTAAGTATAACTTACTTAAATCGGTTGATTGAAGAATACTGTACAGTAGTATGATCAAAATGTAGTACAACAGTGGAATTTGTCAATGGTAATATACTGTTCGGTAGTGTGAACCGAGTATCTCCTGCATAAATTGTGAATTTGTACGTAGGTATGATAACATTTTTCTACATTGTGCAATACAGTAGAGTAAAAATATCAACCAAATCCATGAATAAATATTTGGTAGTTCTCAAGTTCCGTTTTCGCTCAAGTGCAAAATAAACATTGTCGCAGGTAAGCATAGCGTCAACTCAGTTGAATGTCTATCATCAAGCACTCATCATCCGTACCTATTGGATACTGGCGTCGATGGCATACAAGGTGATATATAATTTATTTGGACGTGTCTACGGAGTCACTTATTTGATTGTAATTTACGCAGTTTTGTTGTTCTTGATAGCGTTTCTAACGTTTTATTACTCTCTACTTTATGATGAAATGAAACTATTTTACGTGTTGGTTGTATAATTTTGTTTGGCATTGAGAAGATTGAGTCGAGTGAAATGTTGACTGAGCTTGGCACTGCCATGTTTTGCATGAAAACAAACTAACTGGTCGAGCATTGCTGTCTTTGAGTTGAGCTACTATTCATACAGTACTCCTACTTTGCAATGGATAGTCCAAATTAGGATGATTTTGTTATTCAATCAAGTCTTCTCTACCCATTGGTAGTCTATCTAATCTTTTTATCATGAATTATCAAGGAATAACTTACCAAGAAAAAGAATTTCACTGGTAAACAATCTTCAAGTTGCTCAGTGAAATGGAGGATTGACAAGATAGGCAACTAGTGACTTACTGTACATCCAACTATAGTACACAGGATTAGCATGGAGTACATATAGTACAGTACAATAAGTACAAGAGTTTGGCCTTGTTTCATTTCAGTACCGAACACTGACTGACAGGACGCTGGACAGTGGACAGGCTTCGAAGGGTTAAAAGGTAATGGAGCCATATTGAATGAACCAATCAAAAGAGAATCAATCGATCATGACCATGACGTGATGGAGTTATCCAATGAGATGCTAGAATCCTTCCTTATTATTCGCAATTGGAGTGACTCGACCAGTACCAGACGACATGAGGGCCCGGCTCACTTTCATCACAGACTGTCAATAAAGGTACACTGTGTACAGTACTATACTGTACACAGTGTACAGTACAATCGTGTGTAAAAAGTTTAAGTACTGTCAATTAAATTTAGTACTGTACTGTGAAATGCGCATGAGCTAACCCAGCTAACCAACTGTAAAACGCTATTAAAAATGAAAGATGTAGTACCTATGTAGAACGACCGGAAAAATGCACCGTGCGGTACGTAATCCAACAGATGCTTGTTGTTTCATGCTCACTAAAGTGCTCACTCACTTAGCTATAACTTTTATTACCATACTTTTTACCATCGAGGTCAAAAATAACTTACCTACACACTGCCCTGTACAGTGTACAGTACATTACAGCACCGTACAATGTACTGTACTGTAATGAATCGTACTGTACAGTATGTACTGTAGCGTACAGTATGTTCTCTACAGTACAAGTAAATATACTGTACACAGTCAAGTTACAATACTGTACAGTGATACATTGTACTGTGCTTTCTACAGTATAACCCTTACTTACAGCGTTAACTCGACGCCATTACTACAGTACTCAAGTTAGGCAGCTACCGCGCAGTACTGTATGACCCATTGAAGGTTAAGGCGTTACTCTGTCATACTTTCACTCGTACAGTAGGAAACTGCAGCACTCGGGTGAGAAATTTGAAAAGTTGGACGTGACTGCTATCCTCCAGTTGGACACCAGGCGTGGTAAATAGTGGTTGTACCTTTCAAAGTGGAAGAAAAATGGCGCTAGGCGATCTTGGATATCAACTAATCAATCATGCTAGGACATTTATCGACGGCTATGGCAACAGCACGCTTGTTCTGTTGGCAACTACGATCGTTTTAGCTATTCTTTTGGCCTACAAGCAGGTCAAATCGTCAGTAGCAACAAGAGGCATGGTATGACAGCAGAACATACATAGTAGCATATGATACATTTTCCAATCATGTTGAATAAGTTAAGATATTCAATAAATTCAGCGATATCATCCAATGATACAGAGTAGATGATACAATCACTAGCATCCATTAGCCTACGTCAAAGTAACTACTTACAGCATAGACTGATTTTACAGCTACTACTGTATACTCATCACTTGCTACAATTGTGCTCAATGATATTGCATGGACTAGAGAATGAAACTTGATGACGTATCCAAGTCAATGATTCAGTTTATGTTATTCTTCAACTTGTTCTCCAATCGATTGCTTGCCCATTACTGCTACTGCTACTACTACTAATGACCAAAGTATTCGTTCCTCCTGATTTATTTATAATTCTAAATATTGTTCTCATGATGTAGAATCTACCACCACACATACCATCCAGTATACCATTTCTTGGTTGCTCAATAGAATTCTCCAAAAATCCTATTCTCTTCTTGCAAAATGCTCACAAGAAGGTAAGCAATGCTGGAATAATATCTTATCATACATCTCTCATAAGTTCAAGTTAATGATTGTATACCGCTACTCCACTATTACAATATGAAAAGAGTCAAATGTTCAATTTACAATATTTGATCTTTCATATACTCATACTGGAGTGAGAAGGGTAAAGCAGAAACTTCTAAGACATTAGAATAATACTTATGGATTAGTCTTACAAGTCCCTGGGTAAAGTATACTAATTATCCAATATTCTCTTTCCAAATACTAGTACATGCATTGTATAACGGTATACAACACTGCATGACACTATTCAAATTGATTATTGAAAAGCATTTGAAAGTCAGATGCAAAAAATGACTAATAACTTTTACATGATAAAGTATGTAAAGCTAGCTGCTTGAAAGGATTACCGTTTGTGAAATGATCAAGTGTGTTATTGCAGCATCGTAGTTATAAACTGTTGCCGCTATGACGATGATCTTATTAACCTTATCTATGCCACTTGTCTTATCTCCCCATATATACTCCATATTCGCATGACGTAAAAGTACGGGGAAGTATTCAGTTTTACTATGGTTGGCAGCACGTTTACGTACCTAGTTGGATCAGAGGCCAGTTCACTCTTTTTTAATTCCAAGAATGAAGATTTAAACGCTGAAGACGTATATTCACAACTCACTACCCCGGTATTTGGGAAAGGCGTAGCTTACGACGTTCCACATAAGGTATCCGTAAGAAGAATGATGCAAACTGTGATACTTTGTGTCAGATATATTATTGGACATTTCTCACAATTCTGCATACCTTGGCCAACAACGTTTTTGATAATATAATCAATAATTGATTGAGAATCTAGTAATTAAAAGAAGTCAACATGTTTGATCCAAACTTTTGTCTAGGTGTTTCTTGAACAGAAAAAAATGTTCAAGACTGGACTTACCATTGCCAGATTTCAAAATTACGTACCTATGATCGAAGAAGAAACTCGTGAATATTTCAAACGATGGGGAAATGAAGGAGAAAAAGGTATAGCATTATAACTATGTCCAATCTTTTGTTAACTACTAAACTATATAAAGTAATAGAACCTTCTATCTGCTGTATTATCGATGTGTATATTCCTATTGCTTAAGGTAATCAAATAGAAATAGTTACCTTGTGTTCTTCTTTATTTTAGATTTATTTGTTGCTCTTTCGGAGTTAATTATTATGACGGCTAGTCGCTGCTTGCATGGTAAGTACAACAAATAGATTTCAATGTACATTATGGAATGATATAACATCAATGCTTCTCTTCCTGGTAATCGTATTGCACAATACATTTATTAAAAAGAAATTATCATATTCTAGGCAAAGAAATTAGGTCTTTACTGGATGAGAGAATTGCCCAACTCTATGCTGATTTAGATGGCGGCTTCACGCAGTTAGCCTGGCTTTTACCAGGTTGGATCCCCTTTCCGAGCTTCATGTATGTATCAATGATGATTTGATATACCGGCAGAGAGATATAATTATAATACAATTAAAAATAATAAGACAAAACGTAATTACTTCATAACCATTTACAGTAAACGCGATAATGCCAACAAAGAAATGAAGAGAATTTTCCGCTCGGTAAATTGTATTAGATAGCGATGAATCAACATTAAATTTTGAATGTCATTCGATGGACAGGATGTATTTAATTTTTCTTGTATACAAATGTAATAGGTTATTACAAATAGGATTAAGGAACAAAAATATGAAGATGACATGTTGAACACCTTGATAGAATCTAGTTACAGGTTACCATTGAGTAGAGTTGATTAATAGAGAATAACATTCGTTAATGTAATACATTAGTGCTCGAGTACTTTAGCATGATAAAACGAGTTTTAAAATTGATCAATAGAATAATTTGGATATTAACTATGATATTATTATTTAATTCTATTTGTAGGAGCGGTCGCAAACTAACTGAAGACGAAATTGCTGGTATGCTTATTGCATTGTTATTGGCTGGCCAACATACATCCTCAACAACAAGTTCATGGCTAGGCTTTTTCATTTCTAAAGATAAAAAGTGGCAGGTCGGCTGTAGACTTAATGCGATGCAATGACATCACACATATAATTTCAAATCTTGTTGGAAATTTGTTATTAGCGACAGTTATTTGATGTGTATTAATTAATTATTCGATCGGACCGGACTTTATTTATGACACAGGATAGATTGATTGAGGAACAGCACGAAGTTTTTGGAGATGACGACGATTTGGAACCTTTATCTTATGAGAAGGTTTGACGTTGAACGTATTATCGAAATAGTTCTAATTTACGCGCACTAACAAAACTATAGTAGATAGAATTCAGGTTAGAATTGAATAACATGGCTCTTGGAATATTCCTGAGCGCACTTCTACGTTGATATATCGCTATAATAAATATACTGTAATGCAGAAATAATTGCCGTTTCAAAAGTTTGGAGCTTTATCATTCGTCTCGTTCTTGCACTTATGATTGTTGATGGCAAATTTTGATTTCGCGTTGATATTAAACGTATTTCTTATTTCATTGTAGTTGAAAGAATTAAAGCATCTAGATCGTACTCTCAAGGAGACTCTACGTCTTCGCCCACCCATCATGACAATGATGAGAATGGCTAAAACACCGCAGGTGCGAATTTATACTAATTGTACGTTGTATATCTGTTATGTGTCTCTAAGTCTTATTAAATAACAACTAGAGTATCTCAGTATACTATTAATAATAAAAATAGAAAGTTAAAGGTTACACGATACCAACTGGGCATCAGATATGTGTATCTCCAACCGTGAATCAAAGATTATACTCGGTGTGGAAAGACGGTGAAACTTTCAATCCTGATCGGTACGTAATTTAATTTATTTTTAACAAATAGTATGAATAAAACACTCGTATTTAAATTTTGTCTATTGTCGGTTAAATCGAAATAGATTTGCTGAAGAAGGTCTTGATAACAGTGAAAAATTTTCATATGTACCTTTTGGAGCAGGTAAAGCCATTAAAATGATTATACATTTTGTGATATAATCGATGTTAGAGATTAAGTGCTTATTATAATCGCACATATAGGTCGACATAGATGCATTGGCGAATTTTTCGCTTACGTCCAAATAAAAACTATCTGGTCGGTTTTAATCCGAACTTACGAATTAGATTTGGTAGACAATTACTTTCCAGAAGTGAATTTTACGACCATGATTCATACACCAAGTCGTCCTTTAATTCGGTATAAGAAGCGTAGTTCATAAGTTATTTGTTTGGAATAACTTTCTCACTTGTTTGTTTCAATTGTGAACTTGTCATTTATATCGTGATTTCTTTGTTAACTCACAATTCAACTGAATTTTAACTATAACATTCTATTAAATTATGATTTTAAGGAGATTACGCAGCAATATTTACCCAGTTTATGCAGACTTGCTGTAGTTTACATCTGTACAACAATAGTAGGGCTTAGTTAATGTGAACTTACTATGCCATAAATTTATTATCTTGCTCATGTACAAATACGTAAACCTAGGGTAATTGGCTTATGCAAGTTTGCATTCTAAGGTCGATTTGTAGTTTTCATCGAATAATTTTGAATTTGCATTGTGTGAAATTTTATTCAAAATCTAAGGTTAACTATCGCTAACTTAAAGAAAGATTTTTGCGACTGCATGCGATAATACTCGCATAGTTTGTAATAAAAGAAACTTTAATCAGGTATGATGGTATTACGCACTTGCTCGTATATGCTGTCGGGAGAAATTAAGAATAAACTGGCTATTAGCTTTGTTTGCGTGTGAAATGTAGCGATGTTGAAATTAAACCTTTTCTCCTTGTTTATATTTGCACAATGCACAGTATACAGTATACTGTATAAACCAGTCTTAAGGCTGAAAACGTTCATAGGAAAGCCTTTAATACCGTATACGACGTATGTGTACGTACTGTATTATGTAATAAACACGAGTATACGCGTATAGCATACCTACTCTGCAAACAGAATGCAGAGTTTTCCATGTAAAGACCCCATTTAAAAGAATTTATTTTAATCCTGTCTAACGTATGGCATGCGAATATGCTGTATGAGTCATATTAGTTTATAATGATCCGATTTCGTAGCAACTCGAGATCTGTTCACTTATTACGTTAAATACCTGCCGCAGAGAAGTACTGTAGAAGCTTAAGGGTATACAGACCAATAAAAATCATAACGCTACTACTACCGAACAACTTGAGAAGTGAATATTCGATAATTATGCGATCATTTATGATTGTACGCAGTAAAACTGAGTAGTCGGGATTGTAAACAACCTAAATAATTGCTTAAAACCATACAGGTATTACCAGAGTTACGTCCATTAATTAATTAGTTATAATTATCGAGAGATCCGCGATACTTGGCTCTCCAACACTTAGCGCCTAATGCGCACGCGTCATCGGTTGCCATGGCACAACTTTTTGAACACTATGTCTAGCAGAAGCAAAATGCACAAGTTTGTAGAGAGATCAAGTTAAGGAAATGTATGTAGTTTATACTATAGCAATTTTATAGATGTTATAAACCGTTTAATTCATCATAGTATTTGCGTATTCAATATTAAGTATACGGTTTGGAACACACACCGAATCTTTGTCAGTTGATATTGAAGTTTGAAGAGTGGAAGATTTCGTAGGCGATCGATGTCTGTATACACTCTTGTATGTATGTCGTATTGGAAATAGCTATAGTAGAATGAACATATTTCATTATGAGCTACGCTTGTAGTATTGCAACAAGATAAGTGTAATGCGGTGATATTTAGCTACTACTATAAGTCAGGTAATTCTTTTACACTATAGTAAACTGATATGATATTAAAGTACAAGTAGCAAATAATACACTGTTGGTAAGAATATCCATAACCTAAGATGGAGACATCAAAATCACCCATCGAACATTCAACTGCTTTAAAGTTTATAAGTGATTACAAAAAGGCTGTTGATGACGAAACAGTTGACAGCTTTCAATATAACGCGTCTGCACTGATCGATCTAGCCAAGGATAAGCAGGAATTATTTGAGGAGGATATCGCCATTATACGAGAACATTTGACGCGACTATTCGTTACTGTCCTCGGAGAAGAAAGGTAATCTTGACTTTTTCCGACCTTTGAATCATTCTAATAAGATTAATACTGTACTGTATACACAGAAAATGATCTAAATTGGTCAGTTAATTAGATGCAATTTATTATCGATAAAGGGCATAATCTAGTAATAAATTTCATCCGTTAACCCCATTGCCAATTTATTAATTATGATATCTCTATGCACAATTATTTGACACTGATGTATAACCTAGCAACGAGTGGCAGTGGTCGAGACTCTATGAGGTATTAGAATCATTACAGCCATGGAGTTCATCAATCATTAGCCATCAGGTGAGGGTAGCAATGTTGATCGTTTAAAAACCATGACTTGCGTGAATATTAACAACTAGAAGTTATACGTTAATAGGAAATTGTTTACATTTTTAAGTCTGTCAATTTTTTACTAATTAATCGTTTTGTATAAGCATAAAGTAGCTAATGTAACATTTTGCTTTAAGTATGATAAATTTCGCTTTTACTGTGGTAGATAACATACTATATCAATCGCATCAATCGACATATCATAACGAATCCGAGTACTCCATGTGCAACATCAATATCAGATATCATCAAAGCTTTCAATTCGGTAACTATTACATTGCTTATGAATTATTTCGTCTCTGTTTACTCTAACTATACAATTTTATCGTTATCTTTACAGTCAAAGGATACAACTAGCAATAATAAAATTACTTCAGCTGTAAATGGCTCGAAGCAGGCTGAGAACGTAACCGAGAATGCATCAAAAAGCCCAAGATTAAATAAACAAATCCCCGCAAGAAATCCATTAAAAGAAGAAGATAATCCCTATGTGCTAAAAATTAGGGTATGAATATTTTCATAAATTACAATATCATACATACATAGTCAGTAATTGTTATGATGTGCCAAAAGTCTTACAAAATAAATCTATATACAAGGATAATCAAAGCTATGTTCCGGATGATGAGTTAAAATTTAGAGACATCAATGAATCTCTCCCTGTAGTGCTCCAAGAAATATCTCAACGTAAGCTTAAATCTAGCAGACTAACACATAAAAAATAATGTATTCCACATGTACCATCATTGCTTACTAAGGGCCAATAATAATACCATTTTAGGTGAATCTGCATGGCCAAATCCTGTAGGAGCAACTATTGCTGCCATGAAATTAAATTTACCAGATCATGTAAGTAATCAATATGTTTAATCCTAACCAAAGATTCTATCTTATAGACAAATGTGATGTATTAAGAACTAAACTGTTGTTTTCTATATATTTAAGGTCAAGGAAACCGGTGAAAAACCTGACTCTATTGACCGTGGCAGTAAAGATAATTTGATAAGCATTTCAATAAGGTAAATCAATACATACGTATTAACTGATAGCATTTCAAAATAATTTTAAAACATTTTATTTAAATTTTAGTCCAAGAACAAAGAAAATCTTAAAAGACAGCCGTGCAGAAGAGCTTAAGGTTTGCTTTGTGCTCACTTATCCTAAAATATGTTGTGGAATAGAGTAGCAAATTTCAACATATTTCTGAATATTCTTACGTAGATAAATACCGAGATTAAAACCGGCTGGGATATTCTTAAGTTATTTGCAGCTGGAAGACATACCGGTAATCTATATATCTGTATATTTGGCCATAAAGAATGAAAATTCTTATGATCAGATGAATAATACTGCTGTTATATTTCAAACTTTATATAGGTCGTTTACAGTTTGCCTATTTAAATTTTGATGACAGTACGAAAGATTTCAGACCTTATGATTTAGTAGCGGTACCAAAAAATAAGGTAACGCATTTTTACGTTATAAATATTTACGTTAAAGTATTCTAATTGTCTCTTTTAAATTGATAATGTTTAGCATATAGCAATATTTAATTTTACTAAATAATGATGAAAACGTTATGTACTTTTATTTACGAAACCAATAAAACTACGAAATGGAAGATAAATCCTGAGCATTTCGTTATGTCATGCTATGGTGTTCTACACGTTTATCCGGATCAATCTGCAGGTTTCACTAATTTCTAATTACTCATATAATCTTATATAAAAGCTTTTTCAGGCGTCCAAAGTGATATAAACAATAATTTTTTTCTTGACTTAATAACTTGTTGCTTTATTTACTTTATTTTACCGACAGAATCATTAACTTTAGATGAATGGCAAAAAGAAGCAACTATATTTAATGCTATAACTAAAATATTCTTTTTTCGAAATTTTCTACTCCGGAAACTGTTTCTTAGGTCAGTATCGTAACATTTCATCTCAAACACCTTCATCTTAGTAGCTATGTGATAATTATTTGCGCTTTCTGTTATAAATACGAGTATATCGGTCATTTTTAAGACATATTCCATACCTCATGATATTAGTTATGTTTTATAATCATTATAATAAATAAAATAGTAATGATAATCAGTAAATCAAATGTAGATTCGGGTCTTACGTCCGACAACATTACTTATCAAGAATTTTATGTACCACGAATCTGAAGAAAAGTATTTATTATATTACACTTGTTGATTATATGATATGACTATAAACTAAAAGAATCATCGAAGATTACATTAGCATAACAAATATTTCTCAGTAAATTAACATGACAGTTGCATTTGTAGTACAAATGGAGAAATGGAAGCCTTTCATTATATAACACTTGTTGATTATACAACATGATTATAGAACCCAAAATCATGGGTGATTACAATAGCACGTTAAATTTTATTCAGTAAATTAATTTGTCACTCGCATTTGTATTAACTTATAAATGTGGCAGTGGAAGAATTATTCGTATGGAATCAAATATTAAATGGATAGACGTTATTTTAATATAACCTGGTTTACGATAATTATATGCGAATTCCTAATTCTGATACTTTTCTTACAACAGATGGAGAAGAAATTCAAAGTATTCCCAGTTTTATAAAACTCGTCAAATCATTAGTCGCGACCTACTTTTGAATAATAACTCATTTTATTCTGCCATATCCCAGATATCCAGGTATAAAAGAAATTTTTGAAGACTTATATATTAAACTTTAGATGTCTAAGCAAAGGAGAAACAATCTGGTATAACTATGATAACAATTTCTTCTAATCCTTATTTTTTAGTCTGCTTGTAGATCTCGAAACAATCGAATTCTTACCTTTGGATGAACAGTAAATCTCTTTTATATACGGATTTTTACGAAAGAATTTTATTTGCAGCTATATATATTAACATCCAGTCAATATTTAAATTATAGCACTTGCTTTACTTTGGCTGACTTTGTCGAATTTTGTCAAAGAACAAGAGAAAAAGCTGATAAATTTATTCGAAAATTTTTTACGTAAATGCTGAAACTTTTGCTAATTACAAAACTACTTTTAATTTTAAGTATAAATAATCTCGGCATTAAATTAAAAATTTTTAAATACGTATGTATCAAAGGTTGATTGTTTAGATTAACAAGCAAAAGGTATATAATCTGTATTGAAATTATCTAATAGCTACTTTGCGGCCAATTTATTTCAGGTATTCTCAGAAGATTATGGATAAAACTTTTGAGAGCTCATTAGACCGTTTAAAACACTATGAAGCCTTGTGTAAAAAGAAACAGCCAATGTAAGTTGGTTGTCATTTAGCTTAAACTATTTAGAGGAGATATTTTAGATTACTTTGCGCTTTCGTTGTGTAGAACGAAAGAATCGTTGTATATAATGAAACAGAAAGCAGATAAACGGCAGCAAGATCTAGAAGATGCAAAAAATGAAGTTCGGTAAGCATTTCATCCTCTTCAATATCTAGTAAGCAACTGATCGTGAAATAATCTCCGCTGCATTGGTAATACATTAAATTATGCATTCTTCTAGGCGTTTAAGCCATTTAGCTAGCTTAATCGACTATCTAACAATCGAAAGTTTGGTTAAAATGTCTCGTGCCAATATCACCAAGTTTGTTACTAAAACATTGAGTGATGAATCGACTAGAAGAGATGCCCTATTTAAAGCTGACTTAGTTTTTAATTCCGAAGGTATGTTATGATATTACCGGATGTTTATTATAACTACATAGCTTAGACATGAATACTGAGTGTTATGCTAGTAGTTTTTAACTTTATTACGTGAGCGAAAGAAAATTTGGTGTACTGAAAGTTTAATGTTATTATCACATACTGTAGATCAGTTGATGCTACAACCGTTTCAGCGCCATTTTAGGAAGATTATCGCATCCATGCTAAACGATATTCCTTCAATCTTGTGTGAAATGATTAAAACTAGTCAATCTCCTGACGAACCTTTGGTTTTACAAACACTTACTAATTCTAGCAGTTTTATGCAATCACCATTACCAAGAATATCCAGCGTAATGAATCAGGCTCAGGATACTACAGAAGTAAATGATTTAGAAGAATCACAAAATCAGCAAAATACTAACGCTAAGCGTGGAGTTGCCTTTGCACCCACACCATCAAACCAGGGTATGGAGATATTTGCATTTAATACAGAAGATCCGCACTATTAATAGTAATGTTGTGATGATTTTAGATGTAAACAACGTTAAAATATATGTACATACATTATTATTTTTATGATTTATCCGTCCATTACCATACATTGGACAAAAGGCAAAGAATTTATGAGACTGCCAACTCCAACGAAGTCTCCATCAATACAATTTTCCGACTCTAAACGCGATTTATCAACACGCGAAGAATATGTTGTTAAGCCAAATTACAATATCGAAGTGCAAGGACATAGTATTATAGCTCAGCATACGCCTCTATCTAAAAGAAATTTAGAAGAAAAATTACATTTAGAGTAAGCGATTTGAATGTATACGCGTATATTATATTATAATTTTAGCCATTTGAAGTTTAATTTTATACCTAATTCTAAATTATTTGTTTTTTTTCTTAATAATGAACAACGAATTATGTCTTTAACTTTAATTAACTCCCCAACAATTTGGTGCCAACTTCTACTTCTTATCAATAGTATTCTAATTCAAGAATATAATCAAAAACAATCACTCTTAGTCGAAGAAGACCTTACAGATATTGATCAGTTTTGTGCCAAGTATGAATGGCTTTGTGAAATTCATGCTTTCGTCAGACAATGGGGTAATGATCAAATGAATGAACTAAACAAAGTTAATCCTCAAGTATTTAAGGTATTAAACGAAAACTATAATATTAAATTATCGTAAGTTTGCCATGCTATATGAATAGTTTTTATATGCATCCTCATCATAGCCGTTTGCATACTATAAGTTGTTGTAGCAATGATGTGCCAAAGTGGCTACTGTAATCCATTTTCTCATTTGATAGGAGCAATTTCAGATCATTAGCCAATGGATTGAAAGAGTCCAGGAAGTTCCTGATTCATTTATCACAAGCAATAAACTGTTTAATATCCACTGTAAAGGAATAGAATATGCTTTACTACCGAGATTAAAGCAGATCTTTAAAAATTTGGATAATTTAATTAGCGAGAAATATCACACATTGGCTGTAGGATTTATACGTGGGATTGACAGTTTAACCACTGTAAGTGATTGAAAGCGCTATCTTATTAACCTGTTGTAGAAAGCTACAACAGAGTGGAATGTATAAATAAGCATAAATTGATCGGAGCACATAAGATAACGTAGGGTAATTTCTAAATTACTTGTTCAGGAAATGTACGAAAGAAAATTTGACATTGAAAAGTTTGCCAAGTTTGTCCATCGTGTTTCTCAAACGAACGAGAGTCAAAATCAGCTAGAAGATGATCTTAATAACATCAAATTTTATTACGAGGTAAGATGATTTATTGCAGTTTTTCTAATTTTAAAGACTGAAAGAGATTCACTTCATTTTCTTTATAGTAAATGCTCTATTTAATCGTTTATATAAGTCAGTAGAATCGATTAAGATCGAGAAAATAGTATAATACACAACTTAAAATAGACATGTTCATCATCCTTTGAATACTACATGAAGAATTTGTTTTCATTTCTAAAACTGACTTTGTATAATGATGTTAACTATTTGCTATTACAACTAGTGTATTACAAAGCGCAATTTCATCAATGCATTATATGGAATTTGCTCTTAATTTCATTATGTGATTCACATATTCTAGTAGTGAACAGAATGTACTAGGTGTAACATCTCAGTAAATTTATCCGTTGTAGGTTATCCGCAAGCACTGCCATCAACCTACTACGGAAGAATCGCATTTGTTATCTAAGGTAGGGTTACTAATTATTCGTTTAGCACGGATAAAAATTTTACCTTGTGCGATAAAATACCTCGAAAGAGCTTCAATTTTTCGTTCACTCCATTCCATGAGTAAGTTCTTCACCAGCACTACCGTGTATAGACGGTTGCTAGGCTTCTAATTTAGCTCATAAAGTATAATCTGTTTGGGACTGTATGATATCTATTAAGTTACTTTCGCAGAGACAAGAAAACAGATTTTCTTCTTGCATACATTCAATAACTTTCACTACGTGTACTGCTACAACACCGTAGTTCGATGAATAAACATCATAGTTGTAAGGAAAATAATCTATTTTCCCTTCTCCAAGATATAACACTCTGCAGCAGTACCAGTGTTGGTTATAGAGGTTAAGCTTTCGAGTCTACAGTAGTTTGATGTGCTGTCTGTTCCGAGAAAGTCTTGAAACTTTATGTCACGATACCCATGACGCTAGTAATTTTTTTATAATAAGTGGCTTTTAATTTAATATCCCCTAATAAGTGCTCTCAATTGGTGATACCGCTAAGGAATTAAGTTTAGCAGATCGAGCTACAGGACTTGTTACGATCATCTTATCGGCTTGCTAGAAGAACGTAAAGAATCTAACAGAAACAAAAAAATTCTAAGAACGATTTATATTGTAATTTTGTCACGAATCTGAAATTAGCCATAAAAATTATAGTTAAAATGTTAATTCCCTTTCAATGGGATGCTACGCTAATTCTATACACTCTGACGTACTGTATCGTCATGAATCTTTAGTATCACTGGATGTGAGTTAAAATAGTCATGCAATAACTATCGATTTATTACTACCATTATGCGAAATTTGTAGTTATTAACCCTATTACACAATTAGTACCATTATTCTAATTACTATTAGAGTTTATCCCGGCTAATATCTACGCTATATTTCGCTTTCCTCCTTGCAGGGCCTGCAATACGCTATGCAGTATACTGCAGTTATGTAATAATTATCTTTTCAGCTAATGCTCATAGTTTTTGTTACCAGTGATTGGCAAATAGAAAGAATTATTATTTGATTGTTAGAATAAATTGTAGACTGTCACTAACCTTGCTAAATTGGTCCTTCTCACATTGCATTGTAGCTAAATTCTTGTTGGAGGATATTCTCCGTTAGTCTGCTGGATGCCGTTGAATTCGTTGATAGCGAAAAACCAATCATGATTGAAGGTTTAGAAGAAAAGATCAAGGTAAATACCGTTAAATGGCATTATGACATTATCCCGATTTTAGTTGCAAATACTTTGATATTGCTAAATTCACTTATTTGATTAATTTGTTCTAGTATACTACTGTATATCATACACAGATTCAGCAAATTGAACACTATGTACTATAGTAATATGCGTAGTATGATTTTTCAGCCTTAAGCTACTATATTAACAAGCAGCAATTCTAAATTTCTACCTAAGATATACGCGATGTAATACTCGTAGTCCTGTGAAAAATAAATATTTCAGTACACGTATGCTATTATATTTTTGGGGGAAAAGCTATTCTGTGGGATAGCATTAATTAGTAATTCGTTTATATCTCATGATTTTGACACTTATAGGCTCTAGCTGCAGATGCAGAAGACATCGGCAAAGATGCCACGTCTGGTATTTTCTTGGATCCCGACCAGAGTCCTTCTCATGCTTTAACGCTTATGAGAGATGTAAGAACAAAATACAGTTATCATTTTTGGATTACTTGTATACGTTGACTATCGTTAGATGTAGATTGACAATGTTCTCAGCAGGCAATATTGACTTTGAGTCTAATCGCTCACTAATAAAATGATATACGGGAATTGATCCATTTTATTTTTGAACTTCTCGATCAGCTACGAAATGAATTTCAAGATATTCGAACAAGCTTACTTAATTTAAGTAAATGGCGTGAGTCGATTACTGGTCGCCCGTATGATTTTAGCCGTTTAACAGCGATCTTAAAGAATATAGACATACGCCAAGAGATGTGGAAATATATTGAAGTTTCGGAAGGAAGAATAAGAGATTGGATGAATACATCATTTTATAAGGTATTGATTCTGTCTTCTAGCGTAACAATATCAAACCTAGTTGTAAATTGACATTTTTGAAAGCTTCTATAAAATTTGATCGCGCTTTATGATATTATAACACGTTTAGTTGGATGTTACCAAATTAATTCATAAAGTAAACGAATGGAAAAATGCATCAGTCCAGCTCAGAAATCAACTTCCTATAGGAGATCGTGTCCTTGATTACTGGAAAAAGAGTCTGGTCGATATTGAACGTCATACACCATTTCTAGCAAAGCTTTCAACGAAATCATTAAAGGTAGGAATAATACGGTATTGGAAATGGCATATTTTATAAGCAACAGTAGAGGATATTTGCTGTAAACGGCTCTTCAATGACTAAAGAATAGCTGAATAAATGATGCAAGATAATATAGCCATGCTATTGACTTCTGTACTAGTATTATAGGTCAGACTATTTAACCATTCCAATTTTATCCCTAAATTAGGCGCGCCATTGGAAAGATATATTTATTGGAATTGGCCAACCTTATGATTCTACGTGGCTTTTCACTACTAAAGAGTTGCTATCATTTGATCTAGAATTACATACTTCGCTAATTAACTCAGTGGTTGCCAGGGCTGACGCGGAGTTTGCGTTAGAAGGATCTTTTCAGCAAATTTGCAAAGTTTGGGAAGATAAAAAGTTACAATTGACAAAGCATATACCTATCGTTCAAGGTTCTAGAGCGTGAATTTTTACTTAAAGTTTCGCCTCAACTCTCTATTTTTTGTCGACTCTCCATGTAACTTTTTTACTATTACATTCTTTATCAAATGTTTAGTTTCAAATGTAAATCAAACACCAATGTCAACAGATAGCAATGTAAATGAGATAGCTAAGGTAATGTTAATGTATATATAGTTGTAATTCTCACAAAGTATTTCATCGTGCCACTGTTTTATCGATTTTACAATAACTTAGCAAGAGATCATTGTCATTTTATAGCAGGATAGTAGAATGGACGACGATGCTCTTGTTCTTATGGGCGTTGAGGAATTAAAAGTACAATTAGAGGTAAATACGTTATAAATGGACAAATCTAATACCTATCATATTACAATTATCATTTGATTCACGTTACTGATTAATTAAGTTGTACGTGTGTAGTTGTTACCAGATTATAATATAAGAATACTGGTTAAACTGTCTTCATGCACTTATTTAAAATTTAATCAAACTACTACCAATGTTATTGAATATTTATTTTGTCTACATGCTCTTATTGATTGATATAAAACGGCGAGTAGATCATGTTGTTAATCAGTCCTACATTTCTATATCTAATACACAAAATATAATAGGATCACCAGATTACATTGCGTGGAATGCTAGTTTCTTCGCACTTAGCAGATTTACGCTATCAAGTCGAAGCATGGTCAACAATGTTGCAGCAACTTAATGAAATTATTGATAGTTGGAGCAATTGCCAACAAAAAGTAAAATCACTGCCCTATTTTTAGAATTATATTATTATAATTTCTAAAAGGATATATTACTAATTTATGCCATTTTCCTACAGTGGCTTCTCTTATATAATGTGTTTCAAAGAAAGCGTATTAAAACTGACTTGAGCAAGCAATATCAAGAATTTGAAAAGATCAACTCTGGTTATAAGGATTTCCTGAGATCAGTTGTCGAAAATCCCAAAGTTTTGAATTTAGTGAATCGTCGAAGGAGCCAGAAAGCCCACAAAGATGTTCACGGAGAGAATCTGTTGCAATTACTATTCAACTACAGCGATACTCAGGTGCATTATACATTTTGACCTTGTTTATTTAAATCAAATGTTCCAGTATCCATTTTTGTAGCTGTTGCTAAATCTAAAGTCACTACAAATTAGTACAGTATCAATATTAATCTCCACTACTACTTAGTGTTAATGCAGCTGAAAAACATTCATTACGTTACGTTTTGTTTATATGCTCTACGTCGTTCTATTTATCTCACAAGACTTTTTATCACGTAGGACCAAATAATAAAACATCTGTATTTTCTTTTGGAAGAAGCTCGTAATGAATTTCCAAGATTTTATTTTATTAGCAATCATCAATTATTAGATATTATGTCGTACGCAGATAACCCATCAGCATTAGCACAATTTGTAAATCACTGTTTTCCTGGAATTTTATCATTAAAATTGATTCTTCCGGAACAAACTATTTCTGTCATGAGAAATACTACTAATGAAATCAATGCGGCTTTCAACGGTAATGATTAATAAGGTTGAATTTTTTAATTATTTTTCTTTAAGAGGAGGAGAGATTGAATAATTATAACTAATTCTATTTGATCTTGAAATAGCTCATTTATTACAAGTATCAGCACTCGAAGGCAACCTAGATGAAGTTGTCGAATTGACAACAAGAATAAAGGCGGAATCCCAGCCACATAAATGGTTTGCAGCAGTGGAAACTGGCATGAAAGAAAGTTTAGCTATTATTTTACAGGATTGTCTTCATAGTCGATTGGATGGTATGAAAGCGCCAGATGATATCTCAAGTCTAAATAAATTACATTACGTTATTGAAAGTAAATTAACTGGACAACTACAATATTGGCGTTATGGCGATAATATTATATCTTATTTTATGAGATATCCTTCGCAATGTATCGAACTAGTGGAAGCAATTGTATGGGCCCAATGTGTCCTGTTAACTTGCTCTCGAGTTACGCCTGTCAGATTTACAGACATTAAGTATGCTAATCATCAACACAATACTAGCTCGCGGAAACAACACATATATCAAAATTTTGTCGTATTTATTTTTTTGTTTTAATGTACTTATTTTTGTTTCAGGGAATGGCTAATGTCGAATATCAACTTTCTTGTTGACAACCTTAATACTGGTATTAAATATCGAGTAGCTGAACATGCCCAAAAAAGAATTGCCCTCCTTATCACATCACTAATTACTAGAGCAGTTTACCATAGAGACGTTATGGATAGTAAGCTTATTTATACTTGCTATCTTAAAACCTATGTGTTGCTAAATTAAATTAAATTGTATATAAATCAATGTGTGCTAGGCAATACAATTGATATGTATCTTTTTATTATCTTAACCTTTTAGGATTGAATGAATCTGCAAGTTACTCACCAAGAAGCTTCGAATGGCAGAGCACATTACGTTACGATATCAAGTATATGAAAGAAAGTATTTCTCCCAAGCAACGTTATAAATTTGCAAATCAATCCGAACTATCGCAGATGTTTAATTTAATGCACATCGATTGCAATCTCAATATTGTTGGTAGACAGATTCAATATGGATATGAGTATAGTGGACCATACTCTAGATTAGTTTTAACTCCATTAACTGAACGTTGCTTTATTGCCATGGCTAGTGCTATCAGTAATTACCAGTGTGGAGCAATAACTGGCTCAGCTGTATTCGGTAAAGCGGAAACAATTCGAGAATTAGGCCTATCTACAGCACATCATTCTGTCATCTTCAGCTGTAGTAGTTTTATGGATATAAGCAATTTCTCCAATCTTTTAACCGGTGTATTAAAAAGTGGCAGTTGGCTTAATTTACTACGAGTTGATTTATTGCCAACCAACGTCTTATCGGTTCTTAGTCACTATCTCAATCAATTAAGAGATGGATTAAAATGCTTAGATCTATCACAATCCAGTCAATATAGTCAACGTGGTAAAACAGTCTATCAATTAGATTATGACTTCAATGAAGGCCTCGAGGAGATTCTAATCCCAATTTATTCCCGTCGAAATTCAATCAATACACTGCATAGTTTCATATCTAAAAAAGAAGATAGCAGTCACCATCAACGTTCTACTCCATTACTGCATCAGCTGCAACGTCGTAATTCAACGGGATCTTTATCTGGATCAATTCAGACTGCTCACAGGCCGATGAAAAAACAACATTCTAATTTTGAATATCATTTTCAGCATCGATCAGCTAATGATATGAAACGCTCAGCTATTGATTACCTTAAAACAACATGTAATTCGACTCCACCAAAAGTGTTACCGTTAGGTTCTATATGCTTCCAACAGCAATTAATCCAAGCTAATCCTCATCTAGGGTGTTTTGTTACTATGGAAGCACACCAGATATTAGGAAGTAGACTACCTGATAACTTTCGCAAATTGTTGCGTCCAATGTGTATTATTCAACCCGATATTCGCCCAATTACTGAAGTTCTTCTGCTGTGTGGTGGTTTTAATCAAATCACCTATTTATCCAGTAAAATAGAGAAATTATGGAAAATGGCTGAAATTCAATTAACGTCTTCGTTGTCCTTGAAACTATTACGTGAAATACTGAACTGTTCAAGGCAGAAACTTGAAGAAATCAAAATACAACAATTGATTCAAAGTGATCTTGATCAGTCATCGCCTACAAATCCTGATAATATCAAATATAGTAGTCCTGCACCATCAGAAACGCTTACAACAAGATCGGCATCCCCTATTTCGTCTACATTAAATCGTTCACCTGTCATGAGTGATCAGGAAAGCAATATCTCCATTATCATGGAGGAAAGTGCTATAGTTTATGGGATACAAACTATTGCAAAAGCGCAATTACTGATTAATGATAATATTATTATAAAAAGATTAGCCGAAGATATATTCCCAGTGCATCGTAAGATAGAAAATATTGAAAATTTGTCAGCTGACGATTCAACCTTAATTACAGCAGTTAAAGAACAGTTGAAATTGGAATATTTAGAACCAACGCCTACTACAATCAATAAAATCATCAGCTTAAATATGAGTATCAAAAATCATTTAGGTGTTATTCTATTCGGTCCTTCAGGTAGCGGTAAAAGTACTTCATATGAAATGTTAAGTCGGGTCTTAAATGTTCTTCATACTGAACAATTATATCAACAGTCCCCATCAAGTAGACCCGTAACCAAAGGTGGCAGCAAAACCAATTACATTGGGCAAGATAATGAACCGACTAAAGCCATTAATAGTGAAGAGTTAACTACGGTATCGACCGGTCCTCAACCGACATTTCCTCGAGTCGAAACAATTATTACTTACGTTAAATCATTAAGCAACAAGCAGCTGTTCGGTTCTACCGATTCTAAGGATGGTTGGCAAGATGGTTTAGTGTCTAAGTTATTTCGCGATGCTGCACAATCTCAACGTCAACAGGCAACACAACGAAGCCACTCCTCAGTCAGTAAATGGTTCATATTCGACGGTGTCATGGACACATCTTGGACCGAATTGTTCATTAAATTATTAGATCGATCAACTATTACTTTACCAAGTTCAGAAAAAATTACACTGCCTTCGTCTTGTTCACTGCTCTTCGAATTATGTGATTTAACAGATGCTAGCCCATCTATTGTTACGCGTTGCAGTCTTGTCCATAACGGTAGTGATGGAGTTAGTTGGAAACATTTAATTAGCAAATGGCGTCAAAATTCCATCGGTAATTGGCACATATCAGATCACGATATGGATTTACTAGCCTCATTAATTGAGAACATCATGGAGCCAGCAATAGAGTTTTTCCGCTCGCATCGGTCTAAAACGATGAATGATTTTCATTCAGTAGGTGTTGTTGAAGGTATTCATGAAATTCACTCCTTGTTGACTATCCTTTCCGCTTTATTCGACCGTTATATGTCGAGAGAGGGTTTATCAACCGCTGACTCGACTACTACGGATTCTACTAAAAGTTTTAGTCGAGATATAGGCAGTTCACGACAGTCTACTCCATCTAGTCCATTGAGAACTAGGTACAGCGGATCAAGCCTAGCTGTAGTTAACCTATTAGCTTATGCCTACATTTGGAGTTTAGGTGGAAACTTGAATGAAGAATTGCATCAACAATTTGATTTATTAGTTCGTAAATGTTTATCATCCTACGGTATACAGCTACCAAAGATGGGATTGGTATTTGACTATTTATATGATAAAAGAACTAGCCAGCTTGTCCAGTGGGAGTCTGTTTATAGTAGTAGCCAGCGAATGATCCCGTCATCCTATTTTACTACATGCAATGTAAGTAGATATTGATAATGGTTTTAGTCATTTTAATTATATACAGGTATCAATTATCATACTTACCTATGTAATTGAAAACGATATTATAGCTAGAAAAGTACTTTCATCTGCTGGAGATATTAGTTGCAAACGGTTCCTCCGTTATGTTAGTTGGAGAGTCTGGTGTCGGTAAAGGGTCTATGATTCAGGTAAACCATATTATCAACGACTAAAGTTGTCGAAGACTTTTACCGAGACTTTGCCTTCTAAAGTTAAAAATAACTTGAATCTCACTACTTACAGTGTATAGTTATGTTGATTTAATTTAAAAAAAAATACATTCTATATTTTTCCTATTTCAATTTGCTTTCTAGAATCGTATTCAATCGCGGCATTCCTATACCAAAATTACAATAACTCCGAACTTGCAAGTTGATGAACTACTAGATACTATCAACAATAAATTAAATAGTTTTGAACGTTTCCAAATTGGCAGGCAAAATAATCCACAACAAACGGGTTCGCGAAAACTACTTTTTTACTTAGACGATCTTTCAACAGCTTACAATGATCCTACCGCTAATGCACAGCCAATCTGTGAAATTCTTCGTCAAGTAATATCCATAGGTTTGTAACTGAAGGAATGATATTCGTGAATACTATCAATTTTTAGAAGAGTTTGAATACTTTCAAAGTAAATTTATATTTTAGTTTTAAAAATTACGTATACTTTATACTGTATTAATCAATTAATGCAGTAGTGATTCATGATCACATCAATTATATTTTATATATAAATTTATAATTTAGGTGGAACATTTCATCGGCACCGATTAAATTTTAGGAACATGAGACATATTCATTTTATTATTACTGCTACTGATCCTTATACCGCCGGTATGGGAGGTGGCGTATCGAGATACTGCATCAGTAGTCGCTTTCTCAGATTATTTCCAGTTATTCGACTACGTAACTCGAGTCATGAGCAGTTAACTGATCTCTTCAATACATCAATCAACTGTTGGCTAGAGCAGATAGTACCTCATCCTTTGGCTTGCTCAAATGAATTATCCAATGCACTTGCAACAGCAACGGTTGAATTATATACAAAAATTAAAGCTAACCTAAAGCCAACTCCACTCCATCCACAATATGTTTTTACCTTACACAATCTTCATAGAGTTTTAAGCAGGATGTTTTCTGTTTCCGTTAACCCGAGAAGTGTTCGACGACGATCATTTGTTCAATTTACAAATAACGATAAAACTACCGATAGGAAAGGTATGGAATATGTGGATAGGATAAATAATAAACATGTCGGCTTCAGAATATTATAATTAGGCCTGAGTCAGAAAACTTTCATTTTGATCTAAATATGACCCTTCCCTTTTAGCACTATCTAGTGTAAGTCAAGATCCAAATTTGCCAGTAATACGTACCACTATACGATTATGGTGTCATGAAGTTAGCAGAGAATTTTCCGACAGATTAACCAATGAAAACGATCAACACCTTTATGAAGAAGAACTACGTCAAATTGTTATTAAACATTTTTGCAGTCGCAGGTCACCGACTACGAATTTACCTTCAAAGGCTACTAGCAACAGTCTTACTATTCCAAGTAAGAGAGATCTACGAAATAATAGATATTATACGCTCTCGTACTAAGTTGATATAAATATATTTACGAGTATATACATAGATACATTAAATCATATCGGCCTTTCAATCGTTTAATGTGTTATTAATAATATTTTTAACTCAGAAACTCCTGTTAAAAAACCAATGCTGCTTACTGTTAATCTGCCTGAAGCATCATCGACTCCTAATTTATCTAACGATCCATTAATACAGCGAGAAGCCTTATTCTCATCCCGAGAAAAGCTTAGAGATATCGTTTTTACTAAATACTTTATGCCCAACAGTGATGGGAGATTTAATCGTGGTGACTTTAATCGATATTATACGGAATGTAGTCTAGGGGAATTTAGAATTGGATTAGAACAATGTCTTGCAACTTATAATGAAGAAACTTCCACTCATCGTATTGAATTTGCCTTTTTCCCCGAAGCAGTTGAACATATCAGGCATGCAGTAAATGCATTATCAATACCCGGCAGTCATTGCTTAATGATAGGTGTTCCTGGCTCTGGAAAAAGTACAATTGTAAAATTGGCTACCTTTGCTGCAAATTGTGAGGTAAAATTGGGAAAATTTTCACTGTAGTAACTGCTAGTTCTATTCCTGGGTGTGGACGTAGTTCTATTCTTTTTTTAACCACATGTACAAAATCTTTTCAAGGGTTACAATTGTACTACAATAGTTTCTTATTAATCAAAATATAAAAATTATTACAGTTCAGAAAATATAACCTAGTCATCTTCTTTGTGTTAAAATTAAATAGTTATGCTTTTAAAATGATCTCAAACTGTTACGTTGTGTTGCGTAAAGGTCTTAAAAATCGACAGCAGTATGATTGATCAAGAAATTTCGGATACGATAAAAATTGCTTGCTTGTCTGCTGGGATGTATGAAAAAAGAACTGTTTTATTGGTATCTGACACGCTGCCAGAAAAATGGATGTACTATATTTCCTGTTCCTTAATGACCGACGGTAATTAATTTGAAATATGGTTTTTAAATGCAGTTAAAACTGCATCTAACATTACAGTATATGGTATTAGTTTGCTTCATATGGCACTACAGATACACCTTTTATGCGGCTAAAATACTTTAACGTTTGATTGCTCACCACAATGGATCAATTGCGGGATTGTCATTATTTGTAAATAACATTCGTTGATATCTATTTTCAATATAGGCATTATTCCAGGTTTAATTACACCTAGTGAACTAATGAACATTTGGTCACAAAAAGCAACTGGTATTGGAACGAGAAGAATTGATAATCCGGATGTAGTATATGACCAATTTACGAATTTAGTACGAAAACATCTCCATGTCATTGTTAGCTTAACATATCGAGGTGGAGCCGAAGGGGATTTTTCATATGCGGAAAGAAGTTTATTAACAATGCTTAATAAATTTCCTCAGATGCTCATCAATTCTTCTTGTGTTGATATCTACAAGCCTTTGTCGATAGCATCATTACAAATTTTTGCTCAAGAATGGTTAGAGAATAATTTCATACCATTAATCGATACGAACGTTGATCATGATTATGATCTCGTTAGCCGTCTCGACAAAATTAGTAACGCGATCGCTAGGATCTTTGCTATCTCACGAGATACCGCCATTCAACTATCCATTAAAGATTCATCCTATGATGAAATGTTTACTTTGGATACTTACAATGAATATTTAGTTCTTATTAGGACGATAGCATGCGATATTCTCGATAAGGAAAAGGTATTAGAATAAAATAAAACTTGTTTTCAAATCGTAACACAAAGATAAGATTAATCATTGTAACGTTCTTTGATCAATTAGGAAATTACTAAGATCTATGAAAGTGGATTGAAGAAGTTAAACGAAGTTGAATGTGAAGTTGAGATGATAGAAAATCGATTATCTCAGTTAAAACCTGTTCTTCAACAAAATCAAAGGATCTCACAACAGTGGCAAGCGGCAGTTGTTCAAGAGAAGGAAGATTATGTAAAGGCTCGCGATGAGTGTCGTGATACTGAGAAAGAAATCGTGCGAATTGGTGATATAATACGAGAACTTAAAGAAGATGCTCATACGGAATTAAATAAGGTTGATGAGCAGGCAGCGGTGCCTTAATATTAGCATTACATTATGTCTCAACGGATATATAGCATTAGAAATCTCTCTAAAGCAAAGCATTAAATTATTGCCTACGGTATCATATCTAAAAACTTGCTCTATATTACTTTTCATCGTAAATTAGGTTTTGCCATTATTTGAAACTGCTCTCAAAGCTCTAAAATCATTAAAGCCTCAGGACGTTGATGAATTACGAACTTATAGGGATCCACCTGATGCGGTTGTCCATGTTATGAATGCAATTTGCGTGCTTTTCGATCGTGAAAGAAGGTATGGCACGTTATTGCAGTAATATTTATGTTCGTTTCCTCATTGATTGAATCAAATAAACTAACGATACATAAAATATTCTATTGTAACGCATTTATAAAACACAAAATTGTAGTTGGTTTGAATCGAAACGACTTTTATACCGCGAAAATTTCTTCTTGGATTTGGAACTATACGACAAAGATAATCTATCAGATAGCAAACATAAGGAACTTCGACGATTTTACAATAATCCGCAAATGAAACCTGAAGTGGTTGGCCAATCAAGTGCTGCTGCATGTTCTCTATGTCGATGGATTCGAGCTTTATATGAGTATTCTACTGTGTACCGAAAATTAACTCCTAGACGTCAGTTCCTACAAGAAGAATCTAAACGACTTATTAAAGTAATTGATAAAAGAACATAGCATATTATTGCATTAATGAACTTAAATCAATTCGGTGAAATTTAGCAAAATCGCTTGCAGCTTTGCTAATCAACATGATATCGCTTAACTGCAGTAATAGTTTTATAGAGGCCAGTAAGAATAGTATTTCAATTGAAAGTAATTTCTGATTATGATTGTATCAGGTGGAAACGTTACTTGGTGATCGACGGTTAACCTGTGAAGGCATTAGAAGGAAATTGGAGTCAAAGTTGCAGTCTCATAAAGATTGTATTCGACAAGTTAAAGAAACTGAAAAGAGAATTCAGGTCCTTGTCATATATACCTTATATGTAATATTACTCAAGCATAGGGACAGTATTTTACAAGTTGTAGTGAAAAAAATTCATTTTTCTGTAGATTTAACTATGGAAAGATAGACTTATTATGGTATACAGCTAAATAGGCTTGCTTGCTACTTTATTCCTTTATTTCTATCTTTAGGAATCGAATGATAGAATTGATAGCGCTACGACATTAATTGAAAGTTTAAGGTTACACACTGGCGACTGGAAAAAGAAGGTTGCAGATTCTAAAGAAAATATTAATTCTTGTTTCGGTGATGCTTTAGTAGCTGCTGCTTGTGTTTGCTTTCATGGTCCTTTCAGTATGGAAACAAGACTGCAATTGCAGCAACTATGGATTGATGCATGTCAAAGTGGTGATCAAAACGCAGCCACCACGGAAAATAATTCTCTACAAGGTTCCATACCAGTTCGAAAGAATTTCAATTTAGTAGAGATTTTAAGTAGCGAAGAAGAACAGTATATATGGAAAAGGAATGGATTGCCAACGGAATCGATTGATATCAATAATGCTTTGATATTAAGAACAGCAAGTGATCATCGTTTCCGATCGTGGCCGTTAGTGATTGATCCCGATGATATTTCACTTGAATGGGTTAAGGCATTAATGTCATCGGAAACAAAGTTAGGTCAATATGCTAAGAGAAGGCTAATGATGAATCCAATGCTAAACTATAAATTGAATGATATTGTACATGATATGACCTTTACAAGTTCAACAACTACCTCACCCGATATCTCTGAAGATAAAATTATCGATCTACCTAGTTTCGGATCAATGCATGGAATATTTAAGCCTCGTACTTTAACAGTGTCATCAGGAATGAATACTTCGCCATCTTTAATAGGAGTATCCTCAGTTTTGCCCGAACAGATCGAGACAAGCATGATGATTCAAAGTCAAGAAAGAAGTGTGATGGTAATCAATATAGACAGCGATGGAATTCAAGAACGTGTTTTAGAAGCCGTACAAAATGGTTATGTCTTGATGATTCGACATTTTGAGCGTGTTGTCAACGATGATTCATTAATCAGTTTAATCCAACGCAATATAGTATTCGATCAATATGATCACAACAAAATGAAAATGCGCATAGCTGGCGAACTGATTGATTTTAATCCAAATTTTCGTCTTGTCCTGATATCATCATTTCCATTAGCAGTGATACGAAGCAGTTTGTCTGTTTTGCCATTTGCCAACCTTGCTATTTATAACATTGCCGCTAGTGATCAAGGAATGCTTACAGAATTATTTAATATGACAATTTCGCTTGAAAGGCCTGAATACAACGGTCAACTACGATCTTTAGATGCTGATGTGCATCATCATCGTCAGCAGTTAGATGTTGAAATGGTAACAGTATTAAGATTAGATTCATATCATAATCAAATTGAGTCTTTTGAACTAGTCAAATTCTCAGATTACTACTGTTTAATATTGTCTTAGTGAAATTTAATAGAATCAACAATAATATCATTGGAGCTAGTTACGATAAACTATTATTAAATATACGTACTCTAATCGTATTGTTAAATATTATCTTATTTTGTATTTGCTCAATGATAGGGACGAATATTGAAAAAAGTTTCCAATTATGAAAACTTAATACTGGATGATGAAACACTAGTAGAAGAACTCCAAAAAACGCGTCAAAATTACGACCTTTATCAAGAAAGATTGCAGGAAGCGTTAAAGCAACGTAATAATCTAATTGATAGACAACAAGCATTTCTTCCTGTTGCAACACGTGGAGCTATCCTCTACAAAATAATGAGTAATATGATCTCACTGTCTTCTTTATATCATTTTCGGTTAGTATCATCCGTTTTAACAATGTTGCCCTATTGGAAAATTGTATAGTTGCATTTATGAAAATGTTGTGGAATTTTTTTACAGATTGGGATGGTTTCTGGATACTTTCACAAGTGCGATATCGGAATGTAAAGATAGTAAAATTATAGGTGGTTCACCGGACGCTAGAGCTGCGGAGTTATGCAACTTTCTAACTCTTTCTATATGCAAGCGTCTTTCTTGGTCATTGCTTAAAAAACACTCATTTCTATGTATTTCAATGGTAACAATCTCGATACTAAGGCAGCAATCAATTAATCAACAAATTACAAATGAGGAATATGTGCTATTTGCTAATGGCCCGAAAACACAGTTATCACTTAGAAATTCATCAGAGTTTACTATTAACGTAGACATTCCAGCATGGATATCTAGAGAGGTTCTATTGAAGTTTTTTTTTGTATATGTTTACTACTTGCCATATATCATACTGAGAGTTGCGACTAACGTATGCGACTATTTCTCCTAATTCAAGGCTTGGATTTCTTTAAAACAAATACCAAACTATGAGCCAATTGTATCGTCATTCTTAACACTAAGAAACCAATGGAACGAATATTTTTCTGTATGATACGATTTAGTGCAGTAGATTTTTGCTTATGAATTGGTATTAATGTATATATGTTATATATATTAATCATGATATTGCCTTTCAGTCAAATCCTAGTTTAATATCAACAACGCCTGGATATCCAACCTTATCTCTCAGCTTCTTTCAGAAAGCATTACTACTAAGATTAGTTAGACCAGAGTTGGTATGTTTGAATATATGGCTAGCATAGATTTTGGCTATAATTCATTGGTACTATTCATTATGAATAGCTTAACTAATGTAGCTGATTTTTTCTAAAATCTCGAATCGATTCTATTTCAGACAACCAAAATACTGGAAGAGTTAATATTGTATACTCTAGGAACTGCTTATAGTGTTATGCCGCCATATAATTTAGACGAGCTTGTCAAATCAAGTAAAGTGCATACACCTATCTTGTGCTTTACTGAAAATCAACATGCTGAAGGTAATCCTATAGGATCGTCGTATTATTTTACAATTATTACCTGGAATAACGACCATAAAGAGTTAATATGGAGCAATTTTAAAGTTTAGAATATCGTTCCTAATTATCAATTCGAATCAGTTGTACTTACATTTTCTTTGATATTATTATTAGATGATAATAAGAATATGGATAATACCGCACTCAGCATTGATGCTCTTAAGGAAATAATGTCGTGCGGTGCACGCTTTTCCATGAATGGTCGAATAGTACATTTATCACTCGGGGAACCAGACTGTATCTCTGAAGCTATTAGAATCATTAAACTAGCTTTAAGAACTGGATGGTGGGTTGTACTACAAAATTGCCACCTTGTTCAGTATTGGTCTACTGCTCTTAAAAATTTAATCCAGGTTAAAGGAATTAGTCTTACAAATTAAGTAATTATTCTCGCGTGCTGATCTAGTAGATTTCTCACTATTTTTTTTTTAATAATCTAATTCTGCTAATATTTATCATATTTAGAGAATTATTTACTCCAAATATTCTCCTCAAAAATGGAATATTCATCAAGATTTTAGATTATGGTTTACAACAAGCATCAATCGAGGATATGAAATGCCAGCACTATTCTCTCAACATAGTATAAAAGTTGCTATTGAACAGAGTGTCAAGCTGCAAGATATATTATTCACATCCTATCATCAGTCAGTAAATTTCCTGAAAGTTGGACTTCAGCGACAACACTATAAACCGTTACAAGCCCATGTATGACATAGTTTTTTCAGATACATTAACAATTATTACTAGGGTGTAGTAGGAATATTATCAATATTATTTAGTCTCTGCTAGAACGTAGTTTAACGAATGTTATTGCTCAATATACTATTTAGGCCAAGAGTGACTTTCTATGGTTGCTATGTTTTATTCATACCATTTTACTAAAACGACAAACTTTTGGTCGCTTCGCTTCAATTCATAACTACCAATGGTAACTACTAATTATTGTAGTAGTATCATAAAATTTTTATTCAGTGACATTTTTAATAGTAAATTATCTTTAATGAATAGTCTCTGTTGGTATGCCGATAAGTTATGGTTGCTAACATATAATATTTTGATCAATAACTGAATATGAAAAAGGTCACAAGAGGACTTACTAGCTGCTATTGATGCTGTCGTTTGCTGTATCAATGATGACATTGCGAGCCTTACCAGTTTAATTACCTCAGTATTTTATGGTGGTGCAGTTATTTCCGAATTTGACTTGAATACAACGCGTTCTGTCATCACATTAGCTATCAAGGTACGAGATCATAAGTACAGTATAGTCAAAATTGACCAGACTATTAAATATTGGGAATATTAAATGAGTTTACACAACTTACGAATATAACTTCTTTGCAGGATTTGCTACCGTTGGTTAAAGATAGACCATTTCTGTCCTATCAAATGTCGAATAAAGATTGGAAAGATGTTTTAAGTCATCTTGATCAACTGGTTTATATCGGACTATCTGAGAAAGTAGACGAAGCTGTATCAGCGAATTTTGGGATGTAAGAATAAAGCTTGTATCATACCTTAAATAATTAATCTGATTTTGGTTTTTGTTATTACTCCGATTATATTTCAATATTCTTCTACTCCTACAGTAGTTTATGATAATGGTTTTGAAAGATAAAAATAAATATCCAATTTACCGTATATGCAAAACTTCCTGATAGACGTTATAATTATGAATTTCATTAAGGGCCATTTTGCATAACATGAAGTTAAGCCTTGGTGACGAAAAATTAGTATCAATTCAATACGATGAATACCTTCAGCTATTAAGTCTTCTGTCGATCAGGATACCTGAGGAAATTAAAGTAGAGGATATTGATGCCCAATTAGACATTGGTCACCTTGCAAATGGTTGTTTACTAAGATTTTTACGTGATGACGCTAACAGGTATAACAAGGTTATTAGGATGATTCGTAAGGAGATATTTCAACTACGTGAAGCAACGAATGGAAACTATTCCTTAACGCCGAGATTGGAAAAAATTTGTTCAAATTTACGGAATTTGATTGTGCCTACGCATTGGTATCCTTACTTACCAACCCATTTACCATTTAACCAATGGCTAGAAGATCTAAGTCGAAAAGTTGCTACCCTAACGTCCTATATTAAAACTAGTCAAGAAAGTGATTTAAACGATTGTGATTTAAGAATTTTCTATCAACCAGCTGGATTCCTCGATAGTTTATTACAAGATTATAACGGTTTAGTTAAAGCTGGCGTACTAGAAATAGATTTTGAGGTCAAAATTTTCAACGATAGCGAAAAGAAATGTGATCATGGCATTCATCTTTTGGGTTTGCAGCTACATAATGCCGCATGGGATTTTACCAAATGCTGTATCACTCAAGTCAAAGAAGCCCAGGCAACTTGTCCATTGCCAATTATTTGGCTTCGACCAATCAAATTATCAAATAAAGTCAAGAAAAGTAGCTATCCAACATATTCATGCCCAGTATTGCACTCTTACTATCAAGATGTTGATAAAAATTGCATGATAAGATTATCATTGGCTACTGAAATTGAAGTTGGAATACTTTATTTAAAACGAGTTGCTATTAGTGTTATGGATAGATAATTATATATAATTACGCCCCCATCCAAGCTACATCGTCTGTTATAGTTTCTAGCGTGGCGTAATAACATCATAATCAACTGTCTATTCGAGATAATTTAGTAACGATTCTGTAATGCAGCAACGTGAAATTATATGCATTTACAGGTTGTTTAAATACTTGTAAAGATTGTGACATTGTTGCTATAGACAAGCTGACATAGAATGTGCGTTGAAATATGTAAATACTCGCACTGTATAGAAATGGACTAAATCTTATTTTCGCGTATATGTGCCGTACATTTTTGCTACCGTCAGTCATGCCTTTTACGACTCTATATATCTATTTAAATTTATTTTTTTATCGATAAATTGTATGATAACTTACTATGGTTCACCACATGGAGCTTTCTTATACATTAAGTTTGATTATTATCAGTTGGAATTGTCATTCAAATCACTGTATGTTTTATCACTTGCTAACCACAATGCCGGCAAACAATCTCTAAGATTTTTGTACATTGCTCTCGGAATAGATCTACGATGTAATGTAATCATCTATTAGTAGACTGTTACTATTCTAATTATAAAAACTACAACTTACTATTCGGTTTCTAACGACAATCTATTTTATGGATAGGTAACGTCTCCAAGTCTTTACATTTTAATACTGTAAATGCAGCATGTACTGTGGTTTGGCTAAAATTGCATGGGAAGAACTTTATAGCGCTCACTGTACTTGAAATCATGATTTGTAAATAGTGCATAATCAATGTTGTAGATCCACTGTATCAACTACTGGCATATACTCAGCTCTAGTATCGAAAATAATTACATGTTGTATCGTAACTGAAGGTCTTCTGCTCGGGTTTCATTACGACGCTCGAAATTGTGTCCCAAGATTATCGTAATGGTAGAACATAATACAAGTGAAAACTTCTTCTACGAGGGATCCGAAGTATGTACTGTATTTCGAATTAATAGAATAATACAGTGCATTGGAAATGCTAGGGTTAAAGTAGCAAGGATTTCTCGTATTTAATTTACTACTAGGCTGTCTCGAGCCTAATAAAGGGCTGCAATATCTTAAGTGATCGATACACACGCGGATAAAATTATTTGATGCTAGCGCGTTACGAAATGAGATTTGGTTGGTAATTTTAATGCAGCGTCTATATTGGAATTGAACTAATAAGTTAGCCCATTCTATTTTTGACCACAGTGAAGTAGCATTTTTGTCTAGCATAGAATCATGTAGTCTGGAACTTCTAAGAGAAAGTTCCCTAGGAAGTCCCTGCTGCAGTATGCAAGTCTGTAGAGGAGGCTATAGGTTAAAATACTTACCTCAATGTATTCTTGCGATAAGTTAGCGTCGCGTGCTCGTCAGTATTTGTAATATATCGTTAACTAACCCTTATTTTGTTCTACTGTATAACGGTAGAGTAAGAGCAACAAAGTTTCATTACAATATTGTAGCTCTACTGGACTCGACTGATGATATTTCGTTAATCTTACTTTTTAAAAAGTAGGAGAGCATTCAAAATCGTAACACTTGTAATACCCTTTAGGTTAAGAAAATGCAAGAAATTTAACTAGTTATAGAGCGTAAAAAAGTCACTGTACGCTGTTCTTTTAGTGTGACTTACAGTCCGGTATACTTTGCAGTGCTACACTGTGAGAAGCACCTTACATAAAAAGACGGAGCGATTATACCGTTATATGTAGAGTGAGTTTCTACTTTATAATGAATGAGATCCTTCTGTTGCAGGTTTTCGTTTTATGGAGTAGAATAGCATTCAATATTATTAATCTATTAACGCCCATAATGCCGTAGGAGAGAAGGTACAGAAGTAACGCCTTTACGCTGTTGATGCCGAGCGGGTTTCTGCTCTACTAAATGCTGAATGAAATCCTTTCCTTGTAGGACCTCATTTCAAGGAGTAGAACTATATCTTAAGGGTACAATGTTACGGAGAGAAGATGTAGAAAGTAAATCTTCCGCTGTTTAAGGCAGAGCAAGCTTGTACTTTATGATGAATGATTTTCTTTATTACATGCTTCATTTGTAGAGTAGAACTATGTAACAGAGCGTATAAGATAAAATAAGTGATTAGACGCGCCTCATTCGCTGTTATAGAAGAGAACAGTTGTGAATATTTTACCAGTGTTTCGAATGTTAACAGTTCACTTGCGCGAAATAGAACTATCTGAGATTATACTAGTTAAGAATATATATCTAATCATATGTTTGACTTGGGTAATAATGAAGATTAATTTGCAATATTACTTAATAGTAATAAAGATAACGATAATTGAATTTTGATGGTGTATGCTTAATTTCAAACAAAATTATGAATTTATGGTTATCTTGCAATCATAGCTAAATACCCATATAATGATTACCTAGTTTGAAATAACAGCATAATAATTCATTTTAATAAGAACAGCATTATTTCGAAATTAAAAGCTGTAGATAAAAGAGTTCATTCCTTTGAGTAATCACACACAAATAAATTTACAGCTAAACGTGAATTACATGATATCAATTCATTGAATTTCCATACATTCAATACTCTATCTCTCCCAAAAAATCATGATCTACTGTTGGGTTGTGGCTTAGATCTTTCTAACATGACTATACATACTTAAAAAAGTTTAACCATTACTTCTAAAATTTGCCAACTTGGCTTGGTACTTCGTAATCACCTTCGTCGTTGTAGCAGCTTCCTTGCATAAATATTTCTTCATAAATATTCAACGGATCTCTATCACTTTCATCCAGAGTGCTTCTCCTGAAATTATCAAAACTTTGCCTGAAACTTGATACGCTATATCGAACAAATGATGGGATAGAATTATGTCGACGGCGATTTGAAGATGATAAAGTCATGGTGTCGTCACGTCGTAAATAGATTTTATACAGCTGGTTTAAGGCGATGACTACGAGAGTTGCAAGAAGAAAGCCTATAAGGATTATTATGATGGTTTCTTCATCGCTTAACGGGAGTGATAGTTCGCAATGCTCACCAGTAAAACCCGACAAACAGAAACATCTCATTTCTCCGTTAAAGCTTGAACAACCGGCACCATTACGACAGCTACATTTACTTGTATCGAAGAGTGATTTGTTGACCATAACTCCAATATCTATTTTCCAAATGAACAACAATAACAACAAGCAGCTGAGAGGAAAAATTGCGAGATTCTTAAAAGATCATCAACTGAGCGAGGAGACGTTCTTCGCTATTGATTCCGTGCTGATGATTACTAGTCGTTCATTGACATTAAATAAGATACTTGGGTAATAATAGTAATGATGATAATAATTTTGTAATGTCATTCTCAATATATTTTACGCTGATTTTATGATCGAGAGATCAAACGCTGGAATTTGATTTTCTAGTCATATTTAGCTGTGCAGTACACGGAAGGCTGATCAATAGTTAACCGATAATTATAGTACACAGGAAAATTTGTCGTATATAGGAAAGTTGGCAGCAGGAATATCCGTATTTAGCTCGATTAAGGTATTAATTCATTCTTCGGTATATACAGTACAATCGCTCTATATAAAACAGATAACTATCCCCCAAAAGCCATCTTGGCACTTTATGCTGAGACATTGACCGTATCGTTATATTACTAATTGTAAGCGCATTGAATACCCCATGGCGGCAGATTTATGTATTTAGGAGTAGATCACATACTGTATTGTCCGATAATTCATAGCCTCAATTAGTCGCGATGATATTATGCCTATTAAGGTCCCGTTATATTTAAATATCCTATATGGACGCTTAATATTGGTCATTACAGTCCTAGAATTTTAATATTAAGCAAGGGAATAGAAGCAGAACTCGCAAAAATAATTAGGGAGATATGTAATTCTGAAGTTTACTTTTTACTAGCTCTACTGCCGGGTGCTTCAATACCTGTTTAGGCAATCTTCGCTACGGTAATAAAACGTTTTAAAATGAAATCTAGAATTTTATCCCAGACCACTAGCCCCTATTTTTACAGGTCCGCCTAATACGTTATATAAATTCATTGATTCGCGAAATACTGTACTATACTATATATATATATAAGTTATAGCGCAGCATATTGTCGCTATGTAATGTAGTAATAGATCCGTTTCAACGGCACATACTACATAAACTGTGTACTTATAACCACAGTTATTACTACAGATGATATAACTTAGTACATTCTACTTTAAGACAGAGAAATCTCTCAAAATAACGAAAGGCTACAAATCTTTCCGTTTAGGTTTAGATTAAAGTTCTCGTATCTCCGGATTCTACTGTGTCAAGGACTGTATAAACTATGTAAATGACCATAAGTGAAGTGGAGTATACTGTAGACTAAGTGATGGAGAGACACACAGCTCAATTATAATTTAATAATTATAATCAGACTCCAAGAATGATGCCAATACTCATGAAGAATTTTATTATCCAAAATATCTTAAACCGGCAATGCTGAATGTTGTTTATATTTTAGCAAGCAATACAAGTTATCACCCGCATAATTTATAAATATATAATAAAATCGATTGATGTGAAAGTTCTACGTGTATAGCTATCCTTCAGCAATTTGCAAAATTGGTAAATAATTCTAATTTCTAAAGCAGTAATGATAATTATTGCATCATCATTGCCTTCAAAAAGCTTTACAACCAAGACTCTTTAACATTACAAGGCAACTTATAACCTTAAAAGGTAAAACTACACTCTATGCTTTGTACTGCGATACTGTAGCTGCTGAAGCAAGACAGAGAAGAAAAATATAATAACATTACTTATATAGAATGCGTCAAGCATACAATTTTAACTCGTAAATTATGGCATATTTTACAGACAATACAGAATGTTGAATTTTCATAAAATTACATACATAGTACATGTAGAATCTTCTTGTAAATATATGTACAGGAGTTTAGAAGAATAAGTGACTTATTACTCCTCTACTTTAACGAGATAGATCTTAAATCGAACCATTTATCATATTGCTATAACATGCAGAAACATTAATTTTAAAAGAGTGTAATTATTGGATGAGAACGTACAGTAAAAACAACATACCATAAAATTCATTTAAAGTTTGAATTTTTCGCCGGTTTTTTCAATGTTTCAATTACACTGCGACACATAACACATCGTAATGGTAGATTTCTTTGCGCCACTGCCACTTGAATAGTTTTGATAAAGCAACGCCTACACAAGTAATTGTGACCACATGGATATGTCGTAGTACTTGCTTTAGCCACTGTACACGCCACACACTACAGTATCGATGAGAAGATAAAACAATCATATTATGCCACAAATCTGTGAAAACATTCGAAAAATTTTATCTGAAATTGCTGAAGGATAAAAAACAGTAATGTACATGCAAAACAATTGGTATAATCAAGAACTTTGAGTAGCAATGGAGTGGTAATTTTGAGTTATTGTTTTATTAAATTTAGCTCGCTGACTAAATGCATAATTCTACTATGTTGGACATTTTGTCTACCTCCTACTGTACAACAATCACTTTCCTGAAATATAATCAGGTAGGGTTTCAACCCTAATAAGATTCAAGAGCGTGAAGTATATCGAGTAAATACGTGCATGACGAAACAAGCTGGGATTAGAATTCCATGTTTACTACCTTGCCGATCCACTCTATTTGTATTTTTACTAGAGCCGATAGTAATATACTGTATGTACCGGCATATATGTTTTCTTCAATCAAAATCGAAGCAGAATTTGTAAATACACACTTAAAGGCAATCAATTAAAAAATTATCTTGGTAGGTAAAGGCATAAACTATATTATTTGCTACAACAAAATGATCGATATACTGCAGTTTTTAGGAAAGATTTGTCCATTGCTGTCAACTGTGCGTTTCCATTACATAGATTGATTGATTATTGGAGATGATTAGAATAAATTTTAAAATTTAGCAAGTATAAATTAATTTACCTCCTGATCATGAGAGTCAGATACAATCTCATTTTCGTGGGCTTCCAGCGCAACTAATAGCTTATCCTATGAGAGAGTAAAATTAAACAGAAAAAGATGTTTGACTTAACAACTGACTTCTTCCTACTCGTAGTTACGTACAATTTTGCATAAGAAATTAAACGTAAGCCCTCATTCGGCTTCAATTTGCAAGTCAACAAGACTACAGATATTCAACACATGTTCACATAGGAATTCAACATTAGTCACACGGAAGATCTGCTTACACTAAGAAGAGCCTACTACATTGAAACTGCATGTCAATGATACCATCTCGTTCGTTATTTTTATCATCATTGATAGTTTAAAAGCAACTAAGAACCTGTAGGTTGCAATACAACTGGTTTAAAATGAAGAATGTTACTAGAATAGCCAGCCATTCAAATTATTATAATTGAAGGCAGTAGAGTAGAGTAGTGTGATGACGGTAATAATTATAATGGATCGTCGTTATTGCATCATTACCGTAACTAGGTATTGGGTGAAAGTACGACCTAGGGTTACTCTCATTTTGATCATTAAAGCAATACAATGGAAGAAAGCCGATGACATATTGATTGGATTACGTTACGACCAACTTTAACATGTCCAATTTCTTGATAGTCGTCATTACTATCGTCTATTTTATGAACTACTACTTACAATTTTCTCGTTTATTGCAGTGAAGTCGTTTTCGCTGGCACATTTTCGCTTATGCGAATAGACTATGGTTCTGTGGCGATTGACAGCATACAATCCGATGATATTAGCAGCTGCTAATCCAATAAATGCGTTCACAACGTCCATTTGAGCAAGATTATAGAGGATACAGTGGACTCATAACAATATTGGATAGATTAAATGATAATTCAGCAAGTATTTGATCCAACGCTCTCACCCTGCACCAATTTCTGCAACGATCAATAACCACTAGTACAACAATAACAAACCCCTTTTGGGTGGTCTTGCAAGCAATATTGCACCGGTACCGTTGCCGCATACCTCACTGGCGAGTCTTATGACTCTCATTCTACCGTATCATTTTTGTTGTTTCTTTAACCTCCACTATGGCTAGATGTCAATGTACTGTAGAGTACTGTACTGTACTGTACTGTACAGTACGCTATGGTACAGTACATTTTTCTTTCCTCGTCGAGAAAAAGACTGTGCAGTACGGGGCAATCATGGACTACTGTACAGACGTACAGCGTACAATACTAGAAATTACTAGTAGTGATTTCTAGCAGTCTATGGTACATACTGCAGGACGTACAGAAGTATGGAAGTAATCTCTATGATTTCGGCTTTTGTGTTATAGTCACTTAATATACTGTAGAGATGCAACAGAGAATCCAAGTGCTACTCGGAGTTTGGACAGTTCATAAAAGTTCACTGTTGGTGAAACAGTGAAGCCATGGTTCAATTCTCCTTAGTATTCCGTAAACGGGCCCAAAATGGACTACGTTCAAGGTCCAAATTATGATTGCCGTTGCGTCCAAACTTTGATGATAGCAACTGGGAGTACAGTTCAAGTCCAATCCAGTGCTCGCGATACTGTACAGTACACTGTAGAGTATCGTACTGTACAGTATAGTACTTCGCTTGTTCTTTCTGTACAGTACTGTACAGTGTACTGTACAGTACAGCAGTGTTTCTACTCCTCAAGCAGCTCAAATTCGATGGAATTTCCTCGGGTTTTGCTAATCATCAAATCATATTAATGCGATTGTACTTGTGTCACGCGGTTATTAACTTAAAATTGCATTACATTCCGTGAAATTCCACGGGTTTCGCTACTAATTATTATTATGGTAAAATTCTACCTAGTAAACAAAGCACGCAAAGTATCACGAGCACCGGATTCAACTAATACAGACAAAATGATGAATTTTATTGAGTTGCAATACAGTATAAATGGAAATTTAATTCCAGTATAAACGTTTATAGTATTATTTACTGAACTCACTCACACATCATAATGCGCGAAGTGTCAGTAAGACTAACTAAATTTGATGAGACTCACAAGCATTCTATTAATGCTATGATTAATACGCACGCGACGCATAGTAGCATTTAAGAGAACACTGTTGTATTCTACCTAAACGTAGCAGTCTATGCTAGTTACAAAATGTACATTACACTGAACATGTCTGCCTAAAGGATTTACTTCCTAATACGCTTATATACCTATAGGGCTCAAAAAATTTAGCATTTACGGCTATATTATCGCACAGCAGTGTTTTGCATTTTCCTCCTTATTCACTCCGAAATCCGAAAACACTGTCACACAATAACCACAAGTACGGATTTGTCGCATAGCTAACAAGTACAACTTGTCAAATCTGAAGTGAATAGTGCATAGAGTAGAGTACCGCACGTTTTTATCTACCCACATCAAATGCCTTTTACACTTCCTTAGTTTTAGAATTTACTTGAATTAATTAAGGACGTTAGTTCCGAAGATCGAAATGTATCATTTCACAAACGAGAAATAGTTTGTAAGAAAGTTTATAGAGGTATCTCTGTTACAAGTTGCATCAGCCTGTATCATGTAATTAAGATAATCCACAAATGTATAATTTAGAAATACTGGGCTGGTGTATACGTATATATATAAAACATATTTTTACAGGAAGTGACTACTGGTAGTTTAATTTATACCGTAGCAGCATTTCGTAATCTTAAATAGCCTTGGACGATATCCCAAGGCAAAGTCCTGATTGTCTTAAATTCATCCGATGTAGAGTATCTAATTTTCGTCTGAGGGTCTGTATATTTAGCCTATAAGTTAAGTAGAGAAAGATATTTATACAGTATTGGTTGTATTAGTACAACTTTACAAATTGAATGGATGCTTTATGATCATCTAATCACCAATGAAGTAATATGAATAAACTTACAATTGTTCCACTAATATCAGAGTACTTCTTTGGAGGGAGGAAAGCACCTGGTGCATCGATACTATTATCTTTGGAAATTTTTAGCAAACTTACAATCAATCAAAGGATAATGCATAGGTGGTTTAAGTTGAATAGTACAGTAAAGAGTTTTTGGTTATCAACGATATCTTACAAGTTGGGTCATATGGTTTCCAAGACAACGATCTTTCTATCGCTATTATCTGCTTAAGATTTTTCCATGTTCTTCTACGGTTAATGTAATAGCCACCAGTCTAATGGAAGATCAAATAACATGCATTTTACTATTAAATACAAAGTTTATGAAATTACATTGAACACGCCATGTTACTTTTGCGTACAACGCATATTGTATTGCGATGACTATACAGTATACCGTGTAATACAACGGATATTTCAAAATGTCAACTGCACAGTATACGTAAAACTACATTATGTTCACTTGTTCAGTGTCTGTCAGTGAAATAGCAATAATCGTATGCATAGGAAAAGCAATGGAAACGAACATTGAATAAAGTAAGAAAGAAATATCTTACGGTGTACTTTGCATCCTTGAAAGTGATACGACTTTTACCAGAGGCCGTTGGAGATAATTTACTATCTTCTTGACTTAAAGTCTTCTTGCTCTCGGTGTCCAGATCACCATCGTCATTCACTTTCGTTGCGCTTTCCACTGCGAGTAAATGTTCATGGCTCGTTTCTTTGGTTGCGCTAGCCGATTTTTTATCGACAGTCAGCTCGTCCGTTATATCCTACGTGATGATTAATGATGAAAGTCTTACACAATTTGCTCTATTATTCATAAAATAAAATAATTTCAAATAATAAGGTGACTATACAGTATTGGTAATGCATGAAGTGTAAAAGTGCTATACGAGTACAGTATTGATTGATTCTCATAAAATGGCTAAAAACATGAAAACTAACGGTAGATATCTTCCTTTTTTTATCAGCAGGAGAGTCTGGTGGGCTATTCGAAGTGAGTGATTTATGTCGTTTGTTTCTTGTCGACATGTTGCATGGTGCAGTGTTATTCAATTAATTTCTTTCAATGCACTATTAGCTCACTATAACCAATGCTACTCTATATTGCATTGCAGCAATGCTCAAGATTTTGCTACTGATTCAAGTAAAGCCGGTGTCAGAGCAGTTACTGTACTGTACACTGTAGTCTACAGTACAGTACTGTACAGTATCGTACTTCGTACTGTACAGCATACCGTACTGTACAGTGTACAGTATAGTGTAGTACAGTGTACAGTACTACAGTATATAGTACTGTACGTACCAATGCAACCAATGTTCTGATTTTCCCATCCCAGGGACTACGGTACTAAAAGAGGCAAGTCTCTATCATGGTAAACTAATTGAGGGCCTATTATTTTTCTGGTCATTCTAATACTGTATACGCTACCACTGAATCTGTATACTACGGTACACTGTACAAATCAAACAAGCAGCTCACTTTTAGATGACAATCATAGACAGTATATTGCATCGTTTCAGTTGGAATGACCAGCAAAATCGTTGGCCCCGATATTTTAGTACTGTACTGTACACCCAACGACCGTTTCCTGTCTCTTCTCTTCACGCGGACTTCTAGCTAGTACTGTACTCTACAGTATTGTAAAGTAGAGAACCTGGTGTAGAAGATTGTACACATGTTCTGTACTGTACTGTACACAATCAGCGACTTCTCAATGATTAATCATGCCCCCCCAAAATCGTCCAATTTCAAAATCATAATAGAGAGAGAGGGACTGGAAAAGAGCTTGCAGTGCAAACAATGTGGAGGCCGATCCTGTTAGATCAATTGTTACCATACTGTTCGTAGTACAGTACTCTAACTGTATCAAAATGAATACTGTACAGTACAGTACATACTGTCCAACGGTATCCAATAGTGACAGTACATAGTACTGGCTATATTGACAGTATTTCAGGTTTGGCGTACAGTACTGTACTGTACAGTACAGTACATTGTACAATGTACAGTGTACAGTACACGATTCGTACAGTACACTGTACCGTACCTTCACAACGTCATGCTAACGTTGGGAAGGCCGTGGATGAACGTTTTCACTAGCATCACCTGACGGTCTCTTACCGGTCTTCTGTGATCAAAGCTGTGAGTGTGACAGGAAGGCACCGTGCGCTACTTTGGTTTAAAGCACTTGAAATCAGCTCTGACATCAGAACGGTTTTTCTATCTTTACTAGACGACTGAGTACTGTATTGCGCACTACAGTAGTACGCAGTCAGTGCATGCTCTCTTGTTTTACATAAAGCAAAGCTGCAGTTCAAGATGGCTTCCGTCGGAGGTAAGAAGATTATTTTTCCATGCCGAAACTAGTGTTAATCCATATTAAGTGGACTATCTCCTTTCTTCCAACTTTAAACATGTTATATACAGCGATATCTTTATTCTACAAAGTATTATTGATGTATTTCTCTTTTGTATTTGGGAGTTCAACTGGAGAAGTTGATATAACGTCGTTGACGATGTACCAACAGAGACATCAACAGTGACTCAACACTATCTTTGTATGAGATTCTACATATTGCAACATAACATTTCATGTCGACCTTGGAAAATTAACGCCATGAACAACTAGTTTACTTATCCGATCATAATTACTGTGCTAACTTTAGGAAATGCAATGTAGTATAAACAACCTTTACGTTCGTTGCATCGACTTACTGTACTGTAGATTGAATTTGGTGTGACTTTTTACCAATACGGTACAGGTACTACAAGATAGCAAGCATGCATTCCCATCTGATGGAATTACTACAATATTGGGGGGGGTCGTTTCAGCGCGGCATTAGCCTTATTGAGACGACTGCTTTCCAGTCTAAGATTGTCAGGCTTGATGAGTAAAACATGAACTGTTTTATTCAAGCTTGCAAAATTACGCTTTGATGATCTTCGTAGCTAAGGTTAAAATTATGAACAGTTTTCATAGTGATCACAGGGGGAAGCACTGTGCGTATCTTTCCATTGGTGCAGTAGAATTACGTTCATCATACACAGAATGGCGTAGTAGTCACACGCATACTACAAGCACTGCAGCAAGTGGTCTATACTCTATCAATGTCTACACTGTTACAAAATCCACTTTTCATGTTAACTCTGGAATACTTACTGCTGCCAAATATCGATAATTTAGACCGTAATGACATCTAACTGAAAATTCGTCATGTCAAACTTTTTAGACATCGAAAAGCAAATCGAAGATTTACAGCGCAATAGGTCCAATTTGAATGAGAAGGAAGAAAAAGTAAGTCTCCTTGCTGTAGTGAAGTGATATCCTTAATTGCTAATGATCGATATTACAATAGTTTCGTTGTAACCACTGGGATTACTTAGTTCGATTACAGTACAGTAGAATGTTAACGTGATGTTAAATCAGCAGATTGATGGCCGTTTCCGTGATATCAATCTGTTTCCAAATTTAAATGTTATTCATTTAAAGTTGTAATAAATTTCATTTTAGGTTGGCTTAGGATCAAAGGGTCACTTCGACAAGGACATCTATGGTGATTCCAGTACCAAGTAAGACGATTATATGCTGCGCCATTCGTGTATAATATTGTACAGCCCATTAGACAGGCAATTGCTTGTTTGTCTATTTGTAATTAGTTATGCCTACATATTATTGTATATGCTGAAATTTATAACAGCGCTATATGAGTTAGTCAAACATTTAAATTTATGCTTTTAATAACTTAATCTATACATCTTATTGCAGGACTGGCTACGTAACATCTCTTCCGTTAAATGAGGCCGAAGAGGTAATGTTGTCATCGTTTTATTATTGCAATATTGTATAAATAATCGTTAACAGTCTATCATATCTTAAATATTGAATTACTGTGCTATTGCTATAGGACGAAGATGACTATTCCGTGTCTAATACCCTTAATAAAAGAGCAACATACTCTGCTCCACAAGCGCTTCTTAATGACGTCCCAATGCAAGATAAGGTTTATAATTGATAAACGTTGTAATTTGTACAATACTTATGTCATCTGCTGTGTAGATGTATAGAAAGTGTAGAGGCACACGTTTCAATATAGAATTAATGCTAATGTTTTGAATACTTAGGACTACGATCCTTTAGCTGAATATCGTCACTCTCGTGTTGCTGATCGTGACGATGAATATCGTGCTAGAAGACGAAATTTGATAATTTCTCCCGAACGACATGATCCCTTTGCAGATGGTTTGCTATTCCTATTTTTGGGGATTTTTTTACTTGTATTGAATGAATATTTTAAGAATCTATTGTAATTCATATTATCTCATTGTACTGTGATCATGTAGGAGGGAAAACTCCAGATCCTAAAGCTAGGACCTACATTGATATTATGCAAGAGCAAGGTTTAAAGAAAGAAGAAGTATGATTCTTTTGGATAGTTACGTTATATTATTTTTTTCTGTTAATCATGAAACTGTATTATGTAGGCTGAGATAATCAAGAAAATTCATGACAATCAAGAGACTGCTCCAGGCGCCCAAGTAAATGGTAGCGCTAAAGCAGGTACGGACTAATCAGATTTTATTTTTAATGATCTTTTTCTACGCAGTAAAGTTATAGTAACTGTTTTGTCCGATAATACCTTTAGAGAAACGGAAGCGACGTTGGGATCAACCGGCTACGGAAACTACACCTACAGCCAAGAAAACGTCCTGGGAACAAGCTGAAGTAAGAATTTTTAGAATTAGATTGACTATATACTGCCTTTCTATAAATGTAATGTTTATCATATATAATGACTCTGATATTTATCATGTATATTATTTAGACACCCTCTGTTAGCCGATGGGATGAGACTCCAGCTAGGTCGAAAGGTGGCGAAACTCCTTCCGTCAGGGTGTGGGATGCTACACCAACTCACACCGCTCCTGGAGCCGCGACTCCTGGTTCTGTATCAGGTAAATTATAGTTCTTGTTCAACTCTGCGCATCACGCGTTACAAATTGAAACACTTACTCTAATAGGGCTTAATAATAATAATAATAATGAATTTTTAATTTTTCGAAAGCACGTAAGCGTAATAGATGGGACGAAACGCCTAAAGCAGATCAAGGTTGATAAGATATACACTTTACAACTTATACTTTGTGGCTTATTAATATAAATATTTTTTGCCATTCTCACGTCTACTATTCTTACCTACAAAGTAACGGGAGAAACTCCTGGTCATGGCAGCAGTGCATGGGCGGAAACACCAGGAATTGATCGCTCTTCTGGTGAGCCAATAGGCGACACGCCTAGTGCAAAACGAAGATCTCGTTGGGATGAGACACCGGTGAATCAAATGGGTGGAGCTACTCCTGTTTTTAACAGTGGTGTGACTCCAAGTGGTACAGCAGCAATGGCAATGCCTACACCATCTCCAGGTACAGAAATGCTGTTTGTTTTATTCAATTTTAGCTTTGCGATCAATAATAACGTATTATTTCTGTATAGCCAATCTCGTCGCGATGACTCCTGAGCAAATGCAGGCCTTCCGATGGGAGAAAGAATTAGATGAACGTAATCGCCCACTAAGTGATGATGAATTAAATGGCTTATTTCCAAAGGAGGGTTATAAGGTAAACTACGGTATTTTTTTATTGCTTTCAATTTATAATACTAATATTTGGTAAAATTATACTTATTTAGGTTGTAGCGCCTCCAGCCGGATATCAGCCAATTCGTACTCCAGCTCGTAAATTACTTGCTACACCAACACCGATGGGTGGAGCATCCACAGGTTTTTTCATGCAGGTAATACATTTGATAAATGATTTAAAATTAATGTATTAAGTTAAGAGTGTTTTAATATATGCGGGGCATTAATGGTAATTCAGGATGAAAAGACTTCTGGATCCTCTAAAGTTGTAGAAGATTTACAACCTGCTGGAAATCTTCCTTATTTGAAGCCAGACGATGTTCAATATTTCGGAAAATTGTTGGTAAGTACTGTATCGTACCTGGTAAATACGTGATTATATTGAAATTGCAATAACGAAGTCCTCCATTTCCTAGACTGAAATTGACGAAAACTTACTATCACCAGAAGAAGCAAAAGAGAGAAAAATTATGAAACTTTTACTAAAGATTAAGAACGGCACACCTCCCATGAGAAAAGTAAGTATCAATATACTCATTACTAACCTTATGGTATTAAATAAATTAAACTAAAAGTATCTTGTTTCACAATGATTAGGCAGCACTACGACAAATAACTGATAAATCTCGAGAATTTGGTGCTGGTCCATTATTTAATCAAATTTTGCCATTATTAATGTCTCCCACCTTGGAAGATCAGGTAGACTTCAATTTAAAACCTACAATAATGCAGTTTAGAATTATGACAGGAGTTATTGTTTTTCTTACATAGGAACGCCATCTTTTAGTTAAAGTTATTGATCGAATTCTTTACAAATTGGATGACCTTGTTCGCCCCTACGTGCACAAAATTTTAGTTGTTATTGAACCTTTACTTATTGATGAAGATTACTATGCTCGTGTGGAAGGGCGTGAAATTATTTCTAATCTGGCCAAGGCACTTCTTTAAAATTGCTTTTGATTTATATCATTGCGAAACAATGAAAGTACTTAATAGTTTTATTTGCTTATTTAGGCCGCTGGGCTTGCTACTATGATCTCTACTATGAGACCTGATATCGATAATATTGACGAATATGTTCGTAACACCACTGCTAGGTAAAAAATTATGTAGACTGTGAATTTGCAGAGTTTACGAAATAATTTCACACCTCGATTTCTCATTTATTACTATATCTTTTTATTTTACAGAGCTTTTGCTGTAGTTGCTTCTGCCTTAGGTATTCCATCTTTATTGCCATTTTTGAAGGCTGTATGTCGCAGTAAAAAGTCCTGGCAAGCTCGTCACACTGGAATAAAAATCGTACAGCAAATTTCTATATTGATGGGATGTGCTATTTTACCGCATCTAAGAAGTTTAGTAGAGATTATCGAGCATGGTTAGTTTCTCATACAGACTCGTCTTTATTTACTCTTTTATAATCATGACACCTAATTATCAAACTCTTTGATTTTAGGACTAGTTGATGAACAGCAGAAGGTTAGAACTATTACAGCTCTCGCTTTGGCTGCTTTAGCAGAATCTGCTACCCCATACGGTATCGAATCATTTGATAGTGTTTTAAAACCTTTGTGGAAAGGTATCAGAAACCATCGTGGCAAGGTTAACCTATTACCATTAAACAAGATTATTTATATGTTAAAGATGTTAGACGTTCTGATGTAATAAATTGTTTGTACATCTTTATCTGTATTTAGGGTTTAGCGGCATTTTTGAAGGCCATCGGTTACATTATACCCCTTATGGACGCAGAGTTTGCTAATTACTATACCCGTGAGGTTATGATCATCTTAATTCGTGAATTTCAGAGCCCTGATGAAGAAATGAAAAAAATCGTATTAAAGGTAAGATTAGAATATGGATATGTGATATTATTTTATTCTAGACGTATAAACGTGATATTTACCACATTTTCGTACACTAGGTTGTGAAGCAATGTTGTTCTACAGATGGTGTAGAGCCACAGTATATTAAGGAACAGATATTACCACCGTTTTTTAAGCATTTCTGGAATCAGCGGATGGCCTTAGATAGACGCAACTATAGACAGGTTTTGCTACATATATTAAAGTATATGTATAAAGCATTAGTTTATTTTTATCTAATCAATGTATAATTATGTTCGTAATAGCTGGTCGATACTACGGTTGAAATTGCGAATGCAGTTGGTGCTGCAGAAATAATAAGTAGAGTTGTAGATGATTTAAAAGATGAATCTGAACAGTACAGAAAAATGGTTATGGAAGCTATAGATAAGGTACCGTATTAAATTATTAAGGATACATAAGTACATTGCTGGTTTGATTTTATATATATATTGAAATCCCTTAGATTATGGCAAATCTTGGAGCTGCAGATATCGATTCTCGATTAGAAGAACAATTGATTGATGGTATTTTATATGCTTTCCAAGAACAAACACAGGAGGTAGAAATTTTTAAAGTGTTTACTATTTAGTGGTGAGGCTTAGAAATATAACTAGGATGTATTTTGCAGGACGCCGTTATGTTAAATGGTTTTGGTACAGTTGTGAACTCTCTAGGAACTCGTGTTAAAGCTTACTTGCCTCAAATTTGTGGTACAGTCTTGTGGAGAATGAATAATAAATCTGCTAAAGTTCGCCAGCAAGCCGCTGATTTAATATCCAGAATTGCAGTGATTATGAAAACATGTGGTGAAGTAAGTACCGATTAGCATCAACAGTTATACGTGATTGATTCATTAATTAGTTTGTTAATGGCTGTATTTGTAGGAGAAACTTATGAACCATTTGGGAGTTGTATTATATGAATATCTTGGTGAAGAATACCCTGAAGTACTTGGTAGCATACTGGCTGCTCTTAAGGTAATTAGATCTTTTTTAAAATGGTAAAAAATCTCTGTAAAAAATTTAACTTTGGTTATTTATACTATTTCAGGCTATTGTAAATGTAATTGGTATGAATAAGATGACACCACCAATTAAGGATCTCTTACCTCGCTTGACACCCATCCTAAAAAACAGGTATAAAATAGTAGTCTAAAACGCTTATTATGGTTGTATAACTTATTGATAATGCAACTTTTTTCCCAAGGCATGAAAAAGTTCAAGAGAACTGTATCGATCTCGTTGGTCGTATCGCTGATCGAGGTGCTGAATTCGTATCTGCTCGAGAATGGATGCGAATCTGCTTTGAATTGTTGGAACTTTTGAAAGCTCATAAGAAAGCAATTCGTCGAGCAACAGTAAATACTTTCGGTTATATCGCTAAAGCTATTGGGTACGTAAGATATTACAAAATAACTAGCTACCTTTCGAATTAGTACTAATTATATAATCACATCTTATGTTTTGTTGCAGTCCACAAGATGTTTTAGCTACGCTCCTCAACAATCTTAAAGTGCAGGAACGTCAAAATCGTGTGTGTACAACGGTAGCTATTGCAATCGTGGCGGAAACATGTTCACCATTTACTGTCCTCCCTGCTCTCATGAATGAATATAGAGTACCTGAGCTGAATGTACAAAACGGGGTTTTAAAGTCACTATCTTTCCTTTTTGAATATATTGGTGAAATGGGCAAAGATTACATTTATGCTGTCACTCCATTGCTAGAAGACGCGTTAATGGACAGAGATTTAGTTCACAGGCAAACCGCATCTTCTGTTGTTAAGCACATGTCTTTGGGTGTAGTAGGATTCGGTTGTGAAGATGCGTTAACCCATCTATTAAATTATGTATGGCCGAACATTTTTGAAACTTCACCTCACGTAATTAATGCTGTCATGGAAGCAATAGATGGTCTTAGAGTTGGTATTGGCCCAACGAAGGTTTTACAATATACTCTGCAGGTATAAACTATCTTTCATTAGCAACTTTTTTTAATATATAAATGCTAGAGATAATTTTTTGCTTTTAATAGGGCCTCTTTCATCCCGCTCGAAGAGTTCGTGAAGTGTACTGGAAGATTTATAACAATTTGTACATCGGATCTCAGGTATTTCAAAATTTTTGTGTACTACGATGTGCTTTCATATACATTGAATTTCTATCTGGATTTTATATGAATTAGGATGCACTTATTGGATCTTATCCCCGGGTTGAAAACGAAGAGAAAAATTCCTACTATCGCTATTTCTTAGACTACACTTTATAAATTTGCAGTATCTTTAGCAGTTTATTATGTACAAATTATTTCATCTATCCTTATCGATGATATTTCATGTGATACTTGTACTGAAGGTGAATTTATCCACTGTTGATTCATACGTTTAGATAAGCATTACAGTACAAGCACATACAATGATGCATATGAATAGAATGTACCTTCAGTTGTTTTATCAGCTAATAAATTAATCCCTTTGACAACTGATATCAATATTCCTACTAGTAGCCTTGATATTCAGTAGATGTGTAGACCGTGGAACGATTTGCCTTAAGATCGTGTTGATCTGCTTGTAAAAATGATAGTAATATGCAATCATTATATAATGTATCGTTTGTTATGTTTCATATTATATAATAAATAGTCAGGGAAGTTCGTGTACCTACTTGACTCGTGTCTGTGATGAATTATCTTGAAAAAAAAATGGCAGGAAGTGTGATTTGTATTATATTAATCGGTTCTTCGATTAACCTTTCTCATAACGTTCTTGAAAAGGTAGAGTACTTAAGGGCTACCTCGTCTTGTCCTATACCGGATGACACACCTTGATGTGATTTAAAACATAATAGAGGGAAGCTTGAACAGAGTTCTTATTTGTTGTCTAGTCAGAACATTGATTGTCTACATAAAGAAAAGGCGTACAGTGCAATCAGGAACTAGTCGACGATCCGTTAGTACCGTGCTTATAGTACTACTCAGACTAATACTAAAGTTAAGCATATTAGATTAATACATCCTATTCATGCTGATGCTAGATTTAGGCATGGACTACTAGAAAATATGCTGATTTACTTATTACTGTATCATGTAGTCATCCATGAATAATATTAAGCCTTTCGCTGAGAGTATTGTCGACAAGACCACGGGAAACAGTGCTGTACGGCACAGTAAAGAATTGCTGCTAGCAAAGGCCCTTTCCCTTAGTCTACGCCCAGTACTGTACTGTATGACCTCCGACTTGAAATCACAGTATACTGTAGTGTAGCAAGTTGCATCAGACTAGACTAGCGGAAGCTGTTCGATCGATACCTCTAGTCCACAATGTGCTCACCGCAAACTGCTGCAGTTTTGCAATCAATAAGGAAATGATTATTTAATTAATTAATTCATAAATTATTTAACAATTTTCTACATTTATCCCTCTGTCTGCCGATCATTTTTGTTATTGATGGCATTTAATCAGCTGTCACGTCGTATTGTTAACTGTAGTCAACTATTACGTTATCGAGTGTGGAAGAAAACGTTGAAAATGTCGTCTATAGATGGTAGCACACACATGGAGAAGACAGAAAATAGCCCTAGGAATGAGGTTAAATCAAATGTTACTAATAACTCATGTGTACTCATACTGATAACCATCGTGCCTTTGCAATCTCATCAATGAATGATTTACTTGCAACACTGATTCATACGCCTATTTATAAATTGAAAATCACAGATTTATCGAATTGATTTCTACGCTTGCTTCATGGATAAAGAGAGATATCTATTTTACGTATAATAGAAGATAGTAAGAGATGATTAGAGATACAGGAGCTATCCAACGAACTATAACCGATTATTGCTATTACAGTTACAGTTGTTAACTATCTATTTTATCATGATAAATTTTAAGATCACATTATTTTAGAATGATACTCATATATCGCTTTGCACATTTATCCAATCCGATTTTTATGCCCATATCTTTAATTATATTATAATCGTATACTGTATTATAATTACCCATCGATGCGATACAAGATGTCGACAGCATGTGATATAGTTGCTTAGTTGGAGACCCAGAAGCTATCCTACTAACTATAATTAGTTGTGCCTATGACAGTTACAGTTGTTAACTATTTATTTTATCGTCATTGATTTTAAGATAAGAGCAATTTAGAATAGCATACCTAATGACCCATATTCTAGACTTTATGTCGTTGATTTCTATACCGGCGTCATCAGTTTACGATCGATAGAAGATATCCATACATAAACGTGAGATTGTCGCTTAGTTACAGATCCAAGAGCTATCTTACTAACTGAAATCAATCATAAAGTGATAGCTATCAACTGTTTATCTTATTACCATAAATTTTAAGATCAGAATAATTTAGAATGATATGTACTGTACTATTGCAGATTCATCTAATCGATTGCTAAGCCTTTGCCTTCAATAACCAATCGAAAAAAGATATAACGTATGATAGAGATCTACGTAGAAACTATCCTACTGACTGTAATCAATTGAACGATTGCTGTTATTTACTATTTATCTTATTATTTAAATTTCATGATCGCTGTAATGATGAGCAATATCGGAGATTCATCTAACTGATTTCTACGCCTGCTTGTTCTATTACCTATCGGTAGAAGATATCTATAACGTACGATAGTCATAGATCGTAGAGCTATTCTACTGACTGTAATCAATTGATAATCGCTGCTGTTGACATTGATCATATTTCAGGTTGTTTCTCAAGCTACACTTGTTCAAATGGAACAAATTTCACCTGATGTCAAATCGCTATTCTTTCGCGTACATGACAAAATGTTTACCTTTAGGCCTGGTCAATGGTTAGTTTCTTCAATTATTCAATTCGCTGAATCTTTATTTACTCGTATGCTAGCTACAGATCGTGTCTTATAAACTCATTTTTCTAATCTTTTAATTATTATTATAATTATAGGATAGATATGATGATACCAGAAATTGAAGTTGTTGGAGGCTTCTCATTATGTTCTAGTCCTTTCTTATTACAAAAAGAAAATTTAATTCAATTAGCTGTGCAATATAGTACCCATCCGCCAGCGTTATGGATTCATACAAAGGTGAATGTGAACATCAAAGTTAACAAACTATACGCTAATGGCGTAAAATAATATGTATAATATTGATGTGATTCCTGTCATTTAAACTTTAAAATAATATTTTAGGCAAAAACAGTGTCAAGTTGAAATGTGATCTAGCATATTAGCGATATATCCTGTAATTTATAATTACAATAATGAAATATGAAAAAATTAGATACTATATCTATTGGATGATATCTATCTACATGCATAAAGGATAATCTGTTCAAATTATTTTAATATCCCTCTGCGTTATCTTTTGATTGAAAAGTGCAAGGTTGGCGATGTAGTGAAATTACGTTGCGGTGGGAATTTTTACTTTGATTTCCACAAAACTGATAAAAAGAAGCATTTGCTACTCATCGCTGGAGGTGTGGGAATTAACCCGATATGTTCAATCGTGCGTGACCTTGCTGAACATATTATTAGAAGTAGATCAGACGAATATCGAGCATTGTTGTTATACAGCGGAAAAAGTAGAAAAAATTTATTATTTAAGGTTAGAGAATAAGTTAATATTAAAATATCCCATTTCTTATTGAATTTATATGCTTTCAACACTAAACGCCGTTACATAAAGTTTTAATTAATTTTCAGGAGGAATTAATGGATATTGCAAAAAAGGTGCCATCAATTAGTTGCAAATTTTTCGCTACTAGAGAAACGTGTCAGGAACAAGAAGTACTATGTTAGTAATGGCAAAGCTTTCTCTTCCACAGAACATGTAGTAAAGCTTACAAAGTACCTTTAAGCGTTTCTAAATCTTTGTTACGTTTTTCTACTTAATTTACATCTATAACACGTAGTATGATGTATTCGTGCCAAGTATACGACAAATCCTACGTATAAACCAAGTATAGAAATGATAAGTAATTGTTTTTATATAACGTTTATACTATTTTGCATAGCCCACAGGATTGATCCGTCTGTTCTCAGGGAGTCCGTCTTAAACCTGAATATATCGAAGATGCAAACATACATATGCGGGCCACCACCTATGATTGAATCAGTCGCTTCAAATTTATTGCAAATTGGATTAGCTGAAGATGATATAAAATATGAAAAATGGTGGTAACACGGATGAAATGCTTTAAGATACGCTATAAAAAATTTACGAGCAAATAAATATATGCTTTATAGCAGAAAGGATGATCGTACTCGTATCTTGATATCAGATTGAATTCTGAAATTTTCTCACCTTTATCAAAGGATATACTACAAAGTAGCATGTTATTCTGTTACTGTACGTTAAAAAAAGAGCAAAATGATTAGTCATAAACTGGATCGTTTAAATTGCATACTACCCTTTTCCTAGTAACCACCTGCAAAACAAACCTTATTAGCACTAATGTAAAATATGTTTCGCTCTGTATCTTATTTTACAATTATCTTTTGGGGCTATCTCCGAATAGCGGCTATTAGATAACTTTGTAAACACCCTTCAACTTAATAGCGTCTTCGTTACAATTTGGAAAAGAAATTTTTTCCGTCAAATGTAACAATGTTGTTTCAATTAGCTATCCATGACAGGGTATTCAATTAATTATAAAAGTGCCTCTATCGGATTTATTCGTCGCGGTCAAACACTCTTGTAAACATCAATTTAGACATACTGTAGTAAAAATTTACTGTCTTGAAGTATTCTTTATCAAAGTTATTGAAATCACGCATCATTTCTATGAATTTCTCATCAGAATATTTCAGATACTAAACACAAGATTGTAATTAAAATTGAATACCTTTTAATGCAAGCTGACTACTCTGTCTAAGCAATAATTGCGTTAGAAATTCGATCAGAGATGCTAGTTTAATTATAAATTGTAATAATTATTGATCATAATACAGTTTTATACTTCCTTTCACAATGATTAAATGAGATAATACAGATGATTTACATATTCTTACAAAGCAAAGTCTCGGTTTGTAATAGTAGAAACGCAGTAAATTATTTCTAGAAATATAAAAAGAAATTTTAATCACTAATATTATTCCAACCTTAATGATTGGGTATTTAGTAATCACATATACACAGCTATATAGGTGTAATAAAGAAGTTACAACATTAAAGCTATTGGCATTGACCGATGATGTTATTTTGTTAATAATGCTACAGATTCCTCGTTATGTGGGTAGCTTTCTCATTGCCTACATATAGTCAATAAACTCTTTCTTTCAAATTAATATCAGGAATATCATTTTACATCGTTTAACATAAATGCTAGCACAGTCCAATAATATAGCAGGGTAAGATTTTGTAATTACAACCTTATTAAACAATTATTTAGTAATAAACAATCAAGATAGGGTTACATTACCTATACAAATGAGATAAAAAAGATCGGCTAAAAATTGTACAGTTAATAATTCTTTTTCAAATTTTAATAACAAAATCATAACCAAACAATTAAAAGCTAGAAAATTGAGTCAATCAAAATTCATCATAGTTGATCTAAATTTGCGGAGCCTTATCACGTTCTACATATTCGCTAAATAACCATTTCTGAGACGGACCATTGTTACAAGGATTTAAGACTACAAATTGTTCTTTACCACGATCTAAGCACCAGCCAGTTGGTGCATGACGCATCTCTCCTTTCTGCAAAGAGGAAATTTTTTGCATTTGTTAAAAAAAATCACAACATTACTGTACAGTAGATTGCTAACGTGGCTTATTCCTACCTTTGTATGTAGCCATTGTTGATTGCCTTTCATTGAGTGACAATCAAGCATTTTGACCTTACTACTCGGTTGAGAATTAGCGTAATCAAAACAGTTATCGTCAACGATGATTTCCTCATTTTTAGTGTAAACCAGGTACTATAAAGATTGTAAAGTCAACATTTATGCGATGCAGTAATTGTTTTAAATAAATTAGTCAAGATTAGAAAGCTACTTGTAACAATTCTTACCTGATTACCCATTTGTTTATGACATTTATAAATGCCAATATAAGCATGTTCACCTGCACCGAGGGAATCGATACAATCTCCGCTAGCGGGATTACGGAGCTAAATTTATAAATTAACGTAGGTTTTATCATATTGCCGTTAGATAAAAGCGATCGTTTACGCTGAGATACTAGCTTCAGTACGTCTTGCACAATTATTCTGGTATAACAATTATAATTATGGCTATACATGTATTTAGATAAAGCTTTATCAGGCAAAGCGAAATATTTCAATCAATTCATTTTATTGCTACGCCAAGATAAACATAACAGGTGATGTATGTTGTTCAAAATAGGAATAGTAAATTGCAACGTTTCACAAAAAAATATTACACTAACCTCTCCTCTGGCAATAATTGAAGAGTTTGGTAGAAAAATCTCCGGAACTACATTCTTTATATACCAATCGAAGTTTTTGCATTTTAATTTTTTCCTTAATTCCAGTCGCTTAGAAATATCCCCAAAAGGATGACCTTTCAAGTGAGGTTGCCGCTTATAAAAGTATCGTTTATAGCCATCCATCCATACTTCAGCAACTCTTTGTAAGTTTTTACTTAAGGTTTCTCCAGTTCCTTTAGGAAAACTATAAGGCTGACTTTTCCGAAATACATGCCCTACATGAGAACAAGGAATGATCTCCAACTGACCACCGCACTGCCAAATCTATCATTTAAAAAAGTTTTCAGTATGATTAAGAGCTGAATCAAAACTAGTCGGAACAAATAGATTAATAATATCTTTTCTAGTACCCTAAATGATAGCTCTAAATTTTCACCGCCCCAAATTTCCATCTGTTTATCGTATAATCCGATGTCTTTAAAATACTGCGAATGAATCGTGAAAAGTCCACCAGCCATTGTTGGTGATCTAGCATAAATTTGTCAAATTTGGTAAATAGTATTTAATTTTGAAGTTATTCATGAATGCATTGATATGATTTATTGCGGCCAGTAACAATTGATGAAGTCTTGTTAAGATTTCAAGAACATCTCTTGGGTAGAAATTTGTAAAGTTATAAATTGTACCTAATTCCATCTGTTCGTGCAGCTCTTCTCTTATTTTCGTATTCCGGTACGGCTTTCCATCGGAAATTAAGGTTCCAATTAAAAGAGCCACGCACGTTCCCAGAGGAATATGTATACTCAAACGTTTCGTCGCTAATAACATCAATCTCAGGGCAAACAACTATCGTCCGATTCTGCATAATACGATACAGCAACGGCTCTAGCCATCCCACATTAGCCTCACAATGTGCATCAAGAAAAGTTACCGTAGGAGATGTTGCATGAGCAAAACCTACAAAAAGGTATCCAGAATAAATTAGTATTTCATATCGTAAGACTAGCTAGTTCGTGTTTGTAGCGCCCTCTATGTAGAGTATAAGGCGAATGCTACCGATAGGGATATTGTTAAGTAAAATCAATTTCAAATGTAAAAGAGGAGCTTTTTGCTATCGACTGACCATTTAGTCTCGATCTTATCAAGCCTTCTCGTGCTTTATTCCTGACAATTTTGACTTTGGATAGCTTAGCGACATATTTTTCAAGAGTAGAATGCAATTCCTCTAAAATAACAAACCAAAGAGAAGGGACATCACTACAATGCAGACTAAATAGGTGTTAACATTGCTAACATTGCTAATATTCTCAGATACGAGTATATTCTACTTCTTGTCTGTATACGCTAAACTCATAGGCCACGTAGGTTATCATTTCTAACATGTTACATAAATAATTATTATAATGAAATAAATCAATATTTTACCGTATAGCTATGGTAACCCTACGTTTTCAATGTTTTGATATTTTATAGCAAATGTTACATTGACGCAGATAAAAGAAAAGAAAATACACTCTATTTTATAGCATAATGCACATATCAGTAGTCTTTCACTCTTGTTTAATATATACCATGATCGCTGCTATCGTCCACTAAAATAATTTCGCGTAATAATTCCGGTGGTGATCTATCTAAAACGCTGTGAACGGTGCGTAACAACGTCGACCATGCTTCATTGTGAAAGACAATTATTACGCTTGTCTGGGGCAATTTATGAATAGGATATTTTAGACTGCTGCACCTATTTATTATTATTATTGCAATAAAAATAAGATTGAGTTATAGACGTATCCAGGAAATCCAATGGAAAGGTTCCAAGTAGCTGTTTGTATAACACTATTTATCATTAACTTATCAAGGAGATCATTCATTACAATTTTTATGCCGCTATGTAGATTGTAAGATACTGTCAATAATATTTTATTTGCACTATGTTCTACTGCATAGTCCAAGATATGTGTATGTCTACTCACTCCAATATTCGTGCATCTGGGAGTGATCGATGCAAGGATATTCGATCACTGGCCCATTGATTAAATCTATTTCTTTGAAATAACTTGCGGCTCTCCTCCTGATACTCTGGAGGTACAATTACACCCCTTCCATTTTCACCGGGTTCACTTAAGCCAAATAAGCCTTGTCCAGCAGCACCCATCAAATCTGGCCGTGCTCGTCTGTTAGCACTGCCTATCGTAGCAATAATGACGATGAAGGCTATCACCAAGCAAGTAGCGATCAGAATCAATACAATACGTCGTGCATTTCTCTTCCACAGCATCATCTTGGAGAAATACGCGTAGTTCGAAAGAGTTTGGCCAATGTTTATTGCTACAGAATAGAATGATAACTGATTATACAGTTTGAGTGAAGTTAGACTTTTATACTGTTTGTATGTTAATATCGCATTGAAAGTGTGTAGATTATTTTTGATACCTTTTACCTTTACGATCACAAAGTTATCTAGACTAGATACTCCATATATGTGTACACATCTACGGAGAAGTCAAAAATGAATTATAATTGTTGCCACATTTATATACAATATCGGTAACGATCGACATTCTACTCAAAGTCTAAGCTGCAGTAAATTACAAAGGAAATTGTTCTACATTTGTCGTATATAAAATATCAATCTTGTTGAGAGTTACTCCTTTCTAGAAGAGTATAGCAAGACAATGTGGTTCATTTTAACAAAATCGGAGGTGGACTTTTATCGCGATATGATTAGACTAGTATTATACCGTTGTTCCTCTTATTGGGAAGCGTGTATACTTGTGGATATATCACCGTATATTGTACAGTATCTTCAACTTGTTTTTATTGTACGACATTTCTTCATCATCATCGCACTATCATTATAGTATAGTATTGCAGAGTAACCGTATCGATAGATTTCTAACATTAAGAGGCTTCGAAATCTGTCTATATACAGACTACTGTATGCACATGCTGTCGATATTATGGTATTCACAATGCACATCTCTGTGCTTCGTTCCCTTATTTTAAAGCATACACGTACTCATATATGGAATCAATGTGGAGCCGTAGAAGAGAGGCTAACATGATATGACCATGATGGTCATATTATGTCTTAGTATTTATTCTAATTCCTACATACTATGCAGTTAGTTGAAGTGTCTAAAGCTGTCCACTGTACAGTAGATTAATATGTGTAGGTATCAGTAGTTTTTTGAATTGTAACATGTTCTCATATCATGAGGTATACGTGCATTTGAGTAACTGACCAATTTCTCGTACAGTCATAAAGAATAGTTAACGGACGTAGTAGATTAGACATCGATACGATGCGCAGGAATAAAGCAACGAATGCTAACTTTACGATTGTATACTGTTGTGAAGGTACAGCTCGCTAGTCCATGATATCATTGTCAACGTTGTATAATACAGTAACGATGTTAGGCATGATTGATTTTGCAATGCTAGCGAGAAGAATTATGAATGATGCATTTAGTACCTGATTTCAATCCTTTTCGATTATCGAGTGGGATGGCAGATTACTGTGAAGCATAATCTCTTGTAGTCGCTATCCTCTTCAAATATTCAAGTGTAGAAGAATATGACATTACTACAGGAGTGGAGTTTATTGCATCGATGGATAGATACCAATCCCGACGAATTGACTACAAGGTAGAGAGTTAATTGCGGATTTTATACTAATGATCCAATAGTAGTCGTCTTGCAACTCTGTAATCGGTGGAACAGTTATCGACCATAGACCACGGAAAGTACCAGCTTGCAGGGAGGAATTTAGCAATATTCTCCTGTAATAGGCGTTTTCCGTTGTCACTTTAATGAATTCTAAATAACAGCCGTAACCATTAGGATTTATGGCATGACGTTAGAATGTCAAATAGAAAGATCGATTTAATAATTGCAGTCGGTAGGGTATTCCATACCTATTATAATGGTTAACTAACGCATCTATTAATTGATGAACTATAAATAATTAATTGATGTGCACCTGCAGAAAGTACGAGTCACAGTCCTACGCTGATCTACTTGCTTTCCCAGGTACAATGATCGCTATAATTGTCAATAGTATAGGAAGCTTAAGACTAGAGAGAACCAAATCAAGACTTTGAATATATCTCAACTAATGAATTTCTAATGGTAAAGATTGAAATAAAATTTGCAAAGGGGAGCTAGAGCTAAGTGATGCTAAACGGCCAAGCAAAAGTTTTGGGGCTAACTGGACACTGGACACTGGACAGCCGCCAGGGGTGTCATCAGAAATAGGAGGGAAGGAAAAGCGAGTCAACCGCCATACTATACAGTAGAGCCTGTACTATAGTGCGAGCTGTTATTTCTATGGCTGTAGTGTACAACACTAGACAAGCCGAAGCACAACTGTGGACATAGCCGTGTCGCTTAGAGTATCTTGATGTGCAGTACATTATACTGTAGACCACTGTACTATATACTGTACTATACAGTATAAACACCTATCTCATACAGTACTGTTCAGTATATAGCACAGTATGGAGATTTAAACGACTGTACAGTATACGCGCTGCATTGGACGTTTGTCATCCTTGATTCATCCAACATTCATGAACTACTAACTACTTCCTAGGGAAGTAGTTTAGGAAGAAGTTTGTTATCCATGATCGAGGTAAGAGAAGAAGCTTTTTTTCTCTTACCTCGATCAGGGTACATGCCTCTCCTGACCGTAGTTATATTGATGGATAACTTGACTACCAGTGGAAGAGATCAATCCGTGCCATGCGCCTGGAGTATTTGGGCACGTGTTATTGTTCATGTTGTACGATGGCCAAGAAGCAAGAAGTTCAATATCTTCAACTGGTAGCAACGCCATTTGATATCGACAAGTCTGGGATAGTGAGGACGAGAAACCCTTCTTCCAATTAAGGGTCTCTTATAAGTACTCTCCACTCGATTGACAGTTGTAACTAGGGCATGCTACTGATCGATCATCATGGACTTGATGATCCCTTCGCTGATGACATCACTTTCGCTCACAATCAGTCTTACTCCTCTTACTGTGCAAGTGTGCATGACCAATTGACCATCTACTGTACACTTTCGTAGACTGCATCAGCATGGATGAATAGCAACGACGTTGATCATGTCTTGCGTATGGCGTAGTACTGTATAAAGCGTTCGCCAAAATGCTTTCGCCATATTAATATAGGGCTGCTGTGCTATGGACTATTTCAACATAAGTATGTACATCGAGAAGTTCATGATTGTACTGTACAATGTACATTGTTATGGAGTAGTCGATGGCAGTAGCAATATCCCACTCCTCCAATTTGGATCGACTTCTATAATCTTGTCGTACTGTTGATACTATGAGAGCATCCATTCGTCGCTATGCAATCATAATGGAAAGTCAATGGAAATTGATTGTCTAAAACTTCTATACATGAATATTGAGTAGTCATTCTTCTACCTTCAGTACTGTAGCTCTATAGAGCAGACATCAGTAACAGTAAGGGCTGGATCGTAAAGGCACATTGCCTACTACTTTGTTGCAATCTTGACTTTAGTCTATAAAAAGTGGAGGAGTTGGATATTACTGTTGATGCGCACAAACTACGAAACATTTTGTCATCAAGTAGTACTATAAATGGCAGTCCCATCGACTACTACTGTACACTGTACACTGTGCACACAGCATATTAGATGCATCGAGTAGTCCATGATGACTCAACATTTACATTGCCATGGAGTAAAGTAGTAGATGGCAGTTACCGGTAGTCATGATTACCCATTCATTGATCATGGACGACTAAAAGGAGTATCCTTGTCTCTTTCTTTCTTTTTACTGTAATCTCTGGCATGGAGTAGTCTACTGTACAGTATATTAGATGCATTAAGTAGTCCATCACAACTCAGCATTGTCATGGAATAGTAGATGGCAATACCAGTAGTTCGTGACTGTACATTGTCATGGAATAATGTAGAAGATGGCAGTTACCAGTCGTCCATGACCCATTAATCATGGACGACTAAAAAGGAGAGGAGCATCCATCTTTCTTTCTTTCATTTTACTGCAGCACAGTGTACAGTGTACAGTGTCATGAAGTAACACTGCACTGTACAGTACTGTACGCCAGCCAGTTGCAATTCCATACAGTACCGTATAGCCCAAAGTGCTCGGGAGTCTGTCGTTACATACTGTCTGTCTGTATAGTACAATAAGTGGACGCTAGGACGGCATGGTATAGTACAGTATAGAAGAAAGTAATTCGACTTTCAAGCGTCATACTGTAGCAGCAGCCTGCATGATGGACGACATGGATGCACCATGTCGTCAAGCATTTGCCATCATTAGTCAGTAGCGGATAAATCATCAAACTAGTCCATCGTTTCATTGATTGTGGGTTAAGGTAAATAGAGCCTAGGGCATCTTAGGTAGCTTGGATAGACAAGGAATTGATTGATTCTTGAAAGTGCAGCAAGACACTCCAATCACAAGATGATTTTCGGCTTACGTTCTATTAAACGCTATTTAGTGCTAGCTGTTACAATCTTGGCTATCGTAACCATGGTAGTTCAATTCTATCTATGGTATAGCGAAGAAACAATTAGCGATATCATCTGGGTTGATAACCGACATAGACAGCATACTGTTGTCTTTAGGAAAGGCTCGAATAGCACTATTGTCATGATGCCTGCATTTCGACCCACACTACCTCATTACCGACGTAATAGCTACGGTGAAAATGGCCAAGCTGTAGTCGTTCCTGCTGTATATAAGGAAGAAAGCGATCGATTATTTTCCAGAAATCGTTTCAATCAATGGGCAAGTGATCGCATTTCATTACATAGGACTTTACCTGATCAACGACCGGCTGCGTAAGTATGATAGCATGAGTTTATTTAGATATGGATCAATGCATTGATTGATCCACAACAGATAACCTACTCAAGTTAGTAAGTTATTCGACACAACGAGGGGACAACAGTTTGATCAAGACAGTCACAAAATTGAAAGCATGAAATTGAAATCGCTCTACAATACAAACAGTAAATCATTGGTCAACACAAAGAAGCTTCAATTTTATACCTCCAATGTCAATGATCAATCTCTTTTCATCCTATCTTGCTTGCCATGCTCTACTCTAGCCAATGGTAGGCATGTTTGATATACTGTAGAGTTGAAAGATGAAACATGGAGACACCAATCCAAGCAGATAGAAATCACTCTATTTGTACAATACAAACAGTTCATTACTTGTTAACGGAAATAAGCTTCAATTTTATACCATCAACGTTAGTGTCAATATCTTTTCATCCTATTTTGCTATATTGTACTCCTTTCAATATTAGGCATGTTAATCAAAGATTTACATGTTGAACTGACGAATAGACGCAGATAGAATGGACTTAAAATGAGAAAACAGTCACATCTGTAATAGAATTGTTGTTGATATCAATAATACCCTAACTAGTCTAGTTCAAGTTTTTTACTTAATGAATCTTGGCTGACATCGTCATTTTAAATTCTCAAAAAATGATCTTGATTCATTCGCACATTATCCTTCTATATTGTTGAATTAATGAATTGTACATAGAAAATGTATTGTAAAGTAATTGTGGATAATATCAATATACATATTACAGATGTAGAAAACAACTCTTTCCTACCAATCTTCCACCAGCAAGTCTTGTTATCGTTTTCCATAACGAGGCATGGTCGACTCTATTACGAACAGTGCATAGTGTCCTGGATAGGTCTGATCCTCGCTTAATGCGAGAAATTATTCTTGTCGATGATTGTAGTGAGATTAAAGGCCACGGTAGGAAAATAACTTACTTTCCAATCAACTATCAACTCAATGTGATTCAACTTTATATTTAAATTTCCTCGTATTATTTTAGAGGAACTTCAAGCTCCACTTGAAAAATACATTCAAAAATTGAAAATTGTCAAATTGGTGCGAAATAAAAAGCGCCAAGGATTGATTCGTGCAAGATTAAGAGGTAAGAATCAATGACAACGGTAGAAACTAGAAGCGAGTATAGATATCTTAAATACGCGATGTTGTTTCATACTATACAATCAGCAAATCGAAATGACTAGATGGGCATGCTGTACTTTATCACGCTACAGCAACTTCAAAAATAAATAACCATTGAAACCAAAATTAGAGGATAATAACATGTTTTCTATACCGATATATACTAGGGTACAAGGAAGTAACCTCACCAGTTATTGTATTCCTTGACGCACATTGCGAGGTCGTTGATGGCTGGCTAGAACCACTACTTGCGAGGATACATGAAAATCGTTCTAACGTCGTCTGTCCAGAAATTGACGTAATTAGCTTTGAAAACTTTGGCTATAGTTATGCTTCAGGAATTCGTGGAGTATTTAATTGGAATTTACATTTTCGTTGGCGCACCCTTCCTGCAGTAGAACAACAACGTCGAAAATCCGTCATTGATCCTATTCGGTTTGTTTCAATGTCAACAATTTATGATTCTAATCATTCCATTGATCCATCCCACTCTACTCTGCATACAACTAGATAAAAGATAATATTACTCATCTATTTTTATACTATTATCTGAACAATTTTAGATCTCCTACCATGGCTGGTGGTTTATTTGCAATCCATAAGAAATATTTTGAAGATATCGGTTTATATGACGATGAAATGGATATCTGGGGAGGAGAAAATTTAGAAATGTCATTTCGGGTACAAATACGATCATAAAAACTTTTCTTTGATCAAAAAATTTTTTTACTACTACTAGATATCAATTGGAAGAGTTAAAAGCAATACGAGTACACACTTAAGATTGAACAAATAGAAAAGCTACATCTTAATAATGATTTTAAAATCCTATCATACGCGTAGATTTGGCAATGTGGCGGTAACTTAGAAATTATTCCATGCTCCCATGTTGGCCATGTTTTCCGCAAAAGTCAACCTTACACCTTTCCCAAAGGTGCTGGTGAGACATTAAACAAAAACTTACAGCGCGTCGCCGAAGTGTGGATGGATAACTATAAAGATATCTTTTACAATCGATTTCCAAACTTACGCCAGCATAGCTATGGCGATATTAGCAAGCGTATAGAATTACGAAAAAAGTTAAAATGTAAAAGTTTTGACTGGTATTTAAAGAACGTTTTTACAGATGTACAATATCCTGATATGATCTTTCTGGCTAAAGGAGAGGTATCTTCAAATTGATAATGCAAAAAATACTTCACTCGAATTTATTTACTGTACTGTACATTATTGCATACAGCCATATGTACTTATTTACTAGCTGTTGATCAATTACTTAATAGTATTATATCGTTCATCTATCAGCTTCGTAATCCTAGTACCGGCTACTGTCTCGACTCTATGGGTAATAAAGAATATGCCGATATTGGGATTTATCCTTGTCATGGCCAAGGTGGCAACCAAGTATGTTGATTATCATCAAACTGATTAACTTTAAGCTCCTAGTTATATTGAAAGGAATATTTGATACTATAATATACTATTTGTGTATGTGATCGTAATACAATTCAATAACTCCACTATTACCATTTTTGATTGTAGTTGTTAACATACACTATTCGTAAGGAATTGGAAATGGATGAAGTATGTTTAGATGCACTCTCAAGACGTGTTGCAGGAACAGTAAAAATGGCACCATGCCATAGAAAAAAAGGCACACAACTTTGGGAGCACAAAGAAGTTAGTAATGATACTAATAAATCCATTTAGCAATATTTATTCTAGCATACGGCAGCTATCGATCTAACAGTTCTTTCATTACTAGGGTGGACAGGTGAGAAATCCAGAAACGAATTTATGTATCGATAAGGGTACAGGAAGTCATGTCACCCTGCAGCTATGTAGCGATGTCGATTCACAGAAATGGTCATTCGCCCGATATTATTCTGATGTTACTCCGGTTCCATAGATAGATTTTTTTTATTTCTAAAATAACTATAGTATAGAAACTTTCCAAAAATGTTAATACTCGATGATATTCTATTCCGATCAGCATACTTTTGCGGTATATTTGTTCAACAACAGTATCTACACAGCCGGCTTTTTAGAAAGTCGGTTTATTCCTAAGTAGTTAATATGAGAGGAGAATTATGTTTTATTGCTATTACAAAGATTAAAGATTAATATTTTGATACATACAGTACGTATATATTACAGGCAATATGCTCGTACCCATTATGCGAGCAATGACTACTACTAAAAATTTAGTAGTCCCTGATGCGAGTACATGGCATATAAATATCAGAGGAGAGCAGATTTATTCTATTTGTCTATAAGATGGATGAAATAACTAACATCATCTTCATCTACTGTAATAATATACAGATAAAATGATGTTACTAGGTTGCATTTTACTATTATGTACTGTACATGTAGCTAGGCGACAATGACAGAATTTTCTTCTCATTTTATGATATGATATTATACTAATTCCGTTAATATATCTATCGCTTAATGAAGTTGATTTTTAGATGGAATTGCGCTTAAGATAGCACTTTAATCGCTTCCTTTGTTTCTGTCTTAATTTTCCCCCTTTATTGATTAACGTGCTGACTGAATGAGACATAAAGGAAATTCATGTATACTTCTTATATATCTAAATTTGGCAAATTGTATTATTATTAAGTATCCCTTTGTGAACGTGTGTGCATAAATGGGAATTATATTATTGATTAATAAGTTAATGTGTAATGATTTTACATTGTCAGTAGCTTAATGCCGATATCTTATAAATAATCGGAATTATCTACGCCAACAGATTTTTGTGTTAAAATAGCCGTAAGTTTATCGCCTGTCGAAATTGGAGAGATCATTTGTGTCCATATTATCTAAGCTTAATTTGGGTATAGATGTAACCACAACTTCAATCTTTTTGATGTTTGAATTATGGTGTGCAATGACTATCTCTATAAACATATATGTTCGTTATAATGCCTATGAAATTATTTTACATCTGCTGATAGCGAAAAATAAAAATGGATACATCAATGCACTCGTGTTAATGTATTGTGGCGCTTCGTACTGACATTGAAAAAGGTGCAATGAGTTTTCATTGGTCGAAAAATGATCGCGTGTAAACATTAAAAAATGCAGTATAACTTTAAATTAAATAATCTTGTGAATAAATTTCTATTATATGCTGAAGTACTTTTGTAATATATCTTTTGATAGAAAGTATTCGTTATTTTAATTATTATTGTCGGAAAACCTTTCGTAAACGATTCTCTACCACGAAAACGGACAAAGATATCCAAATGAAAGATGCTATTCGGGTCTATATAAATCCTTTAGAATTGAAATAAAGTTAAAATATTATTCTGATCACAAATATATATTATACACACATATTCAAGCATGCTATGCAACGCATATATTTTAAAACTGTTTATCGGTACTTACACTTAATAAGCTGTGTTAAAAATAAATTGAAAGCCTACTAATATTTAATTTCATGATTTGTATCTCTACACTCGTATGTCATAAATTAATGAATGCTAATATCTTTCATAACTAGTTCTAGCACATTATGCTTAAATTAAAGAAGTTTAAAATATTAATAACATAATCCTGTTTCAATTTATTTATTCATTAAATAAACATATCGAATACAAAAATTAGAACTACATGTCCACGTAAAAATATCATAGTAATGCTAAGCTAAATGTAGCTTTTTATGTGATTCAATTAGGTAAAAGCCTCTTTAAAGAAACATTGTCTATTTACAGACGAAGTTTACATATTATCGACTAATAAGATGAAATGGTACATACGTATTTAGATAGGAAAAAAAATAACGCAAATGAAATGAATTAAAAAATAGGAGAACAATCAAGTGCTATGTCTTCGCATATTGTTATAAAAAACTATTACTGCAATCAATTCTGTACAATATTAATTATCTCTGCTACGGCTACTGTGTCTGTAACATTTTAAATCACAAAGCAGCAATAGAAGAAGATTTATAAATATTGGATATTATCACTTTTTACATTAACTTCCTGCACATTAAAAGATCATTCGTCATGACGGCATATATAGACGTGATCATCGCTAAATTACCCATGGCTAAATTCCCCAAATTTACTATGCATCAATTTTTCTACTGACATAAAAGTATGGCCTTACAATGCTGTCGTAGCGAAGCTACTAAATAAACTATAGTTCTAGTTATTGTTGTCAACATGTTTGCAGAAGTTAAAAATAGATACTTGTTAAAATGGGAATAATTTTAAAAGAAACTAATTTTGTACTGTCATTATAATATTATATCAATTTAGTTTTCCGCAGAACTATAATAATTGTAGAATTTTCCACTCGTATACAAAATCTCGTAAGTTGTAAGTAATAAATGCGATTTGAATACAGTACTATTATTTAAGATCTCAAGATCGTAAAAATATAAGGTGCACGTAAAATAGCCTCACAATTCTTGTAAAAGTTATAGAAAATTTTATCTACCAGGGCTAGTTATATACAACTGATTCAATTTGATACAGAACCAGTATAAAATCTGTTATATTCCGAGTCTTTTGTGACTAAATTGCGCCCAGTTGAAGAAGTAAATTTAGTTACAATTACAATAATATTCATACTTTCTACATCCATACTGTCTTGAAAGAAAATAGAGGTGATGATAACTTAAACAATATTCTACTAATGATTTCTAAGGTGAAATGAAATAAGAGCTAGTTATAAATCTAAATTTGTAACCAAAGTATTAAATTACAATCTGTAAATTAAATACTACAAGTCTACTGTAAGGCCTATCCTCCCCGATATCGACCTACAATACGATACGAAACACTAATGATATTACTGTCGTCAGAAGATTGCCGTAAACTATACATCTCTCTAGATTAAACTATTAAAGCATAGAAATCTCATCAATAGCAGTAATATAAACTAATATCACATCGTACTATCTGTCGAAAATAAAGGAGTATTTGCCTACCAAAGTCACATAGTGGCAGATTACGTCGAAAATTCTTACGTAATTGCAGCTAGTACTTTCACTTGATATAATGCGAATTCAATAATAAATCTGAATTAGAATATGATGCTTATAGGTGAACTTTATATAACATATAAGCGTATATATATTTGTTCAATATGCGACAAATTCAGTTATCAGAATATAGCTATAGGCACGTAACTTACGTATTTTTCGCATGTAGATTATGGAATGTACAATGTTCTAAGTGATACTAGTATTATAAACTATCTTATCAAATTGTAGAAAAGTGTAAAGTGCACACTCAAACATCCTACCAATTTAAAGACAAAAATATAGATAAACCTACAAAATCTCTGATGATTTTTAAATAACACAGTTTATTAGATGATAGCATTACTGAATGCGATATAAAATCAATAATCTCTGATGACCTTTAAAATGATGCAGTTATGACAGGAAACTAATACTGGAGGCGACATAATATCAATAATTAGTACAATTCTTTATAAACAGAATTAAAGAATGGTTAGTGTTTTTGCGACATAAGTTACTTTACAGCAATGAAACTCTGCAAAATAGCGATACAGAAAATCAAGTTGATCGATAGCCCAACATCCTGTGATAATATTTTCTTTAATCTAACATATTGTAAGAACGCTTTTACAGTATAGCATTTAGGGAGAAAAATACAATTCAGAAAATTGGATAGATTTTTCTCATATGTATCGTGTCTTATCCTGCTATATATACAGTAATGAAGCCTATCGATTTTCATAGTTTATAAATGGGCGGAATAGTTATAACAATTGTTGCTTCATATCAACTGGCTTACTTAAATTAAAAGTTTTTTCATGTTAGCCTCTTCAAAATTATTAAAAAATTTTAATTTACTAATCTTGATAATTTAATTTTGTTCTTAGAGCTAATTTCAAATAGAAATATTTCATTGTTATTATTCACATATTACTAACCAATTACTGTAGATCATATTCACATTGTTTAAATTAAACCTATCGCAAATTTTATCATGCGCACACTGGCATTCTTTCGAGATTAATACTATAAATTGATTAGTGTTTCTTCAATACTTTTATCGATCAAAATTTATAGACCACTAAATCAACTAGTGCATTAAATTGGCATACCATAAGCTCTCAATCGCCACTCGATCAATAATGATTCTACTATTTGACGGACTTAAATGATATCATCAAGCTGCTAAAATAGTAAATATATTACAGTATATTAACGGATCCGCGATAGCTAAAAAAGGTTTTTATCTATTATACTTCAGAAGATACTGTGACGAAAGAATAAAGGTGGTACAAACTGATCTCCAGAGATATTTTTCTGCTGGATTTGGTTTATCTGATGCCTCATCGAAATCATCGATTAAACATTTTATGATTGACATATTATAAACAGAATATATATTACCAAAGTTTTATCTATTTGCATTTCATGCGAATGCATTAATAACGAATTAAAAATTTGATAAAAGATAATCAGCAGCCGAGTAGAAACTGAGGCTCATATCCAGTGTAAGAGCAAATATTAAAATACATTGATATTATGAAATGATATTACTGTTACAGCATAACGGTTCTAATATTCAATAGCACATATTCTGAATCATTTGATATTTGCTATTTGCCAAAGAAAATTAGTTGATTATCAATGTAATATAATGGAATCATCAGTCAACTGAAGGCCAAGGCTTTTACATCTAATGCATCGAATAATTTTACATTTATGTCAATGAAAGGTGGTTCATTGTAACAGAATAAAGGAATCTAGCATAAAATGTGTGCTAAAAATATTTACTATTTCATCAATATCCAATAGCATTGTTGAGAAGTTATAGCTGATACACCCACGATAGCAAAATTTTACGAAATAATAGATCTAGCATCAATTTTTCATTATAAAAATAAATCCTTGTAGTATAGTCCCAAATATATCTAAGACTAAGATTGTTAGATTGTGCGAAAATAGATAAGTTGTAAGCGAGATTGTAAGATTGTATATGGATAGTCCAGAGTTAGTCTAAGAATAGTCCTTGGTAGTAGTTAGACGAACCTAACTTATGTAATAAAGTGAAATTTACGAGAAACTGCAAGTCTTGTTTTATCTTTGAGAAGACACTTTATAAAAACTCTATAGACATACAAGAATAAACGCTATCTAGATAACTTTCTAATGATGATCGTTTAACCATAGCTAACAGTCATTATTATTAACACAGCAAGAATTATCACAATAATGTTCTAAATACCGTACTTCTTTGACTCAATTGTGGTATTAAGTTAGAATTTCGATAGCTACGCCTGGCGAAGATTAATAGATAAATCATTTATTTAGAAGTGAGCCGCCAATATGTACAATTGTTATTATGATTTATAAAAAAAATCAATCACAACGCTCCCAGCCTGTTGTAATAAAAATATTTCTGAAATAACTGTCTTAGTCAAATATTATTTTCAAAAAGGCTTTTACTACAAAGCTTAAGAATAGTAAAGCAATAATTGATTGCTAGCAAAAATTTAATTTAAAGTATCACGAGCTCAAAGGGAAATGAAGTCTCTTACGTGAGTTCATCTCTGTAGTTCTTGAATACATTTCAATAAATCATTTATGACAACACAATCTGTCACTATCAAACTTGAGTTATTAAACAAAATACTTTTCCTCAAATAAACCATCATTATCTTCTATAATCCGAATCATTCTGCTTAAAATATCACTTTTCTTCTATTAATATCTAGCACCTAATATATAGAAAATTGCTCATTATCAGATATTTAACCTAAACCTCAATTAGACTGATATTACATCCAGTCTTAATAGACAACAAGGATATTTACTTCGTTACTTTAAAAAAGTAGGAAGACCTTTACAAACTTTTGGCATTATGAGTTAGGAAAGCGACAAGCTACGGAGATAATAGTCTACGTATAATGTACTTAATTCAACTGTCTTCATAAAATACAGTTAATATTAGCAACCGCTAGCAGAGTCAATGATAGCTCCAGCGTAGCACTAAGGCCATTGAATAAAGAAATTATCCAACAGTAATAATGTACTATCATTCTATTTACTATCCTATTGCAGCTAATTTGCGCTATTACGAGGTAAAGCTTTTAATTTACGATCGTTCAATCGTATTTTAGAATAGGAATAAATAACGTTAGTATGAAGTATCAATAAAATAATCTTTTACAGAGATACAATTTAATCATCAATGCTCTTATTCTTAGTTTTTATCCAGTAGAAATATAGATTGTAATTTATGAAGTAATCAATTACGACTAAATTCCTTATCAAAGATCGGAACAATATGCTTAATACCTAGTGGCTATAATTTCTTGATGGCATGTTTATTTAATTTCTAATCAATGAGAGTAGTTGATTTTTATGGATGTATATATACTACAAATATACATATATTCAGCATTGCACTATACCGGTATACTCTACTTTATATCCATAATCTAATAAAGATAGTATAGAGTAGATTAAATTATTAACGTGGATATGGTTAATCAAAGTATGAATGATTAACGAAATCGTTAATCATTGTTAATAGTTTTACCTTCATGTAGTAAGTAATTTTAACGAATCATTAAATCGAAAAATGCAGTAAAGAAAACCTAAAATATCTTAAGACTTATTCTAAAGTTGATGAATTCTAATCGTATTGGCAACTAGACTCAATTCATCGTAATCATATTATCAATCGATCTAAAAAAACTTGCTTCTTAGAATAGCTTACGATAGACGATATGCTTGACTCGATTTCAAAAGGTTCCTTTCGCCCCATACAAAAGGATATCAGTCATGCGGTAGGATTATTTCATTCCGTAGTTTTTCTATCGTTCCATTTTAGATTGACTAAAAGTTTCCTAATGTATAACATACAGGTGACAGCATTATAAAGTAAGATGTTTTATGTATTATAATCCATGACAAATAAAAGAACGGGGATCTTAAAGTGGAAATTCTTAACACAATCATTTTAATCAATAACGGAGGATATCTAAATTTTTCCTGACGAATAAATGAGAATCTTAACTATTTGCATATTAAGGTCTAAAAATAATTTAATTGGTACAGATAGGCATCAGTACCTCATCAAAATGATTTCAATTACTCCAATAGCGATCTATGTATCGCATTAAGACATTTTAAAACTATAATAAAAAATTTAAATTGATCTCAATACGAATACAGTATTCAATTCATATTTTTACAAAGTCCGTCATACAAGTCACCACCTTCACAGTTAATTGTTATTTATTGATTCATACAGAAACGTTGTAATCATATGTTCGCAACTCCGAATTGGTTCATTTTTTTAGCTGTGAAAAATTTTAGTATTCATCATCTTGCAGTCAATTTTTAATTTTAATCTAGAAGAATGCTGTTGAATAGCTTATGCAATGTAGCCAATGAAGCAGACAATGCATTTCTTAATGCATGTATCGCAATTTAGCTATCTTAAATTCGTTAAAGAAAAAACTTGCAAAAATCATGATCGATAATATCATTCGTAATTATAATTAATACTTCTCTAATATTTATGCTATAATTAATTTATATCGATTTATATCTATTATTTCTTCGTGTCGTAAAGTATTAATTTAAACATAAAGATTTGCTAATAAGTTATTTAAAAATTTTAAATTTTAATATCAGTAAATCGTCCCATCAAAACTTTAGGAAATTTTATAAAAGAGATATAAAAAGATGAATTAGAAGTAAATTTAAATAAACTTAGATACAATTACAATCAGTATTGCCTAATTTTTGCTGTGTTACTAATTATCTGACTCTAGTTGATGGCTAATATGTTACGGAGCTAACAGAAAGCAATCTTAAAATAGAAATCTATAGAATAGTAAAGCGATTCAGATGTGATGAAAAAACTGTTGTAATTTGATAGTTTTTTACTTCTTATCAAAAAATTTGAGCCTTTTTCGAGCAAGTAAAGATGAAATTATTGCAAATGCTTATTAATCAAAGCATAAGCGCACAGTTACATAATTTACAAATGAGACAGTAATTGTTAATCGATAGACTATAAAAAAAGGCCTATTTCTGCTATTGTGATAGAGCTTATCTTTTGATAGAAGAGAGGATATTTTTTAGCGTAGGCAGATGTTAATATTTTCTTTATAAATTATTTTATCGATATGTTAAAATTGAATTTCTAATTCTTTGTATAAAATTGATTTATTCTAATACTATAAATAATTTTTTCAATACAAATCTATCAAATTAATTATTTAATTCTCACGTGAAATGCAATTTAACTTGATTAAGCTATCAATTCTGGTACTTCGTAAAATACGATATCAATACATTTTTGGAAAAGTATAGAATTAATTGAATAATCGAATGCCAACATGCAAAATATACGATGCTATTTATCCTTAAATGGAATATTTAATAAAAGAAGATGTCGGATAATTTAATTAAAATATTTTATAATGACTATAGAAGAAAAAGTTAAATGAATGAAATAACATATATCTTGATAGTTAGGTATAGATACAACACCTTCATCGTCAGCGTTAATCATTTTGTCGTCCCGTAATTATACAGAAGTTTATTTACTATTAAATCTTACCCATTGTAAAATATATTACATGGATGAGCAATATTATAGACAATATATAGGTATATAATAGAGTTGTTTGCTTTTAGTAAATAATCCAGCTGATGTCATCTCCTGATTTTATTAATAATTATAGTCAATTGAAGTGATTATTATCAATACTAGATGTTTTCTTCTTCAAGTCATACCGACTATTTATTCGTTCGTTCTGTGATATGTAGAAATTGTGTCTTATAAATCGGCTAATTAAAATTGATTTGTTCAGTCTTAAATCAACTAACGAGCTGAATTGAATAGCGTTGTTACGCTTACCTTCATTTATTTAGAGTGTAAAAGAACTTGCAATATAAAAAATTTCTATCAAATTTAGCATCTTGCACCGAAAGTTATATTAACAATCCAGCCGTATTTAGTAATCTATATCAAATTATAACTTTAATCATTTTAGGTTGGACAGAAAAATTGATTACCTATGGCTGTTAATGGACTAAATCAAACGATTATTAGTAACCAAACCAGTGAAAACGTCTTTGGTCGTGATTGGTATGTCAAACGTTTTATGCATATCTTATATTGCGTGCTGGCTACAACGGCTATAATCGGAAATGCATTAGTATGCATAGTCATTTTAACTATAAAGAATGGCAAAATGTTAAAGTCTGGTTTGAATTTACTTATTTTAAGCATGGCAATCATGGATACAATGACAGGTATAGTTATGTTTATTGTGCCATCATTTGCTATACCAGCTTCAGATTATATATATCCTACTGGCAATGTTACTGGGATGCTATTTTGTCGCATAATTGCTACACAATACATCTTTTTCTTCTTTGGATTTGGTTCAGTTTTTACTATTACAGCCATTGCTATCGAAAGATGGGTAGCTATTGCTAGACCTTATACGTATCGAAAGATTATTACATTAAAGCGAACTAAAGTATTTCTGACAGGTTTATGGACAATAAATATCCTTATACCGCTTGATATAGTATTCCAGATGGATTTTATAGGCAATGAACAGCCTCCATGCAAATGGAATAATTTTGTTCGAGAGCGACCAGGCATCTATTTCTTCACAATATTAGAAATGATACGTATGTTTATACCGGTCATCATCATCATAGGATGCTATACTGATATTGCAAAAAGAATCATTTATGCTGCACCCAGACCAAAAATTCATCAATCTTTTCCACGACCCTTCGCTTCTCGAAGATCAACAAACTCAATTAACACTCGTCGCAAGGTTACTATTATGGTTGCAATATCAGCTCTAGGGTTTATTACATGTTGGCTACCCAACGAACTCTATTATACGCTGTACGCCTTCAACGTTGTTAAATCTATTAATGTTGATATTACACGAACCACCAAAACATTGATTGTAACTAGCTCATGTTTAAGCCCTTTAATTTATACGGCAGCTAATGACGATTATAGGAAAGGTATTTGGCAATTTTTTAACTATTGCAGAGCTACCAAGTTACCTTTACACAGTGTCCATCATGTTCGAAATGTTATTGCACCATTAAATGTCAGTAAGAATGTATCAACTCCACCTGCTTATGAAACGGAGAAGCAATAATTTATCGTGTGTAAATCTATTTTAAAATTTCCTTTCAATTTAATTTTGTTGTTTATAAATCCTTAAATAGAGCATGTACTGTATTGCTCAAAATTTAGGTTGATCATATTGCCAATACTAAATATATCCAATTTAGTCAATAGATAAACCTAATCCCAATTTAAGATTGAAATTGAAATTTCCATTTCACTTGATATCTTGTGGATTCTTTATTGGTAATTACAATCATCTATTGTATGAATACGTATACATTGTATATTACCGATCGTATACTATAGAGAAAAAATCTCAGGGATATAGCTTACACTATAATAAAATATCGATATCCTAATGTACCATTTCCAGAATTGAAAAAGTGGTGCTCATTTATCGAAATGAAAGCCTACGGTAATTAATCAAAATAATTATTGGTAAGAATGTAAAGATAGCATATTTTTCTGTCATAAATTTATGACGAAGTTTACCTAAGATAAATCTCGAAATTTCTAAAGTCTCCAGGATTCAGTATCCGTGGACTATTTACAAGAACTTAGACGCCTTTGTTTCTACGTTATGCAACTAGAGGACTGGTTTTCTTAAACTATCTTCGGATCTTATACACCTAGTAGCTAGTATTGATGGATCATCTTAAGATTAACAGTCAAGTCTTACTTAATAGCCAAATTAATACCGAAATATTTATAGCCATAGGCTCTAGTAAATAATTCTAGATAACTAAACTATCGTAGGTCCATTCACAGAATTATTTTAGTACGCCTAATATCTACTACTACTCAAAATTATAACCATGTGATATATACCGATCACGAAATTCCAAATTTTAGAAAATTAAGGGCTTTATTGAATCTTATACAAAGATTAACTACACACAGCTCTGCTCTAGCCGAATACTACCAACAAAGACTTCTAGAACGAACTAACAGAATAATCTAAAGTTGCATGCTTTTATACTTTTCGTAGCATTCGCAGCTACAGTCCGCACGGCAACCTTTTACCTTATTTTACACATAGTTAAATTATTCTTAGTAACACTATTCTACTGCGGACCATTATTAATCCGATATGGATACGACTACAGTATTTATGTAGACATTATTCACACCAGCCAAAGTACAATGAATTAACCATATCCTAATATGTGATTTGCGGTTCTATTTTTACCTATATACTTATTAGTAACTCAGCACCTTACTGTATATAGTCATTTGTACTCTAGCATAGAGTTTATACCACTACAGTCTATAGTTATGGCTACCAACTATCTCTTATGATAAATATAGAAGTTACGCTACCGTACAATATACTAAACATGGCTAACAGTCTACAATCATAATATTAAGCTACATTACAAACCACAAGAACTTGTAGCGTAATCCTGACTATCTAAGGGTTAATGTTACCGTCCAATATACAATTTTTTCTAGCACATCATATCTTCGGTGATTCCTACTGTAAGTAATTAATTGTAATCACCGTATATAAATATCCAATTTGCTAAATTTATTCGTTTAATTCTTCGCGGCAATTCATACCGTGACCACCCATATTTACGCGTGTAATGTCCAAGAAAAATGTAAATGTACATGCACAAGAACTTGTATATATATACAGTATACACCGTACAAGCGATATAATTAATGAGTGAAATCAGCATTCTCACGATGGAACAATTTCACTTTAATCTATTCTATAACTTTATTATTGAACTTGTATGATTTTTACAACGTACTTGATTTCAGTGAAATTTTTGTAGCATATTCGCTACTAAAATACTGCAATTTACATCTTCGATTATACGTGAACATATTGAGAATAAATCTTAAATATATTGAGTAAAGAGTTGTTGTTTCAACAATTTCAGCACGATGAATTACATAAGTCATCCATGTTAAATACATGGCTTCAGTTTGAAAGTATACAGTCGTGTCTGTCAATTTTTAACAGCCAAAAGTAGCATAGAACAGAAAGGAGGGACACTTACGATAGCGAAGCAATTCCAATTTAATCAACCGTTTAATATTACTCTTAAGAGAATCTTTGCATTGTATCTGTTATTAATAATATCTTAAATTTGCTGATGTTGCCTTCAAACAAATATTGTATGCCTACAGTATCGTATCTAGACTGTGTAAGGATTTTGATTCATGACATTTTTAATAAGATGTTACAGCTTCCATCTTTGGATGTTAATTCATAGAAAGATACCATTCTCTCAGAAATATCATGTGTTGTAGCCATTATAGTTTATTAACAATTGCATACTTAGGTTTAATTTATACACTGATCCGCTTTTAACTGTAATGGCTTGAGACCGGTTAAGTTGTAATTATCTTCCCGTTCTGAAGATATATTCTAGAACTTATCGTTTACTGGAAAGTTTCAATGAAGATTTCACTATCTTTCTATAACTTATTTGACGCTAATCCGTTCCTAAACTAAGCGATTGGAAGCAAGATGCAATGATATTTAAAATAATATTCATTCATTTCAATACATCAACATTATAATTATAGTGCTACGCTTTAGTTATTATACTTTTCAAATTAAGATATCATTCAACATTTATTATGTGCCTTGAATACGTAAGCAATAAATAAACAGATAATGAAGATCCTAAAATTTGTGTCGCGGTAAATAACCGGTAGCGGCATGATATGTTATTGGAAAAAGTAGAATAATACCATTATTTAAAACTATTTTTGATATGCACCCCTAGTAATACTGAATTACGATTAAATCATTTCAGAAAATTGAATTTTCAACACTTACAAGCATATCAATGTCTTAAGGATTGTTTACGTTTTTATCGAGACAGTTTTCAAAAATGATCAAGGGTAATAGCAATACTTGCTATCCTCAGTAAACCATTACTTTTATGATTTTAAGACTTGACTTCGTATCTAATATTCTCAAGATTTTAATTTGGCGGTAACATTAATAAATTTATATCGGAAATACATTTCGAGTTTAATTTCATTTGGAATCCTGTCACATAAACTCAAAATCAACTTAGGTAATTTGTCTTTCACAAAGACTTGTTGGCTTCATCTATTCCCTTAACGCCTACAGCTGTAATACTAGATCATTATCTGATCTCAAACATCATTGAATTGTTTAACTCTTCATTGATATTGTGTTGGGAAATGTTATTATGGTTACCAAGTTTAAAATAAAAGGATTTCAATTTCCGATTGCTGAAATTACATTCTCAACAATTGAAATAAATAATTCTCAATCACTGATTAGTCTGTTATTTACTGATATTCATTTAGGTCCAGAACGGAATCTTCACTCCTATTCGCTTTTACTAGTAATGTTGAAATGATATCGCAATGAAGGCATTCTCTCGCCGTAAATGATATTCTATAAATCAAAGATCAAAACTATTAACAAAAGCAAACAGTAAATGCTGTACAAAATTATACAAGTGAAAGTATGCAATAAAATAAGAAATTAAAACATATGCTTAATTTTTTTCAATATAAATTCACATTTGCCAGAAAATTTCCCTGAGTAATTTACCTTTCGGAATTTATAAACGCTAAACCACCCGATATCACATACGATATACATAAACATCCGCCAAGTAATTATTTCATTATATTATTTTGGCTAGAACAGAATGGCATTCTCAGAGTAATTTATTGTCGATAAAAGGATATTATCTGCTCAACTATAGATTCCAATTTTAAATAGATCCTGTGTTATATTTTGGGATGTGCTGCCACAATAGCGCTAGAAAATATAGAGTTAGAATATTGAAGCGGGAATATAATCTTATGGGCGTCCTATCAGTAGAATAATTTTGTAGTTCTATATATTTTTAGTTAAAATTATCCTAAATGCAATCTATTTATTCGTAAAAGAAATATTATAGTATACATATAACCAATTTAAGGTTAAATAAAATGCCATCAGAATAATATTAGCTTGTTGTCTTTTTAAAGCTTCTTACGACTTTATTGACGCTTGTAACAAACTTGCTAAGCTATCATATGCTAGTATATATTTCTTTACATTATTTTATAATTCACATTTTCTATTACTTAAGTTATTACTTAATACTCGTATGCCCTGTATTTATAACAACATTAACAAATACGTAACTGTTGTAAGGGCATTGAGGAATACGTCAGCAATCGCATTTTTAGAAAGTGGAACACATAGTAATCTGAACCGTGCTCCAAGATCTAGCTGCAGTATTTGATATTTTGATAAGATCAATTTACTACAATTCGATGTCTTTTGAAAATAGCTTTGTAGAGATTGATTTAACTTATTATGCTGTAAGGCATCCAGTCAAGCAAGCGTGCATGTTGACCATTTTCCGTATCGTCAACAAATTAAATTGAGTTTGCATGCGAATAGAAATAGCCGTGGTGCAAATTGGCATGATAGCATTAGACAATTGGTCATCTAAGACTACGCAATAGCCATTTATCTAAAGTGCTCGACATGTTTCATCCTTTCCACATTTTCTTCTGACTACACCTAGAGCTCGGAGAGATTTACACCCTAAAAATTATTCTAAAAGAAATGAACACTTCTCAAAGAATTTGTTCTCTGAAATGTTGTACATGCTCCATTTTATCTTTTCCCCATTTTACTCTATCTAAACAAAGAAGTTCGGATCGATTTATACCTTGTAAAGCATTGTAAAAGAAATGGATGTTTGATAAAGAATGAAATATTCGATAAAAAATCCATTATGGTTAAGTGTTGTACAGTACGTGGTCAATTTGATCCCTTCTCCATTTTAATCTATCTAGGCCAAGAAGCTTAGATAGACTTATACCCTCAGCGTGTCTGCAAAGTAATGTTGTTGGGTGTTCAGTAAGCGACTCAGGTTTCGTATTGGTAGTTGAAAAGTATGCTTTTCTACTAAGATTACGCTAGACGCGACGCTAACAACAAGAACTGCCCTTTACATACAACTACCGAGAGATACATATGTAGTATGCAATAATTGCAATATATAGCTATTACGATGGGCTAGCATT